GCGTAATTTTGTTTCTCAGAAGTTGATTCCCAATCAAAACTGCCCACGCATCCATCAAGATCTTAGTATCAGGTGGATTCTGTGGATGCTTGTGCCATGTTTTCATTTCTGAAAACAGATCAAAACTGGATGTGGTTTGATTTCTCCTTAGTATTGGCATCTGGTCAACACAAACAGTCAGTGGACTTGAATCCCATGGATTGATGTTATAATTTTGCAAGGTTGGAGTTGTGATTTGGTCTTTTAGGTACCCTGCACTTGTGATCAAGTATGGTGTGTTCCTTGCTCCAGGTTGACGAACTTGCAAGTGGGGTGCTTCAGACCATCAAGGAGATCGTGGGGCTTGATGTGATGTACAGCTACAGGATGATGCACTTTCTTCAAACCAAGATGGAGCAGCTTGTTGGAAGTTCACTTACACTGCCAGACAGTGCAGCAGAGCTGACGTGGAAGGAAGATGCTGCAAAATTGCTGCACCGTCTGAAGTGCGCTCTCCAAATGGTGGAGCGGCACACTTACGTTGACATTGATCACCTGCACAGGACCACAGATGCCCAAGGGACCATCAAGCAGACACTCACCCAAATGAAGTCATTTGCTCAGAAGTGGGGTTTTGGCAGTTCTGTGGATATCCCTATAGCTGCTTGTGCTCAAGATGTTCAGCAAGACAAGGAAAGCTTGGAAGATTGTCTTGCCTATGTGTTTGAAGACAGCCACAGCCCGCAACATTTGCATGAGTTGAACAGGCAAGCCTGGGAAGAGGTGAAGCACAGCATCACCCAAAGGAGACGCCAGTTGGCAGTCATCGCCAAGTCGGACATTGTGTGGGATGCTCCGATTTCCAACGATCTGCACGCTGCTAAATGGGGCCATACCAAAGTGGTGGTCAAGCAGGTGAACCCAAAGTGCGCCAACGATATCGAACTGGTCGATTTTGCAAGATTTTATACCAAGACATTCTACCAAACGAATTTGGATCCAGAGAGGGTGGTGAGGCTGCATGGAGTCACCAGGTCAGGAGCTGTGGTGATGGAATGGTCTGACAGCAGCTTAAGGAAGTGGTATGATTCCCTGCAAGACTCTCAAGCAGATTTCTTGCTGACCAAAAAATTTCGTATTTTAGACCAAGCTGCAAAAGCCCTCCTATCAGTCCACAGGAAGGGTATCATTTATGGAGATATAAAGAGCAGCGACTTCATGGTATTCTGCAACACTGGGGTCCACTGTGCAATCAAGATTGCACCACCCAGGCTAACTGATGGACCTTGGGATCGAGCTTGCAGTCCCATCAGCACAGGGCGCTGGATGGCACCTGAGATTTACAAAGGGCAGGCACCAAACATCCAGTCGGATATATTCAGCTTCGGCGTCATCATGTATGAGTTGGTGATGGAGAAGCTGCCATACGGGCGGGATGCATCTGAAGCACAGATGCTGAAAGTGAAATTGGATGGGAGGGAACCATTGGTCATTCCTGAGGCCATCAAGCAGCAGTGGCCTACCAAGATGCTGGATTTGATGCGGCAATGCTGCTCAAGTGACCCACAGGCAAGGCCATCAATGGATGAGGTGTGCAGCTGTCTGGAGCTCTTGTTAAAAATGCAGGTAATGAAGGAATTAAGCCGAAGAAAATGTGACAGCTAGTTGTGACGCGGGTCTCTGCACACTCAGTGGTTCAGGTGGCCATGCACATCAAAATTGAATACGATCGGTGACTCATCCGATCACACAGTGGAGGCTCTGATCGCACTTGTGGCAAGCTGAGTCTGGGCACTGTGTGCGTAAGGCTGGCCACTGCCATGAAAACTTCCATCACCCAAGCACATCCCAAGGTCTTGGATCTGGTAGCTCTCAATTGCCTGGGTAATCCAAGTACCCTGCTATCTTAAATTTCCGATCACTTGGTGTGTTTTGCTTAAGCTGGGTGTGATCACCTGTTGGTGGTACCTTTGAGGCGGGTACAGCAGGCTGCTGGACATCACCATGGGGCTTCTTGTCTTTAATATCCTGCACTTCACCGGCACTGCAACCACAGAAATGTTGGCCAGTGGCAGGCAGAATCGACACTCCCCCCAATACCTATTGGAATGTACACCATTTTCAGGACGAAATTGAGGTCTCACAAACTCTGTAGGGTCCTTGGAAGAGCAGAGTTCAGTAACTAGAAATGCTGCTTACAGCATGCTGCTTTGGTTCCAGGTGCAAACCTGCTGTCTGGCCTCTCCCTCCCAACCGTCCATGCAGCTGCATGCAACAATGTATTGTTGTGACTCTGGTGGTGTACCAGTGGCATCTGCCACATGATGGCAACACTTCATTGCTGTCAATGGCTGAAGCCATTAACATGTCAAGGGATGGAAGCTCTGGCTATCCAATTTGTGCACAGGGCCTAAGACACTAAGGGAAATGCAGTTTGTGTTCTCCTCTGCCATGCTCGATCCCTTCTTCAGTTTAGGGTTTTTGTTTGGCAAGAACGGTGCATTGCAAGAGAATGCTGTTGCTTTTCTGCAACATTGTGTTGCACATCAGTTATTGATGTGCATGTGCAGCTCACTGGACTGCTAAACCAGTTTTACATCCTAGCCCATGCTCTCTGCTACTGCCATTGACAGGTGCCAAGAATTTTGTGAATCTACAAGGCATTGCAGCCCAAGGCATGTGCTGGTTGTGGGGCTGTCTGGTTTCATTTGCATGATTTGCAGGATTCCAACGAATGCTGAGGACAGAAAGTGAAAGCATTCTATTGATGGCTCTGGTAGATTTCCCTGTTCGATAATGTGGAAACCAATGTCTGTTGGCCAGTCCATGTCCCCTGTACCTCATATGCCATTGAATATGGTGGCTGTTGCATGGAGTGAATATCACTACCACTGGCAGTGATCCCTGCATGTGGAAGGCTGCTTGGACAGGTGGAAATACTGATCTTTAGGTTCGCATTGACAGTACAGACCAGTCATGTGTCCATTAGGCTGCTGGCTTTGTGGCAACAGTATAGACGTATGTGCCTATCCTAGGTGCGCTGTATTTTGGCACCAGGCTTTTCAGAAACTGTCTTTTTGGTACACTGCAGGAGATGAAAATGGCCCTGCTGCAGGCAGCACAGTCAGGTGATGTTGCAGCCGTCAAGGCGCTGCTGACCGATGGAGCGGATTGCGATGCTAAGGATAGCGTGAGTTGTGCAGAGTCTTGAGGACACAGTGACGTGCATTTTGCTGTTAAGACATTTGATCACCTAGAATGGGCCACATCTGTTTCCCATGCAAAGTGTCGTCTGCATTGAGACCATTTGAATTGTTCCAGGATAGAAGATAACATTTGTGATGAACAGTTGTGGCACCAAGAGCTTTTGGAATAGAGTCCACCAAGCCCGCAGGCTGAAGCACATTTGTTTGTCATCTCCAGGGGTGCCTATGTTAAATTGACATGGTTTGCGTGTGTGAGTTTGTTGTGTGGGACACAGCTTTGTAATGGCTGCCACTGTCTCGCAAAAGCACAATCAAATCATCACGGTCATGTTGGACAATGCACTTCTGCTCTTGCTTTACAGTGCCCAGAAGATATGTCAAGGCAGAGGGGGCAGAATGTTGAGTGAACTGTGGTTCTTCTGGTGAACATTGCTCCCAGCAGTGATTACACTATGTAACAGTAGTGTGTAATAATAAAATGGCACGCTCACCACAAATGATTGCTAAGCATCGTTTCCACTGGCACTCATTATGCTCCTGTGGCACCCATCAGCAGATGCCATGCTGTGCTTGCACACGTAATCATTTGTCTGCATGCCTATGTAGCAGCAAAATCCCTCAGTACCCATGCTTTGAACAGTTTTCTTCATATTGTTGGCCCATATAATGTCCTTGGGGGCTTTGCAGGATGGCAATACTCCCTTGCTGCTAGCAGCATGTGAAGGCCATGCCCAAGTAATAGAAGCACTGGTTGCCTTGGGGGCATGTGTGGAGCTGAAGAACAAGGTAACGGATACAAGATGTTGTATTCGGAGCAACCATTTGTGATTCCATATGCATGCTGAATGATTGGTGCTCTCTTGGGGCTCTTGGGTTGAGTGGACATTTGAACACGGACAAATGCCTGTGGCTTGCACCTGTCATTGCCCATCAAGTGCACAGGCTATGCTTTGTCTTTTTGTAACAATTGCATTCAAAGGAGTTTGAGTGATGTGATCGTGTTCAGAAGATCCTATTGTCAACAATCACACCTTGCTATCTATTGTGGATTCTGAAGATCTTCAGTTAGATGCAGTGCTCCAGTATGTGCAAAACTGTGCGCAGTGGTACTGATGCATTCAAACCTCCAGTTTGTGAATGCCTGGACCAGCGGACTTCTTCCAATGTGCTGTAATGGACATCACATGTTGTTCACGACTTGCATTAAGTGCAACCATATGCATTTTAGGCGAGATACACCCCGTTGATGCTGGCAGCACAGGAAGGGCATGTTGAGGCAATGGAGGCCCTGGTGGCCAATGGAGCAAATCTTGAGGCTGTGGACCAGGTTGGCAGGGGCTGCTGTTGTTCGCTTTGTGTTCTCGTTTTTGTCTTGGTCACAAGGAAGTGCTGTGGCATGTGTCAGTGCCTTGTTACAGATGCAGTCTTCACAGGTGATGTGTCCAACGCTGGATGCAAATATGCACATGATTTTCTGTGGCAAAGGAATTTACAGCGAGAATATCTGTAAATGCCAAGGCTAGTATAGAGCTGCATTCATATCCTACTGCAGACATCTGGTGAACATGTTGGGATTCCAGAATGGCAACATTCCAGTGCTGAGTGCAGTTTGCACCGTGGAGAATTCAACCCTTCCCCATCAAAATGTTTTGCCGTTACACATTTTGTTCTGCATTTTTCTTTCGAGAGCATTCTTTACTGTTTCAGCTTTGTTCCACCAAAACTATGTTTATTGTTGCTCCGCGAAGAATGGAAAGTCATTACGTTACTATGCAGAAGGGTTTAAAAACTTATGGTGCTGGTGCGATGGCGGCATCAATAGCAAGGTAAGCAAGATTTGCTCTGTGCACCTGCTGAATAACTAGCTGTGTGTCATTTTGGCACACCCATTACTCTCAGGAGGGCAAGACCCCCATAATGTTGGCAGCTCAGGGAGGCCAGGCTTCGGCTATCTGGGCATTGACACTCAAGGGAGCACAGATTGAGGCCACAGATTTGGTGAGACATGGAGATTTGTGGTTTTCTATTTTCTTTTTATTTTGACTTCAGAGCATCTTCATCAGTGGGTGCTATTGTCCGGGCGGTGCTATCAGGCTATCTGAACAGCACCACACATCAAAAAACCATCGTCAACGGTTGGGGAGTAATAGCATCCCAGTAGCACCCCCAATGCTACTGAGCACCGAGCGGTGCTGTTCTGGCCCTGAATAGCACCGCTCGAGGCTGAATAGCACCCCAGAATAGCATCGGGTGGTATTTGTGCAAGACATTGTAGTTGTGCCCTGATGCTATTCCGCATCTCAATAGCACTGACGCTATGGATGCGCACAGGATAGCAATAGCACCAGTTCGATTGAGCAAATGCCGCGCTAGTAAGCTGGCATGGCAGCCAATGAGAAACGTTCCTGTATAGCACTGCTGGTGCAATAGCACTGACCAATAAAGATGCTCTTGTGCGTCTCACGAGGCTCACAATAGGAATCTGTTTGCAAGAGTTGCATCTTGTGGCTGAGTGCATACTTCTGTCCCGTTTATGTGCATTCATGGTCCCATTCTAGCTGAGCAAGTACAGTTGGCAATATTCTCAGTTCCACACTCCCACTGGTGCAAAACATGGGAATGCTGATGCCTGTCTGTATTGTATGGTTATCAATTTCTTGAATTTTGTTGTGTACCCTCAATTTACTGTAGGTTGGGAATACTCTCTTGATGCTGGCTGCCCAGGGAGGCCATGTGGCGGCAATATTGAGACTAGCGTCCATGGGCATGCAGATGGAAGCTCGCAGAAGGGTAGGGCATGCATTCATTTCTATGAAATTCTACAGAGTTTTGTGTCTCTTGCATTCTTTCAGTCAGCTGAGCGTCATGATTGTAGACTTTCTGTGGTCAGCAAGCCACACTGTCGCGCAAAATGTCCCCATTTTCACATTTCTTTCCAACCATGGATGCCAGATTTGCTACGAATGATGCACTGTGTTGCAGTCTGAACACATCTACTGTCATATGTTCTGCAAATTTTTGCGTTCTGGGCATATGCATAAATTATGGACAGTCAGATACAGGGCATGTAGGACAGACAGATATGGATGTTAACTTTGTTGTGTGCCCCTTGCATCTGTTGCAGGATGGCAGCACCGCCTTGATAGTGGCTGCAAAGTGTGGTCAACCACAGGCAGTGCTCACGCTGTTGGCTGCAGGAGCAGAAATAGAGGCCAGAGATGTGGCTAAGGCATGACTTGTGTTTTCCTTCCTGTGCTGCTAATTTTCAGCCACTGCAGCTTCAATCTCAGTTCCAAGTCTACTGTTGAAATGGTCCTCAAATGCCAAAACCATGGTGCAATTGACAGTGTGTTGCAGTGTGGACCTTTTGTTGTTTACAAGATGTTGAGAATCTTTTGAACATGATCCAGATGGCAACCCCAATGACTGGCAGAACTGCCTTGATGGTAGCAGCAGCAAAGGGCCATACTGCTGTGGTAGAAGTGCTGCTTGCCAAGGGAGCCTGCATTGATGCTCTGTCCAGGGTAAAGTATTGTTGTGAATTATTGTTATTTGTTTTTCAATGAGCTTGCTTGATTCTCTGCTTTGCACGCTACTGTGCATCGACCTGGTCAGCGGATGCCTTGAATTGGGTTGCAAAAGGATGCATTTGCTGAATGTTGCTTCCCTTGGTCCAGCTTTGCTGTCTGCATTTTCGATGATGAGTGAAAAGATGCAGATGAAACAGTGTACAATTGAGGCCTCTGGTTGATCTCATCTTGTGCAAATGCCAAGACAAATGAATAATCTCTGCTGGGGTACAGTTGTCATGTCACAGTACAGGTCTTTGGTTTGTTGAAACTGTTGGGTATCATCCACAGGAGGGGGATGTCACTCCTTGGGGATGGGTGGGCGAGATTAAGTGGAAGACTCCTCTAATACTAGCAGCTGCGAATGGTCATGGCACAACAGTAGATGTCCTCCTTGCCAGTAGGACAGAAGTGGTAAGTCAAGGCCTTGGTTGCCTGGTCAGTGTGCTAGCCCTAGTTGGGCTTGTCATCATCACTGGCCAAGGGATCTGTGCTGACAAAACAGCACCCTTGTTGCAGCACATATCGTGTTGTTGGTAATCTTTTGTTTCCTTGCTGTCGGGCATTGTCCACAGATGTCCATATCCAGTTTTCCAGCCTTGACTTGTTTAATTGATCGTGTCCGGGTTGTATTTGTTGCTGTGCAGGACTTGTGTAGTTTTGCAACCGATTTATTCTTTGGCATATATTGCAGGATTATATGCAAGACGCCTTGGTGGCTGCAGTGTTGGGTGGTCATGCTACAGTGGTGGAAACTTTGGTGGACAATGGAGCCGAAATACAAGCTCAATATGAGGTGGGAGAAGATTTTGTTGCTCTTGCTGAACGTGCAACGTTGTATACCAAGGGTACACCAATATTCAATGTTGGCACCATTGTGGGAACTGCACGCCCTGCCGATCTTGATGCGCTATTTCGTGACGATCTTTGACTGGCATTGTGCTAATAAAGTATTCCCCAACTGGACCCCTAACAAAAGATGAAATGTTTCTCCCGTTTGAGACCATTGCGGCGTTGTTTGCAAAGGTGTCTTGCTGTGTAGCTTGTTCTTTTATCAATAAATTTGATGAAAACAACAATACGTAAATTCTTGTATGTGTCGCAGGGTGACGAAAATGCACCCTTGTTGGTGGCAGCAAAGGTAGGGCACGTCACAGTGGTGCAGGTTCTGGTGGCCAGAGGAGCGGAGATGGAGGCAAAAGACAAAGTATGGTATATGGATCACTCGCTGTGCTGCATGTTGTAGCTGCCACAGCCTGGATGTGCTTATGGCCAGAAGGGGGACACTGACTGGGGACTGCACCCGCCTGTGAATTTCAGAGCACTTTGTACTTCTCCAAGTTGTATCAAGATGCAAGTGAAAATACTGTTTCAACTTGACAATCTTCGCTTGTGCAATATGTTTATTTTTGAACCTGGGGTGGGGAGCTCCACCTTATGCTGCAGGTGTATCATGAACTTGTTGGACCCCTTTTCTTGCACTACAGGCTGGCAGCACTCCCTTGCAACTTGCAGCAATCGGAGGCCATGTTGATGTGATAGAAGCGCTAGCAGCAAACGGAGCAGGATTTGAGGTCAGAAACCAGGTAACATGTGTGTTTTGATATCCCAGCTTTGATGCTCATTGCTGTTGACAAACACTGTTTTTGAAACCCTCTGTTCTTCTTTCTGTGCTTAGCATTGCCTTTGCATCCTGCTTTGACTCAAAATGCAAGCTGAAGCAGTCCCCACAGTGGAAGCCTTCCTACTTTGCAAGTCCCAGGGACCTTGCTTATGTTCCAACCTGCGATCGCAAGGTCAATGCTCTGATACGTCCTTCCATCTTCTCAGTGACTCCGTTGCTGAGGGTAGGACCGCATGAGCAGATACCAAACTGTGCCACCACAAAGGGGATGGCAGTGCAAGCTTGTCCCATCTGGTAGTCGGAGGCTGGTGCGCAAAATGCGCAAGGTGCAGCCAGACACTGTGCGATCACATTTCCACGTAACACAGTATATTAAGCTTCTTCTGCAATTTGAAATTTCAGTGCTGTGGTTTTCCTTTGTTTGACAGACCATTGTTTACTATTTTGCATACCACATCTTGTCTAGTGGGTTGCAGAATGTCCAGCAGCCAGCCGCGTTTGGGGCCAGACAGGGCACTGCTCTGTTGGCAGCTCCGCTTTTTTGTGACTCTGTTACGTTTTGACTATTGATCCACTTAAGGAGGCGCAATATTAACTTACAACGCAGAAGGGTATGATATACTGCGGTGCACGTGCTGAAAGATGCTCATTCACTAGCAAAAACGGACTAGATAACAGTTTTTGCGAACATGTATATATGCATTTCGTTAGTGTTCTGCATGCTAAAAGCATGAAAATAGCACAAACCCATGAATTTTGTACACGTTTGAACATATGCTGCTTGGCCATTTTTTCCTAGTGATTGCTGCAATGGTGTCAAGCTCATTGTTGACTTTCGAGATGACAAGTTCTTGGTGAACCTGAAGCATACCATTGGTTTAAACTGAAGGCAGCAAAGCCCTGCTGCACCTGCAACAGTGGAAGTCTTTGACGATGCTGTGTACACAAGAATGTTGTGGATTCATGAAAGCTGAGCACATTAAATTTGCAGTGAATGAGCATATTTATCAATGTCTGCTTGTTTTGCAGGAAGGCGATACTCCATTGCTGTCTGCAGCAAAGGAAGCCAGGATTGCAGCCATAAAGGCACTAATAACTAGGGGAGCCAAGATTGATGTTGAAAACCAGGTAATGCTTGAAATACAAGCTACTGGCTTCGATCATTAACACTAATTATGAATAACCAGCCGTTAAATCCTTGTCCTCCAGCTTGCTACTGCTTTTGGGATCCTGGCACAGTCAGAAACACAACTACTGGTAGTCTTGGCATTCCAACTGTCCCGAATGCAAGTGCTAGATCATCTGGGCAGGAAGATATGGCTTGTTGCACAACTGACGTGTTTTCTCAGTATTCTTCTTGATCAATCTTTTTTGATAAAATTCTTTGGTGAATTTCCTTATGCCAAATGCCAAACTTCAGGACGGCAACACCCCCTTACATCTGGTGGCGGAGGAAGGTTGTACTCGTGCTATAGAGCCACTAGTTGCAAAGGGAGCACGAATTGAGGCCAAGAACAAGGTAGCACAGTCAAACCTCAATGCTGGATACTGATTGCAAGGAATTGGTATCAACCGTCTTTACATCATTTCTGCTTTTTTTCTTTGCTATGCTTTTCTCGTGTTCTGCAGTGATTGGATGTGCAGGGAAGTATTGCATTTTGGACCATCGCTACATTTCCATATTGCGCTGGCGCCAGTGTGTTCTTGAAGCAAGACCTGTCTATTACTATGGCATCATTCTTGATGGCTTTCTTGAGACATTTCTTGGCGAATATGCTAAATCCCCTTGCTTTGAACTTTAGGATGGAAACACTCCTTTGCATCTTGCTGCAAGAAAAGATCGCGCTGGAGCTGTAATGGCACTGCTGACAATGGGAGCACAGATAGAAGAAAAAAACAAGGTAAGTGCATACTTCCCTTTGACTTGATTTGTCTATTCGGTTCAGTATGCGACAGAGCTGTGAAAAAGGGAAACCCAGCTTCTAGCAATAGTCATCTGCTCGCTTGGGTTGCTGCACATTTTGGCCATTATCTTGACTGAAAGCACTATTGAAAGTACTGCTGCATGTTGATTATCCTTATGTGGTCTTGTATTGCCACATCATTGTTTGCATTGTGTCATGCTGCCCCATTGATTGTATTTCATAATTTAATCTACTGCATGTTACAAGGCTCGACATGTGCACGTGCTGCGTGCTGTCCTCTAATTAACTCGGCAGCGCAGTGTTGCATGGTCGGGCATGCTAGCCTCATGATCCTCGACGCACATGACACTATACAGATGTTTTATGTGGCCAGGAGAAATAGAGACAGTTTGGGCACCTTGAGATGCAGTTGAAACTATACGTGTTTGAAAATGACTTTCAGCTTTTGCAATGGCAATGAACAGTGCCTGAATTGTTGTATCAATCTGTGCATCCATTGGTGTGCCACTTGGTGTGCTAATCGATGCAATAATTGCAGCATGGCAATGATGGCAGATTTTGCATGGTGAAATCTATTTATGTGGGATCGTTTTTTTAAGATCAAGTCGGTGAATGCCATGCAACACACCTATGGGCAAGCATCAGGGGCGCTGAGCAGTTGGTCTGTACAACACTTGCCTTCGCGACTCCCGAGCTTCAACGCCAATTCCACAGGAGAATAGTGTATAAAATCTATGGATTGAAAAGGAGAGAAGGGCGATAATGAGCAGGCTTCTGGCCTATGGGCGACATCCAAAGAGACTTCAAAGGAAATCTGCTCTCTTAGGGGCACACAGTTTATACCCCAGAAAATATATCAGAAATCTATATGAAATATTTCATACAGAAATTATATGAAATATTCATCGTGGTGCGTGCATGGTTGAAAGGCACGCTCATGGTCCTTTTGTCTGTCACTATTGTGGGTTCCCCCATGCAGTCACAGTCACAGCCCATGGAGGCCAACCTCGCTACTGGCCCTGGGTGATAGCAGGGTGCACCCTTCAGGCATCACCCGCAGGTGAAGTGGGCGGCCACTCTTGCTGCCCACACATGCCAATCGAGGTGGCCTGTTGAGGGCACCAATCGATGGGAACGTGGGTGCCACGAGCGAGTGCATGGGAATCACCACACCCATGCTTGAAGACCGCCCTCAGCACCCATTTGTGCTGAGCACAGTGGCAGTAACCAGAACCGGCCAATAGCTGCTGAGATCGCATGCTGTGGCGCCAATCAATTGGCGGTCAATCGCAGGGTAGCCAAGGCAACGGAAGCCAGCACCTGGGCTGCCCAGCCTTGCACCTCACCCGCAGCCCACCCTGCACCGACAGCTCTTTGCAGGCACCCTCCTCCACGCGCTGTTGATGTGCTGCGACATTGCCGCAGTGATTTGTACTGCACTGCGTGTAGGCCTGACTTGATTGATAGGCGAAGTTTTTAAGTACCGCTGGGTTAATTTGTTTCCGCTGCTGGATGGCAGTGTACTTTTGCTCTGTGCTGTGAAGATGGGCAACAATGCAGCTATTGATGTGTTGCTGGCAATAGGCTCACAGACAGATAGCAAAGACTATGTATTTCACAGATATTGCTGTTCGTTGATTGTTCTGGGAATTTTCAGCAACATTGTCCAGGAATCCCAGGTGGCTCCCAGGTGGCAGTGATGTTCCCCTCATTGTTGTGCCTGTGTGCTCTGGTGCTCTATATTGACCTAGAAATATACACAGGAAAGAAGAGCTGAGGCAGATCATGTTTCTGGCATACGAAAGATCTTACTTACACTCATGTTGAATACTCATACTCATGTTGAATTGATGATAGAGGAATTGTTAAGCAGGTTGTGTCCACACATTGTAAAGCTTGTTGGATGTTCTTTATTTGTGTTGCAGGATGGCAATACTCCTTTGCTATGTTCTGCAATCCGGGGCAGCGCTGCAGCAATAGAGAAACTGGTGGCCAGGGGTGCTGACACAGAGACCAAAAACTCGGTAGGCGCAGAAGTTGTCTTGACGATCCCACTGCTTGATGGGATCGTTTTCTTCAAACATCGCGCAAGAGCCGCAATGCCATGTTATGTGGCAGCTTTTTTCTCCATGTGGTGTCGCTGTGCATTTCATCTTAAGCACATTATATTTCCTTACACTTGGAAAGTACACCACAGGACATCAAATAGGAAGTGTTCCTTTAAAGGAAGATTTCTTTTTTCAACTCCTGTATTGTACTTTCCCAATGTAACAGTTGCAAGGAGGTTTGGCCATGTCTCAATTTGGGTGCCAGATGTGGTTTCTTGATGCATCTGAGTACCATTGGCGTTTGTTGCAGCATGGGCATACTCCTTTGTTGCTCACCGCAGCGGCAGGTCTTGTTGGAGCAACGAAAGCGCTGCTGGCTGGTGGAGCTAGTCTGTTGATCCAAGACAGGGTAAGGACGGTGATTTCCATTCCTTGGGTGACGAGTCCACTCTTCTTGACATCATAAATGTGGACATCGGAGCAAAAACAGCACCTTCAGGAGGACTTCATTGATCTGGTGCCGCTGTGCTTTCTGTGTTCAAATATGCAATGGGGAAGCAACTAAAAGTCAGTACAGGAGCCTGGTGCCCTGTGTGCTTGTATTGATGCACACAAGAATTCCTGAGATTCGTGTTGCTAAATTCAGAAATCTTCCTGGATTCCCTCATGAACGTGTTGGCAAACCTTCCCATTTGTTGCAGGATGGAAATACTCCATTGCTATCTGCTGCAAAAGGAGGCCATCCAGCAATTGTAGAATTGCTGCTGGCTAACGGGGCGCAAATAGAAGAAGAAGACATGGTACGATTTTGAACTTCATGTCATAATTGATGCGCTCGTTTCTGTTTCTGCTGGCTTAGAACGGTTCACAGCACATTCATTTTGGCGTATTTGGCTCTCGCACTGCTCTGTGAAAATGTCACTCAGCAAATTGTCTGCCAAACAGGAGTTTTTGCCATGGAAATTAGGCGTCAATGGGAATGCCGCTCTTCGTAACAGAACCACTGGATGATAATGCGGCAACAAATGACTGGAAGGGTGCCCAGATATGGTGCACCATGGTCACTATCAGCGGGTAATATCTTGTTGGAGTGCCCGTAACCACCACAGCTGGGGTGTTGGAGGCTGGAAAGTGCCTTCCTGGGCAGTGAATCACTAGTTTTGCTGTCAAATGGTATAGAGCTGTCAGCATATGCCACAGGAGAGATTTGGGCTGCATTGTTGAAATTGGATATGATTTACAGTTTCAGCAGCCATTGCCTTGTTGGAGAATGGACAAGCATGGTTCAGGTCAGCTTGTGGGTTTATCTGAAATGTCACATTTCAGCCACAGTGACGGCCTCTGTATCCATCTGCAGTTGTCATCATGTCCAGTTGCCAAAGTGACAAGAGTGTAAGGGAATCCATGACTGGGCATCAGCACAGTTGGAGCCAGCTTATGGAGCTGGGCATTATTATATTGGAGCAAGTAATTTTGGCAGGACATAGATATAATTTGCCAGGAACTTCACACCACATTCGTATTTGCACTGAACATGCATTCACCCGTGAACAAGTGCATGAAAAATACGTGAATGAACAGGTTTATTTGCAACACACAAGAAAGCAAGAGTCTGCAGACCTTTGTGAGTAATAATGTACTTTGTGTACTTTGTGAGTAGTATTGATACCAAATGTCCAAGGGACAAAGGATAAACTTTTGGCCCATCTGTCCTTCCTTCCAAATATTGTGCTGAGTTATTTTTTTGTGTCAATCACTCCTTTTGAACATGGAAGGAGCGATTTTCACCATGAAATAACTTTGGTATTTCAAGAGATGCCAAACCATGTGCTAGGATGCAGGATCCTTGCTAGACAAATTGATGTACATGCCAGCAAGAAGAAGCAACACATTCCCAGCTCACATTTGGTTCCAAAGTACAAACAGCACTGGACAGATGGAACAGCTTTCTATTCTTTGCAAAATGACAGTGTTTCATTGAGTGGCAGTTTGAGACAACCCATGACGTGTGTTGTAGGCTGGCAGTACCCCTTTGCTGGGCACAGCCGAGGGTTGCAACGTGGCGGTGGTGAAGGCACTGTTGGCCAATGGGGCAGATATTGAAGCCAAGGATAGGGTGAGGCACGCGATTGTCCTTGCTTGATTGCATCATTCTGTTGTACAGAAAAATTCCTGTGAGCAAAGAGGGTGCCTGATTGCAATTATCTTTCTATGATGATCTTATGTGCTTTCAATGCAACGATGAAAAGCAGATGCAATGGAAGCAATGTGCCCAGGGATTGCCCTCCAGAGTTGCAATTACAGTTTGAAGACCATGGCGGAACTCAGCTTGTATCCCGACGTGGAGATTGCATTGTATTCGTGGCAAGGCTCCTGTTCATCACTGTATGATGCAGAATGGGACAATTCCTTGTAGCCTGCACCAAGGAAAGCCGATCGTGCGATGGTGGAGGCACTGGTGGGCCATGGATCAGCAGCCCAACCCTTTCTTGTTTCCATGCGTTGGCGCTGATCATGAGATTATGCAGCATTCGCCAAGAATGATAGCACTTCCTGTCCAGAATCTCATGCCATTTGGTTTGCGTTGCTCGATGCGCCTTCAGCTTCGACTTCATAGAATTACCCAGGAAGTTATTCTGTTCTTTGTTCTGCAGATAGCCTTTGTTTCAGATACCCAGATGTAGTTCTATGGCGCATTCCTATGCTTACTGGATATCCTTGGTGTGTCCTGTAGAATGGCCGAAATCCTTTGCACAGGGCTGCAATGAAAGGCGATGTTGATGTGGTGTATGTATTGGTGGACAACGGGGCTCCAACAGATGCCAGAGACAGGGTAAGGCATTGATTTTCACCGTTCATGGTTCAATTGCTAATCGCCATCGTCACAGCTGGCCATCCCTATTGGGAGTCAATTGGGTACTGTTGTTCTTCTACCATCGTGTTATTCCATAGTATATGCCTGTGATGTAGAGGGCATGGCTGGATTCTAATCTGCAGATGCTAAGAGGAAAAAACATCAATTTTGTTGCTGTCCAACATCTATGTGCTGTTTCATTCTGAACAGTGATCATCTGCTTCAAGATGTACATGGTATTTCAATGCACGTGATGCATTATTGCCGTCATCAGGCGAATACTGATGAAGGAAAACATGCAGTGGCAAATTTTGTTCCCTGCCACACTGTGGCCCATCCTTTGCATGCTCTGGTTGGAAACATCGCAATAGCCATCAGACCAGTTTCTGGGGTAGCAAGCAGCATGAGCTGGCAAAGGCCAATATGCAACAGCTGCTATGAAGTGAAGATTGACAGCGCATTGGGAGATCTACTCGGCAGAACTGGGCAACCATTTCAAAGGCTGATTGTATGTATCTTTTAGAATGTTGATGGCAAGTTTGAATGGAAAGGCCTTGTGTTCATTGTGTCCAGGCACCAGTTCTACTAGCATTTGGTATTGCAAATCGCTTCAGGCTGATGTGAAAATAGCAAGGTTTTATGCCTACTCATGTGCTCAGGAGATCAGTGGTGCACCCTGTCCAAATATACATTTGCCACCCAACTAGAACTTGGAGTTAGCTGTGTCAACCTCCAAAGTCAAGTCAATATGCATCTGACGCCACGTCACATGCACACTGCATCGCCAGTTGTGCCAGATATAGTATGGCAACATCTTTTGTGTGCTTGGTGCATGTGGCAGGATGGCAGCACTCCCTTGATGCTAGCAGCACAGGGAAATTGTACAGCTGTGACAAAGCTGCTGTTAGTTAGGGGTGCGAATATGGAAGCGAGAAACATGGTAAGTCAGATGTGCTTCTCAGCGCGTAACCATTTGCTTTCAAGATCATAGCAAGAATGACCAAAGAATTGGTAACAACCATAGAGAGGGGTACAACCAAAGAATGGGCAGGGCATTATGCAGCAAAGTATTTCCCTCATTTAGTGCTGCTTGCCCTTTGGGTTGCCAGTGTGGACTGTGTTGATGCCAAGTACAGAATGCTCGGGCATGATCCTGTTCTGTTATTGCTGACACAACAAATGTCAGGATGTGAATAGTTGCAAATGTGGTGTGCGATGATTGCATTTGTACTTTGCAGCATGGCAATACAGCCCTGATGGTGGCGGCTGAGAATGGTCAATGCAAAGTGATCGAGGCATTGGCGGAGCAGGGAGCAAAGACAGAGGTTACAAACAAGGTGGGCTTGAAGTTTTGTTTCACCTGATGGGCTCTCATGTTTGCTGTAGTCACCAGGGGATTGTGTTAGCAAGGGGGCACCTTGTAGGAAGGCTCTTCCTCTCTTCCACATCCAATCATGAGCTTCTTGGCTCATAGACTCTCAATGCACAGATGCATTCATGTGTAGTAGTCTGATGTGTTTGTCCTCTGATGGTGTTTTCCTTGCATGTCAAGTTATCCCTGCACAGTGCAGTGCCATACGGTAACCTTCATTTTGGTGAGTGTGCCAGTTTGTACCATTCACTTTGCAGGATGGCAACACCGCCTTCACGTTGGCAGCAAAAAAAGGCCACCTTGCAGTAATGAATGCGCTGGACGCCATGGCAGCACGTTTGCGGAATGATGCCAAAGCAAAGGTGAGCCATGTGTTTTGTGCGTTTTGTTCAGCATGGTTGTTCACTTCATGCTGATCGCAAAATGGCTGGCGCACACAACAGGTCAGGTGACATGGCTGTCCCAGCAGGAGTAATGTGTCATATTGCTACATTGAGAGACTGTGCAGGGGAATGCCGGCTTTCTCTAGGGAACGCCATCCAGGCCCAGCTGTATGAATACTGGTTCATCATGGGCCAAAGCAGTGCTGCTGAGCTTTGACTGTGCACACTGGCCTGTGCCATAATGATGGGGATTGATATTAACAATGCAGTGTCATCAGAACAGTGTTCCTGTGTTATTATCACTTGGCCAAATCTGCAGGAGTTCAGATACACATTGTGTCACTGTTGCCTCTTGCTTGTGCACCTGAGTTAGCTGACTGTACCTGACTGTTGAAAATTACTTAAGAGTATGTATGCCTAAGGAACCATGTGTAAGACTGCAATGGATATGTCACAGTCAGTAAAAGTTCCCACAGCTTTTCTTGGTGTGTGGAGGCCCTGCAGGAAGTGGAACGTCCTGTACTGTACAATCACAGGATGATGGCGCAATTGGGAAGAAATCTTGCCTTGGTGCAAGGCACTGAAATGCCACCATCTGCCTTGCAAGAAGATGTGGACTCTTTTCATTGGCAACTTGACAAGGGAAAGACTCTCCTAGAGGAACATAAGCATTTTGACATCAGGCATTTCTACACAGCGGATCAAGCACATGCATGGGTGGAAGAGATTGGCGATGGGTTGGCACGAGTGCTGCATGTCTGGGGCATAAAGTATATATTCCCTTGTCAACTGGGGAAACGTGTACCTTCCGAGAATATTGATGAGGACAGGAGATACTTGTCTCATCTTCTGCACTACATCTTGAAAGGCGATGCAAGTGGGGTTGCAGATCCCTCTTGCCTGCACCTGTTTGCTGCCATAAAGTACGAAAACGACCAGGTGCTGAAAAGTCTGAACGTGATTGATGAGAGTACACTGCTTCTCGAAGAGCGCATTGGGAGTGGCAGTTATGGTGCCATACATGCGGCCACCTGGACCGAAGGAGGCTGCAAAGTGGCAGTCAAAAAACTGTATAATGATGGGCCTATTGAGGATCTGGCCATGCTTTTGGGAAAGGCCGCCATGCAAGCATCCCTGAGGGGCAACCCACATGTTGTCAAGCTGCATGGGTACACGTCCTCAGGGTGGTTGGTGATGGACCTGGCTAAAACTGACTTGCACCACTGGTGTCTACATGGGAGACGAGAATGGAAATCAAAAAGGACGCTTCTCCTGCAGGCAGCAATGGGACTGAAGTTCATGCACAGCCGCAATCCTCCCCTGGTTCACGCAGATGTCAAGCCTAAGAACGTGCTTGTGTTCGACGGAGTTGACGGCCCCCATGCTCGACTTGCTGATTTCGCCCAAGCTTTCGAAGTGAGCAGCCGCGCAACGGAGATACTCTGCCCTGCAGCAGGCACGCCACGATATGTTGCTCCAGAGATTTACAGAAACCTTCCTTTGACGCTTGAATCCGACATCTTCAGTCTGGGAGTCACGATGTTTGAAGTTGCAACAGAGGAGCAGCCATACTATTCGCATTTCAAAGGACCAGGGCACGAAGTTGCATTCATCAAGAAAAAATTGGCCGGGGAAGACCCTTGTCATGTGCGGCCGGAAGACTGCCCTGAAGGAATGCTGGCCCTGATGAGGTCTTGCTGTCAAGTCGATCCACAAAAAAGACCAACAATTGATGATGTGGTGCGAGCTCTTGAAGACTTGCCAGAGGACTGGAATTTCAGGTAGGAAAGTATGGTGGTTCAGATTGTAGGCGCTTGCGCACCAACAGGCCTGTAGTGCCCTTGTCAAATGTCCCATGTTCTGGCTATCGGGCAAGATATGGGGGTTTTGATACCCTTCCCCATGTCCTGGACATGGAATACGATGTGGGCATGAATATCATCCTGGACATGAATATCATGCATATGGATATGTGCTGGACGGGTTGATCGTGAATATGCAGGCTTTGCTGACAGCCCTAAGCTGTTCCTTTTCTTTCAAGGCAGTTCTCACGAGCACTTACAAATGTGCTTGGTGGATGGCCGTGGGGAGAACGCAATTATGAGATGGACAGCCTGAGCACCACCAGCTGGTTGGTTGCTTCTGTTGTGGGGATTTTCACCGCTGCGTCTGACAGCTCCAGAGCCGTCGGAGCTCTAGTGTCGATCACGTTGGATTTGCCCCTGGTCGGGGCGCCCTTTGCATTTGTTGACGGCAGCTCTTACGCCACGCGTGCACAGGATGACAGAGCAGCGGGTGCCGCACAGCACTCCATTGTCACAGCAACTCAATCAAGAGAACCCGTCATCCACAGGTCCAGATCGCAGACCAAATACTGACCAACAGCCAAAGTGATGAGAAGCGTACTGGAAATGTAGTAAAGCTTGAAGTGAAGCACGACACGACCAAGACCAAGATCCCAGGGGAAAGCATGAGGTGGACATGGATAATGTGAGCCAGGGATCCAGCAAAGGTCTGTAGAGGTCAGCAAACTTTCGTGAAGGGTGGTGAAAGTAGGGCCTGTCAAGCCAGTCATTGAGAGTCACAGGGAGTTGACAGATTTAATTCTAAATTTAAAAAAATTTGAAATTAAACTAAATTAGAAATTGTTCCGCGTTGGCATGATGGAGACCGCCAGGCAGTTGTGCAGCAGCCAGTGATGTTGATTTGGTTCTTTGGACCTGGGGATTGTATTGTTGTTTGTGGTTGGATTGCTTGCTGACACGGGGGACTCAAATTTGTGACACGGGAAAGGGACTGGAGTTCTCGGTGTGCAAGACGGACTTTGAAAACAGACTGACCAGCGTTGCGGTGTGATGGAAGAGCAGTGTCGACAGTGTCCCCCATTTACCGTTGCAGACGGAGGCAACTCGAGGAATATCGGCGATTTGGTCCAGGTGCATGTACATTTGCGCAAAATGTGGTGTGCCGACTGTGCTTGAAGTCACATGTTATACGCAGCCCTCAGGCGGGCGAAGTCTCCAAGTGGGCCTTACCTCCCAGGCTGTCTGCTCTTTGGCAACGTACTTGTACATTGTGCCAATTTTCAACGGTCGGTCGCCAGCGACGATTCAGGCGCACTGGCAGGCGTCTTCGTATCTGCAGTCGTGCTACTCAACGTGCTCGGAGCGGACATCAAAAATCTTCGACAACGGAACTCACCATGTTGTAAGTCTTAACACCAATCGACGATGTTCTCAATCATCTTCGCGACTGTCGACCAAGTGCCGCACAAGCCAGACCCGTCACAGTACTAGCAGTGGCCTCTCCTTTCATGTTCACTCGAATCTCACCCCCGATGACAGCTGCTTGAGATATTAGGCCTCAGCGAGCTGCCATCGACACACACGCATCACGTTTGCGACTATGCGCACATGATGATGCTTCCGTGAGTGGGCGGCACTGGCGCCACATTTGGGTTCCGTGTGCCGTGTGACAGGCGCTTCATTTTGGCTTGGCCGACGCCTTGCGGCGCGTGTGCAGCGTACGGCCTTGTACCACAATATGGGCCTAAGAATCCGGCGACAGCGTGTACCTTGGTGGTGTATCGTTTGGGGTACCCTTTTTATGCTTTTATTGTGTTCCCATTCCCAAAGGGGCTACTGATATTCTCCATTGCTAATTAGCGTTGTCGGGAAGCCTCGATTATTGTGTAATGGGCCAATCACACACCACAACCAGGAGTTGGCAATTATGAGTTGTGATTGAAAGCGCCATTTTTCTGTTGGTGATGTGCACTGGTGCAACTCTAATCGGCACGCTAGTGCTTGTGTTATTAGGCAACCTGTAGTTCACTGCCGCTGACACGGTGACAGAAGGTCTGGATCGTCTGGGCAGGTCCGAAGCCAAGGCACATGGCTGCCCGGCTCGCCAAGTGCCGTTGCACTCACTGGCGCCGTCAGCACCTCCCCTGAGGGTCGCAGCAATGGGAGGCGCGGTTAGGATGCCGATCTATACCCATATAGAAAAGCAACATGAACGCGGTTTTGTGGCTATACCGATGATGAACCCCAATTGGGCGGTGGGTTCTGCGCTCCCCCCCCGGAGGGGATGGCAGAGTGCTGGCATTGCCTCTTCTGTGTTGGAATTTTCCATCATGCTGATGGGTAGGGCTGCTGAGTCATGTTGTCTTCGACGTGAGCATGGACGCTGGAGGGGCTGGGGTGTGAGGGGAAAGTGAGATCCCAAAAGAAGCATAAGTCCCCGTTAGTAATTCTGAATTGATCAACTAATGCAGATTTTTCGCCCCTTCCGCCATTTCAGTACCTCCTGCACAGCTGCACCGCAACTTTTCAAATCTGTGGCCTCGATTTTGTCCTCTAGCTCACGCATGAAAAACACATGACGCACGCAATGCCTTTTGATTACATGCACTGTTCCCATTGCGGCAAGTTTCATGTGCGCAAGAATTGCATACTGCAGTTACCATATGAAGTTTTTGCACATGTACAGTACTTAGCTTTGCTCATTTTGTCCGAAGGGATGCTACAGTCGCTCTCGCACAAGGGGGGATTAAATTACTCTAGAATAGAACAGGCATAATCCATGGTTCTGTGCTTGTGGGCCCAAAGACCAACAGGCAAACAATTGGGCTTCTGGTGGACTGCCATTGAAACGCTTGAATCCTATTTTTGGATTGAACGCAACCCTATTCACTTGAGAAGCCCGCCCTGCGCTTGAAAGGTGACGTTGTCAGCTCCTCGCGTCTAACGCCGCCGATGGATTGTGGACCCAATTCAGACTCACCATTCGATGTTGCACAGCCGAGCACTACAAAGAAACCTCCATGCATTTGCTCCACGCATTTGGCTGCGGTAATGCCATCACCCAAAGCACGGAGGCTCTGTGGTCAGGCACCTTCCAGCAAATTGCCGGCCTGCGCAACCATCAGGTGGAACGGCATTGGGTTGGCATCCACGTCAGAGATGTCAGAGATGGCTGTCAACGTTGTTGACTCAACTGATGTTCACATTTTCTTCCGCGCCGAAACGCAGCAGGGCGGCCACAAAAAGCGACGCGATCCCACTACGATACTGGCCCAGGGGTTGCATCTCCGGGGGGCCATCGCTCCCGTCCAGGCAGATCCGAGACGCAGCCTGGGGGCTGTCCTTGTGCGCGTTTGGGCTGTTGGCGGGCTCCCGTTCCTTGGGGTCCCGTTGCTCGCCAATCGTTTCGTGGAAGAATCTTGGGATCCACCTCGGCTTCCAGAATTGAGGAGCGTCCCACGACGTGGGATCAGCAGCATCAAGCCCGGGGTCTTCTGGCCCCTCACGGCACTGAAATCGGAACGTCAGAAAGGGTCCGCGCTTCAGACGCCTGCGGCGCTCGCATTGCATCTGTTGCCCGGTGCTTAACTGACAGGCCTTTGGCGCCCCTGGGCTGGACGCTGTCCGCACGGCGCGGGCGCGGCAGTCGTGGCCCACCTGCTCCTGCTTTCCTTCCGCCTCTCCAGGGGGGGCCTGTTGACTACTGTTATTTCTTTGTATTCTTGCTGGGCACCGGGGCCCGCCGGGTTTCTTTGCATCGGTTGCTGTGCTTGGAGACTTCCGCGTCAAATCCCGTATTATGGAAAATAGGGAAATGAGCAATATCTTGCTCCAAGGGGATTTGACGACGAGGTTTTCTGCTGTTAGAACGCATTTTATACCGTTTTAGCTAGGCAAGTCTAGTCTGGTGGCTGACAGTGGTAAGTTGCTTATGTATATGTTGTCTTCAGGGCGCTAAAACAACAGCACCTAGCTGTGACGAGAAGCAGCGAAACCTACCTGCCGCATGCCGTGTGAGTCGCCTGCTTGCCATGGTGAGGCTGGGGTACGATGCACTGGCCACTCCCTGTTAGGATGCACGCTCTCTGCGGCTGCTTTTGAAGCAATGTAGGGTAGAACAGGGCAAGCAAGCATCACAACGTGCTGACTATGCGCCCGGGTTTGTTCGCAGGGGGGCGTCACGAGACTGACCGGCACAGCTATGCCAGGCGCAAGGGGGCAGAAGCTGGAGAGATCATGGAGGTGGGCAGAGGTATCCTATAGGGACAATAACTTAGAGAGAACTCATAGAGACTTACGTGCATTGGTACTTGTACATTTTCCTGTTCACTGAGGGTGGGAGAGGGAGTGCGATTTGTGCTGTTCTTTCTGTTCCTGTAGCATTTTAGGGCACCGGTGAACATGCATCTGTATTTCTTAGGCCCCCATCTCCGTTTTGGTTGAAGAAAGCCCCCCCAGATCGTGAGTTTGGCACTGTGAACTGATATCTGGCTTGGCGTTGTGTACCCATTCTATTGGACTGCCTGAGATTTTCTTCCAGCACAAAAGCCTCGAAGTGTGTGGTGAGTAGTGCCAATGCTTTGTCATCCGTCTGACAAATGCACGTGCGATTTAATGCGGGGGTCAATGTGTGGATATGCAGCAGACGGTGGGTCGTCGGCAGCAGGCGCTGTACAATCACAGGGTGATGGACTTTCTGGAAAGACAACTTGCCAAGGTGCAGGATCTCAGAACACCATCGCCAGCACGTCGGGAATAACTGGACGACTTCCACAAGCAAGTCGCAAAAGTTTGGAGGCTGCTATGGAAGCATTGTAAGAATTTCGATATCCCTGATTTCTACAAGACTGACCAGTCGCAAAAGGGAGTGGAACATATATGCACCAAGCTGAAGCGCATGTTGGATCGCTGGCACATACCTTGCAGTGGTAAATTGGAGACACAGGTATCTGCTGAAAGTGTATAGGAGTACAAGGATTTCTTGTGTGCACTCTTGAATTATGTCCTCGAAATCGATTTGAGTGGGGTTGCTGATGCAACACAGCAGTTGTTTGACGCTTTAAAGAGGGAGCATGATGAGAGACTGAACAGGGTTTTGAAGAGAATTGATGAGAACTCGATCGACAGGGAGCAGGAAGCAATTGGGAGTGGTGGTTATGCTGCTGTGAATGCAGCCACCTGGAATGAAAGAGGCCTCAGAATTGCTGTCAAAATACCATGTGGCGATGTGTCTGTCGAGGTGCTGGCCAAGTTTGTTGGAGAGGCTGCCCTGCAGGTATCCTTGAAGGGCAATCCAAACATCGTTGAGATGCATGGCTACATAGCTGCTGGGTGGCTGATGATGAATCTGGCCCAAACTGATTTGCACTCCATGTGCAGGCAACAGATGGATTGGAGGACAAAGCGTCGTCTCCTCCTGCAAACAACATGGAGCTGAAGTCAATTTACATCCAACATCCTCCCCTAGTTCATGCAGATGTGAAACCTAGGAATATGCTTGTTTTTGACAGTGGTTTGCAGGCAATGATCTCTGAATTTGGGCTACCGTTCGAAATGAGGGGAACAACAGTACGACAATCCGGGTTGGGATGGGCACCCCTTACTACATAGCTCAAAATACCTACAGGGGAATTCCTGTCACATCAAAATCGGATGCCTTCAGCTTTGGAGTCACGATGTTTGAAGTGGTGACTGGGGCAACTGCTTATGAAGACACTAGCAGAGAAGCAAATGAATATTCTTTGATGTGCATGAAGTCGATTGCTCAAAAAGATCTTTGAAAAGTGGGAAAGGAAGCCTGCCCCGAGCAAATGGTGAGGTTGATCCAGCGCTGCTGCAATTGTGAGCCCTAAAAGAGACCAACAATGGTGGAGGTTGTTGAGTACCTGCAGCAGCTACCAGCAGATTGGATATCTCAGGGACAGGTATTAGCTTGATGTCTGCTGTTTGAACCGCCCCTTCACCATCTCCATGTGAAAGCAGCATTAAATAACTTTGTACCAGTCGTAGCGATCCTCCTTGAGTTTTTATAGTGCCACTGCAGCAACTGTACCAATGGGGGAACGCGATTCTTTTTGGCTGGATGTCCCCTTGTCAGTCCTAGTGGTTCCTGGCTGCTTGACATCCGGCTCTGTCCAGTGATTAATGCAACTTGGTGCTGGTCGCATTGCCAGGGTTGTGTTGATGCCAATATTAGCCCAAAGTTCAACCTGACACTTGCTGTTGAGTTTGTTAATTATTGGCGAGGGGCAGGTTCCTGAGCACTGTGGCCTGGGCATACCGTGGATTTGTGTGTTGCTCCATGCAAATGCTTCTTACAAACATTCACATGAATGGACATGTATGTGTTCCTTGTTGTGACCTGTCAATTTTATTGACCGCAGGCATGCACGACAGCTGCAAGAGGTGCAACCCAGTTTCACTGATCATCAAACCCACAATCAGGGACATTGAACTGTTAGACTTGCAAAGCAATCCTTAATTCGCTAGAAACAAAAGGACCAAATAACACGTGTTCAAATGTGTACAAAGTTTACGGATTTGTGTTATTTTCGTGTTTTTAGCGTGCAGAACACTGACGAAATGCATACGTATTTGCTCGCAGAACTTGTTATTTGGTCCATTTTCTGCTAGTGATTGATATGAATGTCATATTCTCTTCAGCATGGTCTGGAGCACTTATTCTGATCCTTCATAAAGCGATGTTTCAATGTGGACTCCACCGTTTCAATATGGGAAAGGATACAAGGGTGTGTGATTTTCTCAGTTCAGGTCAGCAAAAGCACAGCTGCACATCGGGAGTGATTACTCCTTGTGCCTGTGAGGGTGTGCAGTTCATGGCTGTGGGTCGAATGGATGCTGTAATACATGTGACACTTTGCGTGAAATATTTTTCAGTTTTGTATTTCAATTGCTTTGCATGGACAGAAGGAGTGTGCACATCAACTGCTGTGGTGAAGATGTGGTTGTTTGTTGTGAATGAGTAGATTGACTTTCCGGACGAGGCACCCGCAGACTTGTTCAAGAAGCGGATTCAGCGGGACAGCATGTATCTCTTCCAAGGAAATTGCAAGCTCCTGGCACATGGACCTCAAATGGAAGGAAACGTGTTTTGGGAATATCGCAACAGGGAATGGGTTTCTCGAATTTGAATGCCGAATTTCAGTGACGTGGGACCAGCCGAACTAGCATCAGAAGGAGATGGGGTGCTGGACGGGGACGAGAGCTCTCGAGTGGTAACTAGGAAGCAGTAGTTGGTGCAATTGTCAGAATTGTGGGCCGGCGTGCAGTCCCTCGGGTTTCAAGCCGGATGCTTTCGGTACGTGACGTTGATGTGAATTATAATATTTATCCGGTATTAGTAGGCGTGTATTGGACCCCCAATATGCGCTGTGGGTACTAATATTGGGTCATGCATACTAAGGCGCTTCGGACCCCTGATCCCAAAGAGTGGATAAATAAAGTTTTGGACAAGCATGCCGTGAAATGCCCAGAAATAGGCAAAGATAGCAATACAATTGCGGAATGTTGTCAGCCTCTTCACAGGAACTGGCGGCCCTGACTTGGCGCTGCACCAGGTGGAGGCGACTGGCGACTGGGGCCAACAGGGGTTCACTGGAAACCTCTAGGCGCGCGTTTGCCTCTGCAGTGCAAAGACCGACATGGCTCGCGACTCTCTGGCGCGCCTCGTCGCCACGGTGCTTGACACGCGGTATTTTCCTGGGTTGAAGTCAGCTGGGAAGACCGATGGGATCTGTGATATCACAAATTTGCAATGCAAATCTTAGCGACAAATCTTAGCAATGCAAATTTGCAACAAATCTTAACACATCCACCCACCTTCCTGGACACCTCACGCCTCCCCCGACACCTCCCGGCACCCAGCACTGCCTCCCACCCTCCTATGGGGGCGGTGTTTTTGCCAATCATTGCCAGGTCAATGTAGGCTACTAGCAAGGGGACGCTGTTTGACTGCTTGAGTTCAGGAGAGACACGTGACAAAACCAATGTGTCGAAATTTTCACGTTGCCCGTGAGGATGTTCACTCACTCACCCAGCCACCCTCCTCCCCTAACCTACCATCCCGAATTAGGCCCCACCACGCCCCCCTTCCCCCCTTTGCGCTCGGGAACGGACAGAGAAAAACCGCGCAGTTGCGGTGGGCCCTCAACACCCCACGTCCGCCCCGCCCGCTGACTCGGCCGCCGGCCCCCTCGGCATCCTCCAGGGTCCGCCCCATCCCCCAACCTGTCAGCCCCGCCGTCGCCCCCCTCCCCTCGGGCCGTACGGAGCGCCAACGCCCATCCCCCCAGCGACAGCGACCGGTCCGCCCCCGACGCGACAGGCCCCACCACACCGCGGCGCGCCGCTGACGCCTGGAGGTCTCCCCGGTCGGTGGGAGACTAAGGCACCGGGAGGCCACAGAGCTTTCGGCAGCCCCTCCCCCGCCCGGCGCCAGCCGTACGGGCCCAGCGCCTCGGGATCCAGGGCTCAGCGTCGGGCGACCCAGGTATGGCCCACATCGCCCAAGGCCTTGGGTGCTTCTATGGGGGCCTTTCTTCCTCCTCTTTCCTCCTGGGCTGTACCCCGGTGGGGAACGCTCACACCAATAGCCCCCCATCGCCCTCCCGCTCGTTTTCTGCGGCATCGATGCCCCGCCATTACCCCCTTCTCTATCTCGGCGCGGGCGGAGGGGCGACTGCGCCCCATGCTGCGCACTGTCCGTGCCGGGTTCCGCGGGCACAAGCCACCAGCCGGCGTCCACGCCGCCGCTGGCCTTTCCTCTATCCGTCCGTCTAACAAATCCCCTCCCTCCCAGCCATGATCTCCACCCACGTGAGCGGAGCGCGTTTTCCCACGCTGTTCAGGCCCTTCCGCCTCGGCACTGCCGCTCCCCTCTCCTTGCTTTGCATGCCAAGTTCTCTTCGGCGTGTGACAAATCTCACCCCCCTTCCCGTTGCACCGAAGACTCCACGTAATCTTCTCACAGCACGAAAAATGCCTCGCGCACACTCGCTCAGCAGGGGGCGCCCTTTGCATAACCCGTTTCTCTTCCTCTGTAAACAAATCTTAGCCCTCTTTCTCTTTGTAACAATTCTCGCCCCCTTCCCAATTTCACCGGGGACTGCACAATCATCTCCTCACTGCACGGAAGAAAGTCTCGCGCACACCTGCTCAGGCTGGGGGGCCCCTTTGCACAACCCCTTTCTCTCCCGCTTTGTAACAAATCTGACCCCCTGGGGCAAACCTCACTGAATTTTCTCTTTCTAAGCAAACCTCAACCCATTTTCTCTTTGTAACCGACTATACCCCATCTTTTCTTTTGTAACAAACTTTTCTCCCTGTTTCTTTTCGTAACAAGTCTTTACCCTTCTTTTACCTTTCAGCAAAATCTCACCCCCTCTTTCTGTTTGTAAACAAATTTCAATCCCTGTTCCTCTTTGTACACAATTCTCAACCCCTCCGCCTCTTTGTAAACAGATCTAAAATCCTGTTCATCTTTGCAAACATATCTTACCCCCTCTCCTTGTAACAAATCTTCCCCCATTCCCCAGGCCATGCACCAGCACAGCGGAGGCTACCCCCACCCTGAGCACCTCTACCAGCGCGCGCCCGCGTTCGACTGGCGGCTGGCGCCCCTGGGCCACCAGCTGCACCCCATGGTCGCCCCGCAGCCAGGCTCCAGAGCCCCGGGCCCCCCTCAGGGCGCCGCACATCATCACGGCCAGCATCGGGGGCCCGTGGCGATCCCTTCAGGCCAGCACCAGGCAGGAAATCATCATCAACGGCAAACAGGAAATAATCATCAGCAGCAAGGGGGAAATCTTCATCATCAGCAGCAAGCGGCCGGTCAACAGCAGCAGGGGGGCGGGAGATACCCACAGGAGGGCACTTCTGGCGGCAGGTCACCCACGCCGCCGCCGAGTTTGGAGCAGTATGAGATCCTGGCAAAGATCGGGGAGGGGACATACGGGGTGGTGTATGTCGCCAGGGGACGGGACAGCCGGGGGCGGCTCTACGCGATCAAGACATTTAAGGGGGCCAAGGTGGGTGCAGGATGGGGAGGGGTGAGGGTGAGATTTGTTGAAGAGAATGAGAAACAGGTCATACTAAGACCACACCCTGCTGACCAAGTGTGCATGAGACTCTGTCCTCCCATGCCTTGGGAGGGGGCAAGGTCTGGCAGGGCACGTAGGGAAATTTGGGGTTTGTGAATGTGGTGGATGGGCATGGGGTTTCGAATGCCTCATTTTGGATGACCATACCAAGGAGGCGGCCATTGATATGAGGAAATGGCAGTATTGGCTCTCCATGTGGGTATTTATTTTGGGACCTTGTGGTTGGGTTGCCCTGTCCTTGATGGCACCCATTGTGCTGCGATGCATGGAACTGGCTGTGGTGGCTTATCTTGTGAATGGGACACAACAATTGGGATTGTCCATCCTGCATGGTATGCCTTGCCGCATGCTGGTTAAGCTTGATTGTCCCAGAGAGTGAAGTGGTGCAGTCATTTTGCCAGACTATTCTACATCAGGCAGTGCTCTGCAACCTGTGACAAATTGCGTCAGGGAGGTGGTCTGTGGGGACATGGGAAAGCCAGGATCAGCTGGGCTCCTGAGTCATGAGGTATTGGCTCTGGGGGCAGTGTGGTGCTTGGCGATCCTAAGAGTGCTGCAGGCTACAGAGGATATCGGTCCCACAGCAGATTGATGCCTGGCCACGTTAGCATGGTGCATGTGCACAGCATCAGGGGATGTGCACCTTAGGTTCAGTCTTTGCAGCTTGAAGGACAGGGCACTCTTATGCACTGGAGGCCAGTCTGTGCTCAAGCTGGATCAATTGACTTTGCATCTGTCCTTTGAGAGGAATGCAAATCCAAGGGAGTCTGTTACCCTTGAATGTCCTATCTGCAATGCCAAGTGCTGTACCACATACGTGCCTTCTGCCCTGCAGCTTATAGGCCGACCCAGCGAGCTTCATTCAATTCTGCGGATCGAGAAAAGGCACAATCTGTGTTGCTGTGACTTGTCAGGGAAGTTCGGTATGCTTTGGCTGTTGGGGTTGAGGTGCCTTGCCCAGGCTGCAGCAGATGCGATAGTTGATCTTGACATGGTGAGGAAGCTGTTTACGTAGCTTTGTGAAAGCTTATCAACCTGCGCTGCCTGGCGGTGGTGCCACATCAATGATGGTGCCACATCAATGCAACACAACTGGTGCCCAGCATGTGCCATGGCACGATCAGCTAGCTCCCTCTTAATGTTGCCAAGTCGTCAAGGCAACCGCGACGACCTGCATAGGTCGTCAAGGAGAGATCGCCGTGAATGGTGAAATCAGTGGCCATCCACACTTCACCTACCCTCAATCGGTGTCGAGTGCTAGCCAGCTGTTCCTGCCACGAAGGGGAATCTCAAGCAAGAACAGTCAGTGGTGCAGTGTGGGAACAAGTGCTGGGCGTACCTGAGTGTTGCAGTCAATGTGTTGCAGAGCAGTGTCTGAGCTTGCAAGCAGCTTTTTTGTGTTCGTTAGGCAGAGTTTCTTTTGCAGAGTTCATGATGCAAACTACTGAAGCCTGGGTCTCAAATCTGTTCAGGCGGGCGATGGGATGTCTCCCACAGCCATCCGGGAGATCATGCTGCTGAAGGAGTTGAGCCAGGACAACATCGTGCGACTGGACTCGGTGCACATCACAACGGGGGTGAACGACGCATCCCTGTGCCTGGCATTCGACTACGCGCAGCACGATCTGTACGAGATGATCAGATACCACAGGGACCACCTGGGTGAGTTACGGCCCTGCCACTGCTGCCCATGGCGTGATGCTGTGCACGCTTCACCATGTTTGCCATCAAACACCTCAACATCATGCTTCAGGATGTGGAGATGTGTGCTAATGCCTTTCTGCTGAGGAGAAGGGGCTGCCTATTGCATGGCATGTTTGCCTTTCCTCTTCAAATTGGTTCTCTGAGGGCTTGAGAGAGTCATGTGTCAAACCCCTTGGAGGAGGACTGCCCAGTGGGTGCAAGAGCACTTTGGTGTCCGCTTGTGCTGCCTGTCATTGATGTGGAGTCACATACCTGATTGCCATCGCTGTTAATTCTAACTGCAGCCTTGCTCTTTTGTTGTTTGCATATCACTCTCTCCACAGTCTGGCTCTCAGTTTGCCTCATTGCCTACATTATCGACTGTTCGGGAGTGTTCAAGGAGGCCAGGCCTTGTATTGGCATCTGCCCACTCATTCCTTGAATATTCTCATATCTGTTTCGTCCTTAGTCTCGTTGATGCCCCCTTCTCTGCACTTAGTTGCTTTGTTGCTGGCGTGCTCAAGCTGGTCGTGCCGTCTCAGGGGGTCGCCCAATGGACATGTACACAGTCAAGTCTGTGATGTGGCAGTTGCTGAAGGGCCTAACGTACCTGCACAAGAATTGGGTCATCCACAGGGACCTGAAGGTGATGATGCTCACAGCACACATCCTATCCTATCAAGTTATGGATTCTGGCAAATCGATAGTACACTGGCGCAGTGTTCTTGAGTGTGCACGGTGTGAACATTCGTTGACGTGGGCGAAACAACATGGGAATGTGGGTAATTGTTTTGTTCAATTGAACACATTGACAAAAGTAGCTGAATTTGGTTGAGCATATGGCGAAAGTGAATGTTTGCTGACGATGTGCATCTGCAAGGCTTTTGACACTTTACAAAGCTTCACATACAAAAAAGCAGCTGGCAGAGTGGGCACAGGGCCAAGTACTGATTACTAAGTGCCATGTACCAAGCTGCTGATTCAATGCCTCGCAAGCCTGCCCGCCTGGAGGACTAGTCACTGCCAACAAGGTGCAAAGGCCCTGGGTTGTCTCATGGCAATGGCGAACATGCTCCAGTGTCCCTTGAGGGTTTGTGAAACTCTGCCTGGTGCAAATCTGCATGGATTGTGTTTCACCAAAGCATGGCTAATCACTCTGCCAGCTCTTGACTGGGCAGACGTGTCTGTGTATGAATTGTTGTGCTCAATATATTGATGGGTCCATGCGGCCACTCATTACTTGGGTTGCACTGCCGTAGATGGAGCACAAGGGATGTCAGTCAATGACAGCAGTCATTCATGAATCATCAAGAAAGAATTAACAGGAGAAAAGGAATGTCAATGAGTAGAATATTGCTGTTCTTGCAGCTATGAGGCAGTGTCCGATCTGCCAGCAGGGCCTCATCACATTTGTGCTTGCACCAGAGCATTGGCCAAGGGTGTTGCTGTTCACGTTCACTTTGCGCAGCTCCAATACCACAATGCGGTACTGCAGTGGTGTACAGTGGTTACCCTTGTGAAGTACTTGTTACCCGCAGGCTGGTTGCCTGAACGTTTGTTGCATTGTTTCAGCCATCCAATATACTTGTGATGGGTGAGGGCGAGGAGCACGGGTGTGTGAAGATCGCTGACTTTGGTCTGGCAAGGATATTCCAGTCCCCACTGAAGCCATTATCAGAGAATGGAGTCGTGGTGACGATCTGGTACAGGGCACCTGAGCTGTTGCTTGGGGCCAACCATTACACCAAAGAGGTGGACATTTGGGCGGCAGGCTGCATCATGGGCGAGCTCCTCACGCTCAAGCCCCTGTTCCAGGGACAGGTGTGGGGGACTGCGTGCCACTGCTGTGCAACAGCATTGCAGTGGTATTTAGCCTTGTAGTCTCTTCTTCTGGCAGTGGCATTTTGGTGGTGCTTGCACTTGGAGTTCAGTGTGGACTAACGGCTAGAGGGAGTGCTATTTGAGCAGAGCGACCACACCACTCATCGTATTGTAACTGCACCGCTGAGATTGGAAAATGGTGACGATGTCGCGGTGACAGTCTGTTGGATTGTATATACCAACTTGTTATGATTGCTGACAATATTTGCACCTGCAACACAGTACCTGACAGGCCAGTAGCATCTTGTGCTGTCACGATGTTGAAATGATGTGCATTATGGATGGACAACGTGTTCACTCAAACTGTAGTTTTGATCTTGTTTCTGCACAGTGTCCATGATGAAAATGTATTCCTGGCATCGATGCCATCCCCTCATGAGCGCAGAACCTGGGGGATACGTTAACATGCAGTAGCACCATAAAATAACACTCAACAATTTCCTTCCAGTCAACATCGGCACCATCTTTGCAGGAGCGTAAGAGCCCGGGCAATGCCTTTCAGCAAGACCAGATGGAGAAGATCGTGCGGCTGGTGGGCTTCCCCAATACGCGCACCTGGCCCGACCTGGAGCACCTCCACCACTGGCACGACAACACCAACAACATCCGCATATGCAGCGCGGGCCGGCGGGACAGCCGCCTCGAGCAGTACATGGTGGAAAATGGTGGGCTGCGGCGGGGCTGTGCAGCCCTGGATCTGATGAACAGGATGCTGACGTACGACCCCAAGCAGCGGGCGTCGGCGGAGCAGGCGCTGTCGCACCCTTGGTTCAAGGAGGAGCCCTTGCCGGGGAACAATGTGTTTGTTCAGGTGAGCGGGCAGCAGAGGTTTTGTTTTCTAGTTTTTCTTGAGGTTTGAATGTGAGGCATCCTTTCAGACAAGTTGTGGTGCAAGGCACGGTGCTTGGCAGTGCTGGGTTGCCACCCGTTTGTCCAAGGGGCGGATTGAGTGGAAATGGGATATTGGCTGCAGCATTTGAGCACATATGATGAGCAAATTCCAGGTGTGAAACCTGAAATTTGAATACGCAAACAGCTAGACACCTCGTTGAGAAGTCCATCATAGTCTTTGAGTCATCAGCGATCGAGCTCATAAGTGCCAACTTGTCAGCAGCCATGAGAGTACATGAAAGTCCATGATTCATCGGCCATCAGTGTCCATGAGACGTCCATACATTGAAACACATGTTTGTTTACTTGAGCGCTCTATTGACCGCTCTATTGAGCACCCATCAAGTTTGTGTTGAAGCACCCTTTTAGGCACTATGGGTACAGTGCTTAGCACTCAGCACTTTGACATTGTCCACATTCTTCCCAAGAAGGTGGTTACAGTGCAAATGGAAAACTGATTCTTGGTTTCAAAGCACATATGCTGATCGAACTGCAGTTTCCTGACAATAAAGAGCACAAATGGCTGTCAGGAGGAGCACATGTCCTGGGACAGCGAGGTCGCAGCACGGTTGGTGTGGTTGAGTGCAGGGTTAATCAGAAAAGTGAAATATGGTTAACAAACTCACAGTTTCTTGAAGTTTTGGTGTAGAAATGGGGCAAAAAAGTGTGTTGTTCAGTCGACGAGACTGGGAACACATGGTTCAGCGCAAAACCCTTGCAGGGCAACAAACTCCGTTGGGAAGAGTTCAGGGAGTAAAGATAGAAGTGTGCTCATGTGCAGAATGGAAGACCCACAAAGGTGCAGTACCCTGTAAGGATGAAGACTGGGCAGGAGCAGCGGCCGCAGGACAAGCAGTCTCGTGGTGTGTCTGGCAGTCGCAGCAGAGGTAGGTAACTGGGGCCCAGTAGCTGGACCCTCTCAGGAAATAGTGTGGCAACCAAGTTCTATGGAAAGGAACAGTTGCACCACTTTCTCATAAGAACCGGGACCAGACTCAACATGCAGGATCTACTTTTATGCACAGGATCTGGAACATCTGCATTGGCCCCTGGCAGCAGGCTGCCTGCTGCCAGCAGAAACCGCCACGGGGATGTGCTGACTGCACTGAGGTAGCACATTGGAAGCTGATCAGAAGGCGAATGGAAGATAGCGTTGTGGCCTGTCAGCTCGTTGGAAGGTGTGCAGAAGGCGGCCAGAAGGTGACGATGTCCTGGGTGGGAGCTGCACAGAACCATGATGGCAGCTGCTGCGATGCTGCGCTCAGCAATTTGGGCACGATGCTGTGGAGTTACTGATGCTGTCGTTTGTGGCCGGGAGGCCACCAACAATAACGTCAGCAGACAGAAGCCATCAAAGCCAGCAATGATGTCAGTAGAAACCAACGCTGACGCCAGCAAAAGCCAAGAGCATGAGCCCGGGCAGTGCCGGAACACCACCCCTAGTTAGGGCGGTTTTGGGTGCAGTTGAAGGTGGTACCCTCCTCATGCTATACATGGACCAAGAACCCTTGCCTGTGGATTACGTGATGCACCCCAGTGGGCAAGCAGGCGCTGTCTACTAGCAGTCCAGAGCCTGCAATGCAAAGAAGTTGGTAACACTAGGTGCATGTTTTGGAATCAACAAAGGGAAAAATATTAGGTGCAGCAGTCTCGTGGCACAGCATGCAGTTCTGGGTGTACATTAGGTTGCGCTTGCTTAGGTTGGTTTGGCATGGTTGTTGGACTTTACTTCATGGTGTCCAGGCAGCCTGGATTCAATTCTTTGTACGTCAGAGCTGGAGGCTTCAAGCGGAACTACACTTAGAAGAAAAAGAAGAAGAAGAATTGGCTTAGAAGAATTGTGAAATTGTAGAATTGGCATTGCGATGTTTGGGCTCCTGGTCAAACACCCGTTGGGTGAGCGCGGTGCGAAAGCTCTGAACTACTGTGTCGTTGTTTGTGTTGTGGCAAGTGCTGTGGTAAGTGCAGCCGTTGCATTCGCTGTTAGTCACTTGCCCCTGCTTTCAATGCGGAATGTGTGACAGATGTCTAACAAATGGTGACCGAGTGACACAACACCGTTGACCAGTTGGAGAACTGTCCTGGACTTCTGGAAAGCGTTGCCAACAAGCTGAAAAGGGATCTTGAAAAACTGCCAGGTTCTGCTAGATCTTCGGGGGACCAGCCTCCCTGGCGTTGAAGCTACTTTGACGCCGAGCCATGCTGGAGAGGTGCCACAACAAAAAAGTGCACAGTACATGGGCTGAAAAAAACGGGTCAGGGTACCCGGAGTTTGCGCAAGTCGGATACCATAGGGGTCCCTGTATAGCGCCCCCACGTGACATGGCCAAAAAGGGGGCGCTATTGGGGCCGGGGGCACTGAAAATGTATTCGTTTAATGCATTTAATTGTAGCTTTAGTCATAAAATAACACTCCCCATCATTAGAAGAAGCAAAATAGACCCCTTAGCCGTGTTGTGGCCTGTTGAGCTGCCAAGTCGACCCATCACACACGCTTACCATGTGACATTGTGTTACAGTAGTGTAACACCGCATTTGATGCTAGGGAAGACGCTGTGTCGATTTTGGTACTCTCGGCATCAATGGGACGTTAAACTCAGAAAACCCCCGCCTGCTGCGAGGCGCTTGGCCCTGGCACACCCTTGGTGGACATGTGCAGCTGTGCCCCGCCATTAGGACGCGCCCTCCAGGGCGCCAACTGTGGCGCGTCCGGCGGCTGGAGATTCTGGCGCCAATTGTGGCGTGGCGAGGTGGCGGCGGCTTGCGGCGGTGCCCCTTTGGGGCGCCGCGGCACTTGTGGGTCAACTGACGTCAACGGCGCCCCTTTGACTTCCCTTGCGTCAGGGGTGGTGGCTTCTGGCGCCTGCGGTTTGTGGAATACTTATTGGAACGGTATTTGCAATATTGCAAACAGATTGCCCCCCGGAGGCCCCACCGGCTCGTGGTGCCTGGAAGTCATCCTCGAGTGTCGCCGTGGGTCCTCCGCACCAATAACCGTGGCCTCCTCAAAGTGGTCCCAATCTAGCAACACCTCCATGACCCCTGGGTGGCGGGTGTACGGGGTGCCGGGCTGACGGGTTCAAACCGCTCGGTCCTGCTCGAGGCCAGGCAGTGGCCATTGGTGGCTGCGGGATAATCTGAGAGCGACCAAGACCGGCGGCTGTGCGACAGCAGCCTGCTGCGGTGTTATGCCGTCGGGCCCAAAGGGGATTGTCCTATATCAATGGGTTTCGGACTAACAGGTGACTAGGGGACCATGAAGGTCACAAAAGGTACTAAGGACCTATTTAGACTAACAACAGCGCCCCAAGACCACAATGAAAACGGTAACGAGCCTCGTGACCTCAATATCTTCATGTTCGGGAATCTGGCTTGGTATTCACACCGTAAACACAAAACATATTTTGCTTTTTACGCGTAAGAGCGGCCCTCCCGTGTGAGAATACGTAAATAACAACGTACAGCCTCGTGTACATAATAACAGTACGTGCAGGCTTGTGGAGTCAGGGGAGTGGCAGTCAGATGCGCTGGACGGGGTAGAAAACGAGTTTTCCTTCCATGCCGTCTTTGTCCTTGCCGAGGGCGAGGTCGACATTGTGTTGCAGATGCTGGAGATGGAGAAAGGCTGGTCACTGTACGCGAATTCTTTCATCGCGTAACCTGAGTGTCGCAAAGAGCCGCCAAAATGCAAAAATAGCCACAAAAAACAGATCCTTTCGCAAATTTCCATTGCTGCGCGTAAAAACGTACACGCAAAAACGTAAACGCAAACTTAAATTTACGTTTGTTGCTGCACACCTGCCGGTAATTAAGGGCATCGGACGTTTGTGGGTGTTCATCCCTATCATGAACTTTTAGGTAACAAGACAAAGGGGTGGCCGTCAGCTTCATGTATTGCCCAAGCCAAACGGTGTCTGAGATTTTTGTTAGGTAAAATGTGCTGATGATGATGATGGTGATGACGATGTTGAGGAGGAGGAGGCTGCGCTTGTTGGAATCTAGTGTGCAACAGAATTTGTGATCCCTGGCCCGGCCCGACGCCCGTCCAGTTGCCAAGCCACCTCGACGGGCCCTTACGCCGGTCTCGCCCGTGCACATTTTGATCCCCGTGCGTGTCCCAGGGCAATCGCCCTGCGCAACGCCCTCGGATTCCCGCCGCAGCCTTCCAACAGCACGGGCATTGATGGCTATATTGCCGGTCGCTCGGTCGTCGCGTCCCACCCCCGCCCTCCTCCCCACTAACCCTTCAGGCTTCGGAGCGACACCGCCCCTCCGTAGTGTTTTGCACAGTACTTACAACTCAGCCATCCCAGAAGTAATCCACAATTTATGCGTGGCTCCCTCATACTATACCCCAACATGCGGATATTTTGAAGTAACCGAAGTCGAATAATTGATTGCTGCTTGACATGAGTACCCGCGTTATGTGAGTGTGCATTTGCACGTTCATCATCCAGGGACGGCGGACACCTGCAGTCGATCGGCGCTGGCGAAACTATGCGCTTTTGCCAGCGCCGGGCCGCGGCAGGTGTCTGGTTCACCTGGGGTGCGCTAGTATGGAGACGCATTGTTGCGGCCCCTACGTGTATTGCACAGCACTTGCCATCCCAGAAGTTATCCACAATTTATGTATGGCTCCCTCGTACTATAACCTAACATGCGGATATTTTGAAGTGAACGAAGTGGATGAATTGATTGCTGCTTGGCGTGAGTACCCGCGTTATGTCAGTGTGCACATACGCGCCCATCACTCGAGGACGGCGGACACCTGCAGTGGATCGGCGCTGGCAAAACAATGCGCTTTTGCCAGCGCCGGCCGCGGCAGGTGTCTGGTTCACCTGGGGTGCGCTGGTGTGGAGGCGCATTGTTACGGTCCCTACCAGGTACACGAGCGAAAGGGAGCTCGCTGCTCAACATCCCCTTTACTGTTTGGGGCGCTGAGCCCGAAGTGGATGCAAGAGACGACGGAACAGTTGGCTGGTGGGTGAGGGCGGCGGGGTGTGGGAATTGTTGGGCGATGCGCAAAAGGCGAGGTTTGGCGCCGTGCCTTCAGATATGGTTCAACTTGACATCTGGCCCACCATTTTGTTGACCTCGAGTTTCTTGATCTATTGGCCGACTTGCATCCCTCACTAATTAGTGCCCACTAATCCCCAGGGATTGTTTACTTTGGATCTGTACTAGTGGGGGTTAATTATTGGGGATATTAGGGACTAATTTGTAGGGATTATGAGAGGGAATCTCTACTATAACAGAGCAAGCGCAGGCAATGGGGGAGCAAAACTGCGTACAGCCTCTGATGATATCTGTTGTCGGGCAGAAGATGTACCGACGCATTCAAGGCAAACACACGGGGATATCCCAGTGTCCCGGACACCCAAAGCACACAAGTCGTCAACCGTGGGGAATGGAACGAATACATACAGCACCTACACGAAACCCAACACCAGAAGCACAAAATACCCAGCATCCCAGTACAAATCAGGCACAGAGCTCAGCGACAACGCACAGCAGGAAGCGGCGACCGGGCGACGTGCGCCTCATTGTCAACGCCTGACGCAGCACTCCGCCATTCCGCCATTATTGACGTACAATACACCCTCCACCCCATTCATACAAAAACGACCATTCGCCAGGCATTCTACAAAACAAGCGGCATCCCCATCGCGCAGAAAACTCCACATTGGGAAAATGTTCTACAAAGCTCAGTGCTTCCTACGGCACTTGTCTCTACCACCTTTCACTGAATCTGCGTTGAGCCCTGAAGTCAATTTTGACGCGCTCCCCAAATGTGCTCCTTCGGCCTTTGGCCGATCCAGTCCGCCCTTTGGGCCTTCATCTCCTCCAGCCTGCGCCCTATCTCGCAGCACTCCGGCCGGGTCTCCGGATCTCGGCCGGCGCACTCCTTCGCCAGCGCCCACAACGGCTCCGGACACAGCCTCTGCGCCACGAGGACGCCTTCCTCGCTGGGCTCGTTGGTCCCCGTGACGCACTCCACAATCACAACGCCCAACGAGTACACGTCACAGCGCTCACCCTTCAAGGAGCCAATCAGCCCCGCGCGACTGCTGCTCGGTGCGATGACGGTGGCGCCCGCCGCCGCGCGCTTTCTGCTCTCCAAAGCGTCTAGAGGCGATTTTTGGAGCTCCGGGGCGATGTAGCCCAGAGTGCCGCGGAGGCTGGCGCTGATGCTGCATTTCAGTTTGATTTTGGAACAAGTGAAGTCCGCCAGCTTGGCCTTGAGCACCGAGGCCTCGGCGCCGGCGTCCCAGAGTTCTTCCAGCAGGATGTTGCCCGGTTTGATGTCGTAATGGATGACGCCGTGCCTGTGGAAGCGCAAAGTATTTGGGGTCCATAAAGAGAGGACGCAGCGTCGCGCCAATACCCGATGAAGTGTGGAAACCATCCCTTTGTTTTTACACCTTTGAACTTTCTTCGTAGTACATACTTTGTCGCAGAACTCTCGAAGTAAGAAATAGAATGCGCGCCAGAGCGCAGATGATAGCTGAACTGCTTTTTTGCATTTCAATTAAACAGAATTGTTGAATCGGTTGCTTTACATCTTACTTGAATGGAATGTTTTGAATCGGCATTAAAATCCGCAAGCGAGCAAAGGCGGCCCTCCTTTACCTGTGAAGGTGCTCCAGGCCGGCCACCACGTCAGACGCAATGCTCAAAATCTGGCCGTACGTCAGCCCCGCGGAGTACTTGGTGTCCTTGTGCAGCACCTCCTCCAGGCTGCCCCACATCAGCTCCTCCACGATGATGGGCGTGGGCAATAGACGGCCGCCGATCACCCGCACGATGTTTGGGCTCTCCGGCACGGCGGCCACAATCTCCAGCTCCCTCTTGATGTACTCAGCATCGCTCTGGCTCCAGAGCCTCGCCGCAGACTTGATGGCCACCTTGTGGGCCCTAGACTGGCCGTCCACCCAAACGCCTTCGTTGACGACTCCAAACGCGCCGCTGGCGCTCCAGCCGTTTTCCAACAGCACCACTTTTATGTCCCAGATCAAAGGGTTCCTGGATCCCACCGGGACCGGTGGATGCCTCACAATTCGTGGTGGTGGACGCAAGTCGATAAGCTTCGGTTGGAACGGACCGTTTCGCACAATATCGGAGATATTCGTAGAAACTGAAGCGGGCGGGTGTGAGCTCCCCTCCTCTGAGATCTCCCCCGACCCACTCGAATTGGTGTCCGGCGTGTCTGGCCTGATGTTCAGTATCACCCTGTCCGGGGCTTGAGGATCGCCACCGATCAGCACATCTTTCGCGACGACGGGTCTCATCCATGGGACCTTATGCCTGCCACATCACCAAGAGCGGAATAAGAACACTGGCACGCATTGTGCACGTATCCGCCAGCCTCTCGGCGTAATGCTGGGACTAACACTTGAAGCCATCTCCATTTGGATTTCAGTTTGCGACACCTCCTGTAGCGTTACATTTGAATCTATGACATTGGTACACGTTGCCCAGCTGTCGATGCAACCAAAACTAGTAAACGACGCACCTACCGAGAAGTTTCTGACCCAAACCCACCTAAGATCAGCTCCTGCGGCCGTCTAAGGGGCGATGGTGCACCAAAAAATGGTGATTGCAAAAACGCAAAAACGAGCTAACATGTCTAAAAGATCGCTAAACATTGACAATGCTAGAGGACCGAATGGTATCGTGGATACAATTTAAATGAACTTATGTCGCAGGCAGCAGGTGCTGCGTTCAGGAGGTCTAGCGAGCTGCGTGTTTTGAATATTATCATCAAAAGGTGCCGATCAGTTCAATGCTTTTTCTTTCGCTTTTTCTTCTACTACATTTTCCCACGGCATGCACCAAAGCAATCAAGCCTATCCATGTATGTACTTCGCTGTAAATTTTGCAGACATCCCTTAAAATTTTCAGCTTATAAACGCAAACTCTGTTACGTACCAATGAATGTATTGAGACATAATTTGGTACTTTTTTTGTCCATACACATGTTGTACTATGTGCTATTCAGCGCGTCTATGCGCCATGCCTGGGGCACGTCCTGGGGACATAAGACTACAGCTTCTGAGCTTAGTACCACATTCAAGGTCAAGAACTTTCACCACGACTGCCGTGCCTCGCATGTCAAGAATTCAACACCGCCAACCGAGTGCACAACACGAAGCAACAGCAATATTGTAGAGCAATGCCTTCAGCACCAAATGCGTTTGATAATGTGAGGTGCAGAGAACCGTGTGCCTCGCCAACATACCCCATCCCGGACTTGCTTTTGCTCACACACTTTTTGGAACGCAGCGCACATGTTCGTCAAGTCTGCGTGGACAAAAAGAAGTTAACAAGGAAGGAGCAAGTACACCACACGCGCTGGCGATGCCCTTTTCATGGTGAGGATAGAATAAATTTGACTGGCCGTGCCCGGCAGATGCATTGCCAGAGCTCTACTTCATTGCTAACACGGTATCCAACGCGCTAAGCTTGCTTCCTTCTGCATCAGGATGCGTTTTTGATGACAGCTAAGGGGAGCTATTGTATTCGTGATTCTGGACTTAAAGGCACTCCCCCAGATTCCTTGGGCAACTCTGAGCCGTGTTCCGTAGCAAAGCGCATCCGTGTAAGAATTCCTGCCTTGACTACTGAACCTACTCGAATCCGAAGTGCGGTCTAGGAGCTTGGAGTGAAACCCCGTCGCATGATGAGTAAAGCGCCATTTACGCAGCATGTCATAGGATCTGCGCACGGCCTCTGTGCTGAACAAATGATCGCCAATTGTTTTAAGGCCATCAATGAGGTCCGAATACTGGCAGAATTACAGGATATTATCAGGATATTATCATAATATTGACCGAATATTGGCCTCACCAGCCCCACATCCAGTGCAAGTCAATGTGTTCGCTGACAGCGCAACAGTCGAAGTGTACCTTGCAGCGATGTACAGTGTCAGGCCGATAAGCAGCACTCCCACCAAGACTCCGATACCCCCCGTGATCGTAACTGCGTTGGTCCTCTTTGGCTCTCCTCCCTGCACGAACAGAAGGCCAGTCGGCCCACCAGATGGGTACGTATACGAAAGGAAAATGAGCTGCACCTTCAGCTCCAAACGTTTTTGATATAGGTCTACCGACTGGCGCCAACATATACAAGGCCATGTTTGCATGAAAGAACTGTTTGGCCACCTGTGAGGTGAATTGCAGATTCCACCACTGAAAACGGGCGGCGCTAGCACACGTGCCAGATCTGCAGACAAGCGTTGTTTTGTGGATCACTGGAGGTCTTCGCTGTGTATAAAATACCCAATTCATGATCTTTTTTTATAGGGTTGCTAATAGCAAGTGCGCTACCGGGCGCAGTATGGTACTTCTCAGTCAACGTGTACATTTAATTCAGGACAGAGGAATGACGTAGTGTCTCGCATGTGTTCCATGCATATTCGTGCTCACGATTGCTCAGGCACATTGCGTCTTGCAGCACACCAAGCATTCTGGCCTTAGTGCCAAATCGTTCCGGTAGGCTGATCTTGGGGTATCAGGAGATGCTTCCATCTGGTGTGCTGATGCGGTCAATGGCATCCTATCCCTACTGTGCGCATTGCTGGGATAGGGCTTACGAGCCGCGAAGACCACAGACAGTTTGGGCCCTTCCATCAAATCGAGATTCGCGTCGCGACACGTGCCAATAATATAGACCACTTGCGCTCCAAATGCTGCATCGGCGCCGGCATTCTCCAAGCCACGCCCAGTACTTACCGCCAGAGAGTGGGAGCTGTTGGAAATGCCAGGAACATCGGACGTGTTGAGTAGACCCGGGCCTGCGATCTCCTCAACCTTAGGGGATGGCACTGCCGGGCATTCCCTCTCCAGCGTCTCTTCGGAGCAGCACACCAGTTCCGAGTAGCTCTTGGGGGCGCCCCTAGAATTCCCACGGCATACCACTCCGTCAGCGAAAGCGTCAAACTGCCGTTTGTCGGCAAATAGCTGGCCTGCTTTGATGTCTTCTATCTCGTCGCATCCCTCGCTCTGCAGGCAACCTTGGGCCGTCGCGCTGTTCAGGGCCGCGTGATCGATAACTTCCACTTCGCCCTGAAGAAAAACAAATGCAAAATCAGTCCGAAAGTTTGAAATTCAAACAGACATTCGAAACGCGTGGTTCTCGTGTGAACATGGTAGAGCGCCGTCTATTGGCAAAATATGACTGAATTCGATGTCACAAAAATCTTGGAATGCTTGATCTCAGGCAAGTGGGGCAGCTTTGCGAGCCTTGGTCGCATTTTGCTGCGGTTCGATTTGCTTGGATGTGCAACATCTTTCATACAACGTGATAGCCTGACTGCGCATGATCGATTTGGTAACTCGAACCTTAAACTCTCTGCTTCAATACACAAAACAGTAAGTGCACAATTAATTATCACATTCGCGGCGCTCTTCTTTTGGATTCACTGCTGTTTTCTGGCGTATGCCTGCACTGGAGAAACTCCATTGTTTCCATCCACACAATCTTTCTCCTGCCAGTGCGCACCCGACAGGCGAGAGGCGGGCTATCCTCCCCGTCGTCGAAAGCGCAGACAAAGGCCTTCTCCTCCTGGCAATTCTCGCCGCCGAAATTGTTTCGGGCGCCTCGGGGGTCGATAAAACCCGCAAAACAGCTTCCACCGCTGCCCGGATGGCGCAGCGACAGCTCATCTTGCAAGAAATCCGCCTGAGACGAGAATAACAACTCAACAATGACAAAGTAATAGAGAATATATTCGTCAAGGTCGCCCGGCTGTTGTTTGAGATGTTGCGTTACCGAACTATTGCGTCACAGATGATAATTTCATGAGCCGAACGTGCCCTATCCGAACACATTATCCATTGCGCCTTTCCAATTCAACATGACAGCTCCTTCGCGGGAAATCATGTTCAGTGTAGTGATTTTTCCAACATGAATTAGTATGCATTAACCTTTACCTTTGTTGCTATCGTTTTCGTTCAACATTGACAACAAAACTACCACAGATTTCTGGCGCTGTCGCAAACAATGTCACACACGGCAAGTTCATCTGAGCAGGTTTCTCTACAGATCAACATAGGCGTTCTGTAATAGCGCAATAATGACTCTCACAATTGTTCCATCTTCTATTGCTTAGGAATTGCTGTGCAGTTCTCGTCACTCTCAACGCACCTTGCCAATTCTGCGTCGAGGCTTCAAACAGGCAAAGAAAGCACGCATTATTCAGCACCACGTCGCTCCAACACGGACATTGGGCTGGAGCGCAACGGGACAAGACTCCATAATGCCGCCGACTACCATTGAAACCCAAATCTCACCTCCGCGTTCGACCCCAACCAAGCCCATTTCCGCATTACAAGCTGCAACCCCATCCACGCGCCGTCCGGCGGCACCACCGTCGACAGAAAATGCCTGGCCTCTCCAAACACCTCTTTGCCTTCGACCGACAGCATTCCCAAGTCGGCGAGGCGGCCCCCAGCGTCGCTGCACCTCCGGCTTGCCGCCTGGAAGTCAACGCGGGTTGCGTTGACCATGTACGTGACGTTCCGGAGGCGGTAGCACGCCTGGGGGAGAGGAGGGTCGCGACGCAGGATGGGGCACTCCAACGCGGAGCCCCGCAACACCTGAGTCATCCAGAGGATGCCAACTTCAGCCCCAGCTCGCAAGTGTTCTACCACTGGGACAGCAATTGCCAGGTGGCAAATTCAACACACAACATGGATATGACCGTTTCCAATTATACACCCACATGTTTTGTCATTTGGGATCATTGGCACTACATCTTTTAATGTCTGTATTTTCTATGGCGAATGTTTCAGATTCGATGGCAATGACAAAAACGCAAACCCGTTTGCTGAAACGAGAGCGCAAACTTGGGGGGCCACTCAAATGAAGAAGCAGCAGAATCCCGATTATAATGACTTCATTAGACTTCCACATCAGCGGAAGATTCTGGCGTAGTTCGAATCTATTGAATTGCTCTATATGGCAATCGAAAACTCATCCCTACAGCGCCCTTTTTGGGTACCGTTTTGCGGAATACCCGGACCAATTCTCAGCATTGGGGCAGTGGGAACGAAGAGTGTCTGTCCGTTTGCCCTCCGCTTCAGGGGTGCCTCCGCACCCACAATAAGTGATGCCAAATCAGTGAACGTCACGTCAACTGGTCGATTTCAAAGCGTTCTGCATAATTTATAGGCTGCTACTATCAAATCAGCGCAATTTAAGCCAAATTTCACCATCCAAATAGCTAACCACGCGGTGGGTAAAAATACACTATTGTCAATGAATTTTCTAGCCGCTCAGTCAAAATACGGTGCAATGCAAACATTTATCACCAGACCTACATTGTTTGTGAGAGTCCTGAATTCCGAAATTCTCTGTCTTCCCATAAGCAATGAATCGATGATTTCTGCGCTAGGGGAGACATTGTCCTATCCTCGCTGTAGCAGCCATCATCACTACCATCGCTTTCACAATTACCACAGGCTCCCCTGTCACGCGCTCTTAGTTATCTTGGAGCTGCACATAGTAATTCATGTGCAAATTTATTTATCCAGAATATGATTTAACTTACAAAAGTTCTGCAAGACTTTCGGTTGTGCTGACTGGATGCATCATGCCTTGGAACTGAACCAAAGCGTGTATTTTAATTGATTCATTGAAGGTTGTTGCCGCGGATTCATTCTATATAATCCATGGGCGCTGTGGTATGAACTCCGTGTTGAAAGGGCCCACCACCCTTCCATGCGAGTGCATGAATTATCTCTCCCGCGGCACACGCACTGCACTGGAACAGCTCCGAGCTTGGCCAGCCTTCCATTTATAAGCTAAGCGCAGTGCAAGCCTGTCTGCACAACTTTATCAATCAATCGAAAATAGTCCAACCGCCTCTCACCTGCATTTTGCAGTTGCCGTAGTCGTAGTTCCCGTCGCATCGCCGCGCGTTTGTCAGATCATTCCTGATGGCGTTTCGGATCTGATCCTCATTGAGACCGTATTTGTCTCGCAGCTCTGCGATGGGGGCGTCCTTCGCCACTACGCCCAGAAGCAGCCTCTGTGTGGACGTCTTGCCATTCGCGCACCTTTGAAAGCAGCGGGTCACACAGGGTCGGAAGCCACCATCTGGCGTCAGGTCTGACAGGGAAGGCTAATGTCAAGTACTGTTAGTAACTAGAATATACATTTTATGTGTGAAATTGTTTTATTTTAACATGGAATTTTCCGCGCGGCTGTTGATTCAAACGCCATGTGAATTGTGGGGCGGCTAGGTGGTATGAGACATCCAACACACTGAGAAGTAACCTTTACTGGCACTTTTATTTTCAGGACGTGTTGTTGCCATATCGCAAGTCGTCCCCACACAGTGCAGTTCGCCTAAATGCTTTAAATTTTATACTTTGTTTCATTACTGGTTTGCTGACAGTGCGAAAGACCAGTTGATATCAAGAACAAATAAAGTACAAATGCTGGACATGTCAGTATACGGGAACGAACTGAATTGATCTTTCCCCTCTCCTGCCAAAAAGGGGAGCAGTTCTTGAATGCACTCTTCCTGTGATTAAAATGTAATCTACTTTTTCTTTATTCTTTGTATTTTATACTGTTGTTTGCTTTTGTTTTATATTGGAGAAAAGTTATTATTACGTAGTATATAATGAACAATTTCACTTCATTTTACGCAATATACTGATTTTCTTTGATCGATTTTCAATTCTCTGACCTTGGGCTGATGAAGACTGGGCAAGTGGCGGTCGTGATGGTTCCCAGACCGCTTGCGTCCTCGTAGAGCGGAGACAACAAAAACTGGTCTTCTATTGAAAACTGCTCCCGGGAGAACGCGATATACTGGAAGTAGGCGGCCAGGTCGTTGAGCGGCGATTTCTGGCCTGTGTCGCACACCCAGGGAGCCTTTCAAAACAGGCGGCAGCCAATACAGTCCACGGATTCCGAATCAAGCTGGTCAGGGAGGAACTAACACGTGATTTGCAAAGATGTGCAAGGAAATTCAAATATCATCTGTGTTTTACTATGATGGCGACCCAAGATCGAGTTGAGTCAGTGTAGAGTTGGCGACCACTTGCCAGCCCAAACATCGTCAAAAGTTCACTACTTCCTCAGTTTCCCAAATGGGCGAAAACGCTCACAAGGCCAATGCATGAAGCACTATATCCTGCACCCCCCACCCCCCACCCCCCACCCCCCCCCACCCCACCCCACCCCCCCCACCCCACACACAACTCTCCGCCCTGTCGACAGCCCACCGTCGATCCTTGACCACACGCCCCGATTCCGGCACGCCATCTGTCGCGGCAGACTGTCCCCGTCGTCCTGCGTCCTCAGCATGGTGAGCGTGAAGATGGCTGCCCGCTGCGAGTCCTCCTCAATGCTCCTTTGCCGCCTCTCCACCTCGTCCAGGCTGCGCTCTATCATGCCCGTCCCGGGAGCCGCTGCCGACTCCGGGCGATTCGCGAAGCAGAGGCTCTGGTTCCGCAGGGTGCAAGGGCTGCCGTCGCTTATGACGACGATGATCTGGGAGGTGACACAAGCGGGCACGCGAGCGTTGCTGATCCCTTCGATTGCGCAGCTGCACAATAGCCGAGACAGCAGAGGGCACCAAAACAGAAATAAAGTAGTATGTGACAATTGCACAGCGTTTTGGCTTTTTCCTGTAGGGTTTGCGCCACAAATGTACGATTTTCATCAACATAAACCACCCAAACCGGCAAACATTTATATGTGAGAAGTTTTCAGCCTCTGAAAATCTTCCACTGCGGTTGCTACAACAGCGCACAAAGAGTGAGAATGTGGCCATTCCACACTTTGAAGGCTGCTTGTCTTTAGGATGCCAATATACCCGTGTGCCAATTTTCCAGAACAGTTAAAAAATGCATGGCGGATGCATAGTAATGGTGGATTTGTACAGCGTGATCAAAAATCCTCAACTTGATGCCAAAGGCTATAATCGGATTCCCCATTGATGCAATGGTCAATGAATGCATTAGCAAATGTACTGCCTGGCTTCTTGGGTGATTGCCGTACGAGAGGGACCCTCTGGCAAACCAGAACCTAAGCTTAGGCCTGGCCAAACTCCAGCCTTTACAAACCAGTAGCGATTGAACTATGGACTCTCCAGCCCAGTATCATGATTTTCATTGAAGAATAAAAACCAGTCGTGCCCCGCCTTGTGCCTTCCAAGGTACCAGAGCTCGCCACTTCGTCATGGCAGATCGACTGGCTGACTGATCAATCAATCCCACTGTTCATTGAAGGGTATGCGGTTCGTCTCAAGCATTTGCAACTCACTTTCTGGCAGACTTTGCACGCTTGGTGGTCGTTTTCCGGCCTGAAGGACCTCTCAAACACGTCGAACGCCTCGTTCATTGCGGCGCCCGAATCCGACCCGTGCGCAGGGACGACCTTCTCAAGCTCCTCAATCATGGCGCCCACGTTCCGCTCGCTGGCCTTGACGAGTGTGCTCTCATTCCTGGCGTTGTTGAGAAGGACGCTCGTGGCGTTGTTGAAAACGAGGATGTTGAAGTAATCGTCCACGTCAAGGGTGCCCATGAAATTGACGAGAATGTCTTTAACGGCGTGCCAGCGCTTCTTGCTCCCCTCGTCTCCGTCGCCTATGTTGAGTTTGGCACCCATTTTTTCTGTCCGACAGACCATTGAATTTAATGTCACCAAGGGACGTTTGAATACTGCCCGTGCTACAATACCGGGATCGAATTTGAGAAGCAAACGAAATGGACTGTGCAGTTTGGGAACCAGTGAACTCGGCGACATGCGCTCAAACCATTTACAAACAATGTGGCGACAGAAACATAGTCAAGATATATGCGATTCAATTTGTCCATAAAAAGTTTCGCAACATACTAGCAAATGCTTACACTCAATTTTTGTTAACTGGTTAAGCGTTGACCACGCTTTCCATTACCAACGCATTATCTGCAACAATTGAACGCAGTCTAAGTACTCCAAAGAAATGTATAAAATGGAAACACCCCAAGTGTTGCGCAAGATTCGATACGCGATCTCGCAGCATCTGCAATGGGCAATTCGAACAGACTGGCGCTGGGAGTTGAATGCTGCTATCCTCTAGAAGGGGCTTCGCCAAGAGAAAACGGCGCCATTGAAAATTGCAGGCGACGGCGGGGACTACGGGTGAACGCATATTGCAGATTGAAACCATGCATGACACTCCCTCCATGTTGTTTAGACATGCCCCAGACGCACGTCGCTCACCTGAGGCCTCGACAACGACGATGACATTCTTTGGCTGGGAGGTGGCTATCTTGTACCATCCCCTAAGCCTCTGTGCAGGGGAATTTCAGTTCCATCAGCGCAAAATGTGCAACTCACCGATGTGAAGTGTCATGCAATGAAATCGTCAATTTGTTAAAGCAATTGGCTTCCAAGACGCACGTTCATTGCAATCCCAATGTCTTTCCCAATAGTTCAGCAGTTTCCTCCGTGGTTACCTCTCGCAGAGCGGAGGAGGGTGGAATACATTGTCAGAGAACTTCTCAAAATTGTATTTTTTAATATATATAATACATATTTAACCTATTATTATCTGCATTTCGCTCACATCCCAATGGCAGCTCCGTTACAACAATGCCAGACGCAAGTACACGTTGAATGGCTATAGCTTCGTAACTTGATGCGGGAAGTTCGCGACGACAACACTAGCACAAAAGGATTAAAAACACTTTTTGAAAGCAAATATGTATGCATTTCATCAGTGTTATGCACTCTAAAGACACGAAAATAACCTAAACCCGTGAACTTTGTACACGTTTGACCATGCATTATTTGGTCCTGTTTTGCCTAATGTAACGGCGTCTCCCCACGGCATACAATGCGAGGATTCCTTGCAAATGCAACCGTCAAATACAATTTCAAAACTTCGAGGTGTTGGAACGCGATTCCCAAGTCTTTGTTTGGGCTTCCATGTCTCCGAGGCTCGTCGCTTCAGCGGATGGCATCAGTCAGGCCTTACTGACCAAGCTGCCCATTTTGATTGGACATTCAGTAACAATATGTGCTGCTCAATCGATAAGAAGATGGCATCAGCGCCTTCTTGGGGTGTCCACCATGGCGCGTCTAATGAAACCGCGCAAGTCAATGGCTATCGAATGCAGAAATTGCTGGGCCACCAAATTACCGATTAGGCAAGAAAGGGCTACGTTCTTGCCTTTCAGGTCAAGTGGCAATATTCGCATGGGATTACTGATGCAAGACCTGCGGAAATCCAACATTGAGTGAACGCAAACAGGAGTTTGTCATAGGCAACTGTGTCGATGAAAGTGTCGACTTGAGCCGAAGCCTGCTCCTTGCAGGGGCGTGGGTAGTACCGGATCGTAGGGCTCGCACTTCCCGCCGAACTCCTCTCCCCGGGCAGCCGCTTTGAGCGGCCATTGTCTGCACAAAACAACTGGTTAATTGGACAGCCCAAAATGCATCAAATGTGTGCACACCGTGTAGGGTGCGTATCGCCAAAATGTGTTTTTACTTCTCTGGAGGTCTAAATTTAGATTTGAGTTCAAATACCTCACCTCGTTAGGCCTGTTGTGGCGGAGGCAAAGTAGGTCCATGGGACGAAGTGGCCACTGTAGTTCGTCGCCATCTTGAAAGTCTCCTCCATCCCCTGAGCAAAAAATCACCCAACTATTAGGTAGATTTCATCATTTGCATTGCATCCCCAAATTTGCATTCTCCTAATAATAAACATGTTGCCTCTCAGTATTGATTGTTTATCGGCAAGATCAACTCCCAAACTGCCATCGCAATTGGCACCATTTACATTCCATTATAAATTCCATTTCCATAGGCGGTGCTTACGTCACACCGTCTTCACTAATTCAAATTAGCTGCAAAGCCGATCGGATCACAGCGTTGGAAGAGCGCCAAAAAGTTCGCACTTCACCCCGACGCACCTTAGTCATGCAGACGTCTGTCACGAGGTCCGGACCCAGGGCGGCGTACTCATCCTGAACATTATTTGGTGTGCGGATTCCTGACAAATTTGGGTGGACCTGTGGGACGTGGTCAAAAAGAACGTTAACTAAACGAGACTGCGAGCATGCATTTAGTCAGGCTGTGTAGCTCATTTCTAAATTAAGTGCTCTGTGTATCCGGTGCCGACAATACCTGGAACCGGCCAAACAGTACCTGAGTCGTGAATGCATATTATCTTGTCGCCTGGGACATGCAAGATCCTTTGTCGCATCTGCCCAGACGAACCAAAGCAAGTACCAAAGGTACGCTCGGCTGCACGTGCGGGCGGAAAAGTACAGCAATAAGAAGGCAGTCATGGGATCGGGGATCAGTCAGTTGATGGTCGGCGCAAAAGTATTCTACCACTCGCAGTCAACGCTAAGCCCTATGCCACCCCAGGATTAGAGCCTTCAGTCGAAACTGCATAGGAATAGACGGTGAGGCCCACTGCCATTCGGGGACGCGGTTCCGAGGGTGAATCCTGTGTTTGCGATCCATGCTGCGACCGCAATCGGACGCAGGACGCCAAACCTGTCGTCTCAGAGGTCGCGCCGCTCTAGCGTGCACGCTAGAGTGCACCACGTGATGCAGTCATCATGGGATTCGCAATGTTCTTTGCGCTTCTGTCGGCCAATTGGCAACACGCGCTCAGAGCAGTTATTGCGACAGCGCCCTCCCAGCTAGCCTTCCCACGGCCTTGTAACGGCCATTTTGAACGCCCTCTTAAATGGCGTTCTGCCTGTTTCACCAGGGGTGTGGAAAGGCGAAACACAAGTGAGGGCAGCCCCGGGAAGGTTTGTGAAATGTGAATTCCGAACAATGTATGATCCGAGTCGTCTGTGCAGGGCCGCCTGCCAGCCCCACGCAGAAGACGACGTCACGCAGCGCTCCGCTTGCCGTCATTGCCGTCATTTCTCGCGGCGATACGAGCATTGAAGCCCAAAGCGGATGGCTCATTAATGTCATCTAGTCTAGGGAGGTCAAATTTACCCGAATGGCCCCCTGTACTCAGCGAAAGCCAACCGGGCAAGTGGTGCCGTCATGCGCTCAGCGATGCCGTGTGTACTGGGTGCACCGGATGTACAGGATGACAGGGTGTACTGTGTGCGGTCCGAGGCAACGAAGGAGGGCCACCCAACGCGCAGCACGCGGGAGGAACCTGATGAATGGCCGGAGGGCAGTCGCCATGGGCACCACGCCAAGTGCCCCTGGGTTGCCCCGAGGCGGCGAAGCGGCAAACCCAGGGGATTGGATCTCGTCCGTCAGCCCAACGGAACTTCCCAGGCTGGAGGACCCGAACCCATTGCTGCCCAGTGCCAGTGGCGGAAGCGCACAACGGAAAAGAAGGAATCCACAACCGGCCACAGCCTCGGACGGGCGCCAGTGTGGCGAGATCAATAGCTCGCCTGCCGCACTCTGCCCCGGTCGGGACTGTCGTTATCCGCGAGCCAACTCTCGTAAGACGCACGCCCAGATGATAATTGCCGACAATCCCGACAAAGCCGATGTGATCACCCAACCCGCCAGCGAGATTTCTCAATGATCGACAGCAGCCGCGACAGGCGCCACAAAAATTGTTTGGATGCATGCACGCCCACAATACCCCGCTAGGCGCAAGGGCGCCCCGCCCTGTCCCTTCCGAAACCAGTCCTCAATTTTTCATTCGGACTTTCTTCCGACGGCAGAAAGCCCCGCCCGCCTACCTGGATGTGCCCGCAGGGGTCCCTGCCGCCGCAGGACAGCCTCTCCGGCGTCCCGACGTCCATGCACTGCCCCGGCGGAAAGTCCTCCCCGCAGGTGTGGTAGCTACAGGCCGCCTCCCCCGCGCAAACTTCCGGCGTCACCAGCTCCCTCAACATCGCGTAGCGCCGCTCCACCTCAAAGCCGACAGCCTCGGTGGCCTCGCGCTGTGCCCGCTTGAACGCATCCAGCCTGCTGGAGGGGGGCGCCTCCTGGGCGACCGACGCTGCGGGCAGGAGGGCCAGAACCAGGCGAAGGACAAGAAGACGCCAGGACGGGCCCGGGCGGAAGCATGGCGCCACTGTGGCCACCATCTGGGTCGACTTGCACGCACTTCCCCACAGGAAGCAGCAGTTTAGACCGCTGGACGTCGACAGTGCCGGACGTCGCCTGGGCCCTCCGCGGTGGGGTGCGTGCCCGGCGGGTTCCTTTGCGGTGCAGCTAACGTGCGCCGGCCCTTTCATGGGCCGAGGAGCATGGCTTGAATCTAGTCAGGTCGGCGCCTGATGTGGTGATGTTATGCCGAGCGTCAGCTTGCGTGTCCGCCTCCCGGCATCCAGATGCGGCCCCGCGGGGGGAGCCAACGTCATTTTGGTGCGCGGAACGTCGTATGACGGTTGATGATGGTAGGTTTGGTGGGCGGGTTTGGCGGCCCCGGCGCACTTGTGGCCGGCGAGGGACTGCCTCGTGGATGTGACTGCGCATCCGGGCGTGAATTGTCGCGTTCCGAGCAGGTTCGTGTACTGTGTGCCGATTTCTGGTCTGCCAGGGACTGGCGCGGCCCCTCGGTGGCAAACTGGAGCGGCAAGGCAGTACCAACAAGCGCGTCAATCAGCAATCGAGCAAGACGGTCGGCCGTTGAGTTAACGGAGTACAGAAATCAAATGCAGGCGGGGGCGCACTTTTGGTGTGTTGATCGGCAGACTGCCGGCAGCAACATGCACATGGGCTCATTGCGATGAGAACATGTGCATGCAACTACCGGCAGCGTGAGTCTCGTTTGGCTGTTCGTGTGAGGCGCTGTCGCGTCATTCATGGCGCTGTGCCTCGGGAGCGGCAATGTCAAGTTGTCGCACGCCCATCCACACGGAGAGCGCGGACCCGCTGCCCGAGGATCCCTCCGCTCGGCACAAGAAACAAGAAGCCTCTGCGAGGTGAGGCGAGCTTCGGACGCCGGCAAGGAACAGGAACCGTGGAATTCTACGGCGAACCAGACAGTCATGCGTTGGTGGACAATATAGCAGGGCAGCGCGTTCACCGACGACCCACACGGGCACCCATCTGCGGATCCCCAATCGCTGCGTCAATGTGGCAGTTCGGTTGCGCCTGGCGTGCGGCTGACCTGCACATGGGTGGCCATCCGCTTGCGCAACTACAGGAGCAGCTTCGGTTTGCATCTGCGAACAGCCGGCGGTGACGGGAAGCCCTGGGTCGACTGCCACCTGCTGCGAAGTAATCGGAGCTTGATTCGACTGAAAGGGCGATTCGAACAGCAGGTTCAGGACCAGCCACAGCCAATTCTAATTCGAGTGGGGAGATGAAGTCCACCAATGTGTTGAATGGCAGGAACGAAACCCATACCAGTTTTCTTATCGCCATCTTTAAATGTGCAATTGGCGAAGCCCCTGGCATTTAGCAGCGATTCACCGATACATTGGTCGGCACCCTTGCACCCATGTGAATTCTCTGCAAGCTGTCAATGCAGTTTAGCTCTTCATACCTCCATGCCAATCAGTCCTGTATCTGCACCCCACTCTAGCCTCAAGAGGGGGCCCATCAGTCCATACTTCAGGAATCATGAATTGTACATTCGATGTATGCATGCGATCAATATTAGAAACATCTTCTGATCACTTGTGTCTGATTCGGATGGAAATGCCAGAACAACAGTTGACACTATCGAAGTGCTTCAAGGTATAAAACGAAACATGGTCAGCATATGTGCGTCCTCCGCATCCACGAGACGAGATGCTTCAGAGCGCGCTTCTTGACGTGCACGATTGTCTTGCAATTGATAACACTTTGTTGTATCCACCAGCTAGCTAAATGAAAGGGCACAAAATCAGGCCCATCTCCGCCACTCTTCCTCCACATCCACGGGCTCATACCACTCCGGCCTCGACACATGAGGCGTCAGCCGATAGTTCAGAAACACCTCCTCATCGCGTAAATCTCTGAGGGCGATCAGCACCGCGCCCATGATGTCGTCGCTGACCCGTGGCTCTGTGCCACGCTCGTAGAAGGTAAGATTGGGGATGTATGCACGCAGGCGTCTGTGTTTGTTGGGCATGGTGGGTGAGAAGGACAGATCGAGGGGAGCAACCATGACGTTGGGGCGCATTCCCTTTCCTGGGTGGTTTGCGAAGTGGCCCATGGCGAGTGGGTGGCAGCCCTGCAGTCAAGGCATGGAAGCCCGTTCAGCACAAGAAAGGGCAGAAAGGTGGACGGGTAGGCGCCACCACTGGGGGAAAGGATTGACATATTGGAGCACAGGGAAGGGGCAGGGATTGGGCAGAAGCACAGTACCCAAAATCGATCACAAGCAGTAATGACAATGTGTAAGAGTCGCACAACATACAGCACGTGAACTGGCCCCACTTGCCTTCCAACATCCAATGCCACACTCAACTCACAATAAAGCAAAGTTCAAGGGGACGCTCTGCACTGAGAGGGATTGGCAGCAATAATTTTTCTGGGTGGTCTGAGGACGCATTCGAATCCAGGTTCATGAACCTGCCAGCTGGCCCTTTGTTTACTTCTCATATAGTGTACAATGAATGAACTCCAGCACGAGGGAATTCTGCCAAAGATGAAGTGACCATGCATTCTCTGGAGTGAACCATGTGTGGGATTATGCCTACCATTGCTTCTAAGACACCAGAGTAGTACTACGACACTTCCCTGTCAACAGCTACAGGAATACATGTCAGATTTCATGATGCCACCAATACTACAACTTCATAATTTCCAACCCAAACGTAAAAACGTCTATGTCTACTTTTACCTTCAAAAGGAGAAGCACATGAATGGATAAGCATGTGTAAGAGGAGCAAGTACTTACCTGGAGCCTTTCAAGATCCCTTTCCGCTTCAGTCTGGGGTGCTTCAGGAAAGGCATGCTCCAAAGACAGCTGGCCATGACCCCATGGCTTTGCATCGATCACGGCCCCGTCAAATCTGGCAAAGAGGTAGGGATTGCTCATGTCTACCCTTGGGTAGTTGGGAATGTGCCTGCGGCATCCACACCATAAGCCATTACTGCTGACAATGAGCAGCTGGTGGGTAAACCGATTCAACCAGCCAAACACTTGTGTCCAGATGGTAACGGCGACAATGGTGGGGAGGGAGGTTGTCAGCTCACCCAGCATTTGAAATCCAACTGCCATGTTCCAAAGGCCACCCAGCGCCAAATAGGAGTAAGGAAAAGACACCGGCTGTCAGTACTACAAGGACAAATATCGAATCCAGAATAACAGGCAAAATGTCTTGTGCTACCCTCATGCTGAGGAACAGGTGAGAAATGTTACGGCGCGCACAAGGACAACGTTACCATGAGCCATTTGTTGCCTGCGGAAACTTGTCTTGATTGGCGATTGCTGATATGGCCCAACACACACAGGCGAGGTACTTTTCTCAAACACTAACACCACGTTTGGCAGTAGTCTTTGACCACAATCACAATCTGCATTGAGATATTATGTTTCGGAACAAACAACACACACTCAACAACAAAGGCGTGACAGCCCAACGAATACTCATTCACCACCAGTGCAATTCCAACAATGGCACAACAGCTTTGTTTCCAGTCCATGCAGAGCACAGCCGCAGCCATCTAGTGTGTACTGATGAGCAGCATGTTGTACTGCACTTTTAGCGTACTGCATTTGCATTGGAATGTACCCCATACCTATATTGTGTCGACTGATACACAAGGCCAGGGTACAGTGCAACCACTGCACCAAGGGGGGCCTCCCCACTGACCCACAGCCCATTGCCAGCTTCGCTGTGAGGAATGCTGGAAGGTTCCACACACACAGAGTAGCCTAATGATGTCTGCAACAGCACAAAAAGCTGGAGATGAATGGGATACTAGCTTCTGGAATCTTCTCTACACTTCTTACTGCTGACAGTTTTCATGCAATATCAACTTCTCTCCTACTAGTTCAGCTGACACCTGATGGAGAACCAAGTCACTCTAGCAGGCAGTGTGCCACTGCAGCAGAACTATAGGCAAATATGAGCACACAGACATAAGTCACAAATGCAAGTACTAGAAGAGTGCTTGGGGCAATAGAGATGGCTGTACTCCTGCCCAAAGCATTACCAGTATTTGCATTCTACATTTTGGCATTTTATACTCAGGCTCACGTTTGCTGACCGCTTGTTCTCTACTCCGTTTTGTTGGGCAATAGACATGCACATACACATGCACATGTTCCCCCAGGGGAAAGTGAAGTCCACCACAGGCGCTCTTGTCATGTGACAAGATATCATTTAGAGCCTAAGCAGGTGTTGCCATCTGCAAAACTGATAAAGGGGATAATCATCCCAGTTGTGTTTGTTTCCAAGAATTTCATTTGCGTAGCATGCAATCTGTCGAACTTTGCCTGCACATGGCACTGATTCGTCACATTTGGACATAAGCAACTGATGTCGCAAAATTTTAGCAAAGCAGCATTTGGCACACCTGGATCACGTCAGACAGGTGGGCAATCGTCACAACTCCATCCCCCCCAATCGATCTGGCTGCTTCTGCAGGGCTGTGGACCTCCACTTGTGTAGAGCCAGTCTCAGCGCCTTGCTTGCCATCCACCACAGCTGGCCCATTTGGACGATCACTGCACTTTGAAACAGAGGTGGTGAATCAGCTCAAAGCCACTTTGGCGCATTAGGATATCTCTTTGTGCAAACTAGAGATGCTGCCAGCTGTGAGTTGGCATCCATTTCGGTGGCATTATAGTCTGGGTATAGCTGTTTGGCGTATCTGATGACACTCCTCTGCACAATGTTCATATGCTCAGGGAAGGCTCGTTCTTTCGCACTGTTCACACTACATTGATGTCTAGATTGTGCAGTGTCAAGCATGTATGCAAGGTGCTCAAGCACCTGCTCTGTGCGCAAACAGGTTCACAAATTTTTGCTCCAGCACTTCAGGACACTGATGTACACCTAGGAGAAGTGAAAAACAAAACTGGCACAAGCAGAGCTTCTCCACAAACTGAAATGGAACACAGGATGGAAGTTGAACAAAACAGCTGAACAGGGTATTGTTGGCATCTATGATCGCGTCACAAGCCACTGACCTGTGGCCAACAGCAGCTGGATTTTCAACAAATGCAATCAAATCACTTTCTGACTTCACAGGAAGTGAAGAAACTAAAGTTCCGGTGCATGATCTGTCCCAAACGTGACCCACCCAGCACGTGCATGCCACCCCATCGCCATTGCCAGTCCAGAGCCTCTCTTGGGGGTTGGGGCTGCCTCTTCTTCTGAGCCCTTTTCAGCATCCATAGCCCGCCGATGAGTGCCTCTCTCTGCTGCAAACGTCCACGTCCTCTGTTGACCCTTCTTGGCCAGGTCCTCGTCCAGCATCCTGGCCATGTCAAAAACCTGTCTGCTGATGTGATCTTGTACCACCTCCAGTTGACCCTGCAGGCACCAGACAGTCCATCCTCATATTAATATTTATGCACATTAACAAACCAGAGATGATTCACCTCAGTCAATTTGCACAGCACTGCACATAATCATTGCTACTCTGGGAACAATTTCATCCTCTGACAGCTTTTCCACGCACCTCAAAGCCAAGTTCTTCTGCCTCTTTTGCCAGAGCATCAGCATACCCATCCCCAATCGCAACACCTGGCATACATACAAATCTTCTAACTATACTCACAAATTGGTATTGTTGTACTACATTTCGTGTCCGGTACTTCTGCATATTTGCGTTCATTTCAGAACTAACAAACAAGACCTTGCACGATGCAGACCACAGAGGCCACAGGCCATGATACAGAAGCCTCCCCAAGTTTCGTGTAGTTGTTTGCAAACCCTGGAAAGCTGGCAGATTCAGTCAGAAATATGAACATGCTTAGCAGCAAAGACAGTTGTCCAACCTTGTCACTCAAGACATATCCCTTGATGTGTCCTCAGCCTTTCACAACGTACAAATGTGCTTTGTATATTGTATATTTTGGTACAATGTGCTTTGTTACCATATTGTCCGATCCCCATGGCATTTCCACCAGTTTGTTCCACAATTTGCACCTGTTAGCCAGTGTTGAGACATCCAAATGATCAAGGGCCAGCAATAATCCACACCTTGTTAACATATTCAGCCCCTCTTACCAAACTGACAAAGACCACCACCAAAAGCACAGTAGAATTAACCTGAGTTGGCTGTGCTGAAGCCCAACCATACCAAAACATTTGCAAACACAAAAAGCGAAAATAAACAAATAAAACAAATGTAGTTGAAAACAAGCAACACTTGGGGGAAGAGCCAATGGCTGGCACTGCCCCAGCCCCTTGGGACAGAACTCCCCTTGGAGGTGCCTTTTCCAGCTTCGAGGGATACATGCAAGTGTACTGAAATTGTTGCAAATGAATGTTTATGTGCTGCAGCTCTCAGTACCCCGCCTCTGCACCATCTACACCAATAACAGTCAACCCACATCATGAGCGCAAACTCGCACATCTCACACAATTGTGGTCCAGGTTTTAAGGCATTCTACAATGCAATAAAGTCAAGTACAGTTTTCCTAAATTTTATTCTCCTGCATGCACAGTTGCGCATTTTGGTGTGATGCAGGTCCCAGCACAGCCAATGTGTAACTAACTGCTGTTCTGGTGTTGTATTCTCCAGCTCGACATTGAATTCCGCCATGGATGACCACCCTGGAGTGCATGTTTCTGCCCATTCGTGCTCCCCTCTTTTCTGAGCTGTTTGTGTTGCACTTGAGATGTTGTTCTGCATGTTCTGTGGCGAATGGACACAATCGTCAGAAAATATCCTTTGGTGATGGATGGTGGGTCGCCACGGGTCGTTTCTTTTCAAGAATATATCTGCCATGCCTGATATTGATGCCAGTGCTGATGAACAGCATCCCAAATCGCCCATCATATGACAGGGCCATGATCAGTCACATTTTGGCACAAGTCAGCCATCAGGATAACACAGGAATGGACATGGACCGTGGCATCCAAGTGCTCCCTCTGGAGTTTTAGTAGTCAGTGCACCCCATACCCAAAGCTGAGACTGTTGAAAGGCAGAGATACCTGCAAGAGGGGGGTACAGAAGTGCACTTGCCTTTTTGCCTCTGCCACCAATAGTTGGTGAGGAGGTACAGCCTATGTGTGTCGATCACATTCTGCTGCCGCCTCTTGTCCATACGCTGGAGGATGGCCTTTGCGGAAAGGCCATTCAGCCACTGCAACCAACACCCCAGAAAGCAAGTCGCTGCACCCAGACAGGCGAAGGATAGCAAAAGTTGTTCAGCAGGGCACGGAAGATTCGTTCCAGCAGAAAAGAAAGCAAAAACTTGCAGTGCACACCCATCTTTGCACGACCACCTTTTCAATTCAGGTGGGGATGTCTGCTGTCCTGCATTCGTGCTTTGGACACTCCATAGACCTTTGCGCTTTGGACAATTCACACACTCACCTGTGCCCCAAAAGTGCCTGGTGAGGGCGGGGGCTGCGTTGCATGGCTTCTTGAAAACAATGGATTTGCACTGCCTGCACTGTTGTGCCCCCATCCAGAAGGGTATTTATAATTTGGCCGAAGCTTTTGTCTGCACTGTGGCTATGCACTACGTTTGCCATCACCCCATTCTTCAGTGTTTAGGATCGCCCTCCCTATTCAGCAAAGATGGGCTGCAAGTCCAAGTAGGTTTTGAGGCAACCTTGATGTTAATCTCCAACAATCTGCACGGATCGCACAAGGTTTCCGCTGACACAGGGCGATGCGACATCAAGCGTAGTGATTTGGCTCCACTTCCCACCCAAGCAACTACTGCCTGGATTGTCGGGTAACATGGATGCGACATGAGAATGAAGGCAACCATACAAACAACATGTAGCAATGCAATGTGCATGGCTAGTGTCCCATTAAGCCCAATGCAATCAGTCACATCTTGGCGGTGCACTGTTATACCTCTTTCTCCCATAAGTGGCTACGGTCTGTAGGATCCTCGCGTTGATTGATCCAAAATACCCAACCCCGTGGCGCTGATGGTAGGGTACAAAATGTCCCCTTGCATGGGGCAAAAATTGCCCGAACATTTAAAGATTCCCTTTCCCCTGGTCCTAGATATGCAGCCTAGGCATAAGGGCACCGAGAAGGAAAACGGAACAAGAAGGAATCGATCATGTGGGGACAGATCCTCCAATCCTCGATGTCTGAATTCCTCAGCCAAGCAGGATTTTACCAACAGTTCAGGCGACCCTGACCAGGAGCCGACACCGGCGGCAGAACATGGGAGCCAGATGTTGGATGCAGAGGCAGCGCTGCTGTGATCCACAAAATCGGCAGAACTGGCTCAAATTCTCCAATGGACGCGGACTCGGGCCCTCTGATCGTCGTCGAGGCGGCGGTCTGACAGGCGGCTCCGTCGTTTGCTTACCTGCTTGAGCCCCTGCCACAGCATGGCAGCCCTGTGTGGGCACCGCAGTTGCGCTGCTCCCCGCGTCCCGCCGAACCACCGGCGGAGCCTTTGAGGCGGCGCACCCACGTGGGCCCCTGGTGGCTGGTGCCATTGGCGAGCCAAAATGGCTTTTATGATCACCGCTAATGGAAGAATCACATCGGACACTGTTGTAATGTTACGGCTAGAACTGATGGAGTGTTATTAATAACTGAATGCATGAAAAGATGATGAAGCGCTAGGAATTGCGTTAAAGATGTTCATGAACGGACTGAATATAAAGGACAGAACGCCTGTGGTCCTTTTGCCTCGGCTGTAAACCGTTGCCGTGGACCCGAGCGGTCAATTCCCGTTCAGGGATCGCCACCCCTCGATCCTGCTTGCCTTCGTCAGTAACCAGAACTGATCGAGTATCATTATCAACTGGACGCATAATAGGGGCGCCAGGTATGGCATTAAGAGCGTTGATGAATGGACTGGATATAAGGGACGGAAACTCCCGTTGTCACCCTGCTTGGCTGTAAAAACTGTTGCCGTGGACTCGAACCTACAGTCCACGTTCAGGGTCGCCACCACTCGTTCCTGCCTGCCTTCGTCAACACAGCGCTAATGATCAGCATTATAAATCCCGTATTCATTAAATCTAACGTGTCGCTTGTGTCCTTAATTTCGTTGGGCCCAACCACAATTGTTCAGTCGTTGCAATTGGTGGGCCTTGAGGGAGGTGGACCATTGGCCTAGTTGACCAAGTTGTCGACAATTTCTTTAAAAGGAAATCTTCTTTGGGATTTTACAAGCCGTGTGCTCTTCATACGGGCACGTGGGGCCCAGATGCTTTGTGGTGTGAATTGCCGTTTGCAGATTATAGGGTGCACACTCTCTCCCACACCCGTTGGTGGGGCACGGGATCACTTGTGGCCTCGATTGCCAGAGACAACAACAGTACTGCCCAGATTTGTTGTTGTGGTGTCCGCGGCGCTGGACCACATGCCCTTTCCTGAGTCGCCCCTCCGCTCCCGCGGGCAATTTGGATGCTCCAATACATGCATTGCATTACCGATAATCGGTAATGGAATCATTCCAAGGGCAGCCTAATCATGGTTCAAAGTCCTACGTCGATATGCCCCCCTCCCCTCCCCATCCCCCACCCCACCCCCAACAGAAACAATGCACCGCGGCCCCTCACCTTGCAAACAGTTGGATCATCCGCGCTTGCCCTCTCTTATCGCGCCTATGCACCCTGCCCATCAGTGAATGGGTGTTTACTGCATCGAGCTCAACCGCCTGCGTCACAGTCTCCCAACAGGTTCCATCTACTGCACTTGCAACAGCAGGTCTGAGCCCCAGCCCAGTCGTTCCCCTCCATCCCTCCGCACAGTCGCGACTGATCAATCGAGACATTACAATTGGGGCTGCTTTAGCCATATCTTTCGTCTCTAACACGGCACACCGTGAACGGTCGTTTGGCTGGACAGTTGAGTGCTTGCTGGAAAAGGACAGCACAAGCACCTGCATTGTCTCGGGCGGCACCATCTCTGCTTCTAACAGCTGTGGCTCAACGGCCATGATCCCGCAAATATATTTCGCTTTAGATGGCTCTGTTTGCCTTTAATTGCCTGCAAGAAATCCCATCCTGCTCCAAGCTAACCAGGGGAGACAGGTGTGGGAAGCGAGCGGGAGCCGAACTGGTATGGCTGGACAATGTGACGTTTGGACATCACGAGCGCCAGCCCAGGAAGATCCTCTTTCAAGTGCAATGGCAACACACAGGGGAGCGAAATTTAACTTAGCATGTTAACAATGGACCGCTACCTAAATTCAGATATATATTCGCCGACATCGTCAACATGATGTATTCGTGGGGCTCAAAATCAGCTTGTAACCCTGCGAATACAGGTCTTCTGCCTCTACTGTCTGCTGCGGTGCCATGAAACGGCTATCCCCGTGCATTGCTCTTTAGCTTGTCGGCCACCGCCTGAACTCGGCAACGTGCGAGTGCTGTTGGCTAGGGAATGAAATACCCGTGGCCAGGGCTCCTTGTCAGTGCCCGAGGACATTTATTGGGCCAGGGACACTAGGAAAAAAGGGCCAAATAACATGTGTTCATACGTGTAAAAAGTTACAGGTTTGGGTTATTGCCATGTTTTCAGCATTCAGAGCACTGACGAAATGCATACGTGTGTGTTCGCAAAAAGCGTTATTTGATCCTTTTTGTGCTAGTGGGAGGAAGAGGTACAAGCGTCTCAGTCTCTGTGCCGGTCGGGAGGTTCGAGGCGTCACTCGGTCTCAAAGTGCCTGCCTCCGGGCTGCTCTCTTACTGAGATTGTGTACAGGACTTATGTGGCTGTGCGACTGTGGTTGCTTTGTTTCTGACAGCGACTTGGATTAATGGAATGCACAGTTGCGGGACATTTGACAAAGATTCTTTGTTGTTCGGTGATGTCTTCCCAAAAGATTTTTGCCCTCCGCTCAATCAAAATTAGATGACGTCCTGGCCACGAACGGGCATGATTTGTGGATTGAATGGCTGAAGCACGGCCAACAAAGGGGACGAGGCTGCAAGCTGTTAAGGCAGAAATCCTCAGAACCTCACATGAGAAGGTTATGGTGCGGAGGAGTGTGTAGAGAATTTTCTCCTTTATGCCAGCCTCGTCCCGCACATTGCCCGCGGAAAGTTCTACAGGGAAAATATCAAGGAAAATGATGAACGCGATGAAAACGGAGTTGGTGGTGGTGGGGGAGGACCGGAAGGATGAAAGTGGTGGTAAAAAATAAGAAGTCATCATCTTTTCAGATATGACATTGAGTAGACGTTTACAAGTGCACCGAGTGCACACTAATATGGTAACGTTCAGGGATGCCCCACATTAGTGTATACCTGTTTTGGTGTGACCCTGTTTGCGGGAACGTAAAGAACCAATAATAGAGATGCCCATGTGCGGTTTATGGCAATCGTTCCGCAGGAATTGTCGATTGCGTTGGGCAGTTGTCCTGAATTCAATGTCACTTCTTACGTTATCATGATGACGAAATGATGAGATGATCTTGTGCAAGCCTGCACGCCAGCGCTGAAAAGCTGGAATTAGAAGGAGCTGGCTACGGTGCCCTCGCTCTGCATCCAGCTCTCTACCACATACTACGTAGTAGTGGATAGGCCACAAAGACACCGCTGAAGCTGCCCTGTCTAAATACGTGCTGCGAAATGAGTACACATGGCCAAAACAGGTGTCACTCTTCGTTGCGGTCCTATGAGATACACTTTTGCAACGCTGTCCCAAGTTAGACAGTACAGTTTTGCAGTGGATAGTATTCGGTGTAGTTCTTCAGGACTTGCACTTGCATTCACATCACCCATGGTTAAATTACCTCTAGCGGAAAAAACTGTTGTGGTGGATCTTTCCTGGCAACCTCCCTATCCCCAGATTCTTGCCACAGCTCTACAAGGACCATCGAGTCACACACCCTAATCCAAAACTCTCTTCTCGATTGCTCGCCAACAACACAGAGTTGTTGAATTGCATGGTCATCGCCGCATGAACATACTCCTCAACTTTCTCAGTCCCGTCATTTTGGTGCCAGAAGCGCTGGCTGATGTTTCTTCGAAGCGCCGCAGACAGTCGACCACAGCGCTGTGCCCATGTCGTTTCGCCATGTCAAGTGCCGTTTCCCCTGCCTGATAACCAAAAGAACGTTAGCGGTGCGATGCATCAAAGCCACAGCAATACGTGCACAAACGCAAACGCGCTCCTTCATCTGGCATAATTCGCCGGGAACTGTACTGCTTTTACCCGATTGTCACACATTTCGCGCCAACCATCTTTCCGGAGCAGATTGCCTCTCTCAGTGGCCTCTGGCATAATGCACGCAGCACAGCAGCAGCGACAATTGGAGCATACGGAGAACAAGATCTAGGGCTTCATTCTCGACACCAAGAAAATAGTGTCGAAACTGTCTCACTGGCCATGGATGGCAGCACAATCAAGTAAAATGTATCCCAATCGTCGCGCAGTGGAGCGCGATTTACACCCAGAGATGATATCGTAAATGACAAGTTACACCACCACACAGAGCAACCACACGGTGCTGTCCCAGCAATATACTTGCGCAGAGAAAGATTGGCAGCCTTGCGCTTCTAAATTCTATGCTGGGGTAAGCCCCATTATCCCCCCACACACCCCACCCCCCTTAAAATATCGTAGAAATTTGTTCACCATGCTCAGGGCGAACTGCTTGGCACTGCCAACAGTGCTTTGGTTACCTCCAGAAGGTGTCCAAGAAATTGTGAGCACCCTCTATTCCATTTCGGGGGCGCTTGTTGAAGTGACACAGCAGGCACATGAATACTACATTTTCCACAAAAATTACTTTCTTTTATTCTTTTACAATGCCAGACACGCACACGCGCTGTGCACATGCGGTCCTCTGATTAACCTGGCGTGCAGTCAGGCATGCCACCCAAGTGTTTCTTGAACTTGCCCTTCGAAAATGAGCCCAGCCGACTAGACTTGATCCAGTCATCCAGAATCAATGTGTTTTCAAGAGCAAGTTTAAGGCCAGAGAGCCGTGCAAACTGTGCAGACTAGGTCCTGTGATTCACTTGGAGTCGTGACATGCAGCGATCGGGGTGGATGGAAGAGAGATGGTGCATAGCGACAGCGAAGGCTGCCAAGCTGGGCAACAGAAATCATCAAGCCAGATATGAAATAGACTGCAGTGCATTCTGAAATTGGTACTTCCTGAAGCGACGAGTGCCATCACCGGTTCTGATGCCCTGCAGCCAGAAATGTGCCTTTCAGGTGGGGGTGGGGTGGGGGTGGGATGCGAGATTGCACGAGCTTGCATAGTTGCAAAACACGAAAGAGGGGAAGGGGGCGGATCTCCATGGTAGCGCTGGCGACGTCCACTTTCCGTTTTCGCCCTCGATCGAGGGCGCCAACTTTGCCACCGGCAGGTGCCAATCTAGCATCCGCAGTGGCCAGAATCAGTGGCCGTGGGCGGCCAGAGTGGAGGGAGTGGGAGGCCTGTTCGAATTACCAGTAATTGACCACTGATCTGCCTCCGCCAATAACTGATTTGCAATCCGATGATTAAATGGCGGCACACGGGAATCCCGATTCGAGCATACCGATCTAGGCATCTATGTGTGGCCACAATCGGTGGCCACGAGGGGTGAAGCGATGGGATCGTAGGCACTGACTGTTCTCCCACTCCCGCAGTCTGTGACGTTGTGCTTGTGGTGCTCGCAGCCCAGCACCAGCAAGCAACCTGGCACCCTTGTGAGGGCTGGCCCTAGCCATGCAACATGTAGCATGGTTCCCTGCGCTGGCCAGCTCACCACCAAGCTGCAGCATCTCGGTGGCGTTCTTCTATTGAACTGCGAAGCCAGCGACGTTGCCCCCATGTTGCAGCATCTAGTGGGAGCTCTTTCAGTAAGCTGCAAAGTAGTCATGGCGCCCCAGCTCAAAACCCCACGCTGTTTTGCTTTTGCCCCTTTCCATGCGCGGTCACAAGGGTTTGTATGCCATTGTGGGCCGTCGGCACTCACGCCTGCTGCAGCTCTTACATCTCGCATCGCCATGAACGTCCCCACCTGCCAAACCCCTTGGCCAGGTTGAGGGGCAGATGCAGATGGCGGGAATGACTGGACGTGAGGCGAGCAGCCTCCCTCCACTGGGGCAGAAGAGCCGCATGCAACGCTGCGCTGCTGTCTGCCGTTTTGCTGTGGCGCGGCACGTTGCTCTGCAACACTGGCTGTTCCTTGAGTTACAGCCTAGGTGTGAAAGCTTTCAGCGCATTCAAGCGTGGTTTGTCATTTGTTGGGGCTTTCACCTTTTGACTTGGCTGCGTTCACGACCTCAGGTAGCCCAGCTCCTACCCCAACTCCCGCTTTGCTGCGGACTGCGGCAAATCTGGCAGGGCAACAAGAGCAAGACAGGCCAATCGCCCATGTCAAGAGTTTACCCTTCCTCCAAAGGGGCTATGGCCAGCGTCCCGTGGCGTAGCACGGTCCCCAAGGGCTTAACTTGAACGCCAGCGTGACATGGAGTTTGTTGATGAACTGCGGCGTTGCTGCAGTGCTTTGCGCTGTACTGTTTGCAGGTCTGGGTTGATTGATGGGCGAGTATTGTAAATACTGTTGCGTTAGCTTTCCGATTATTTAAAATATTAGGATGCCTCACTCGCTGTTTTTCCGTTCATGTTCTTCAATGTGCTTCCATGATTTCCATGCGATGTCAGCCTTTACAATTTTCGCCGTTCCCCTGCGTTCCTGGGCAGTCTGCAGTGTTCGAATTCCGTGAATAAACTTTGTTCTGTGCCTTTCTTCCATTTTCACTCGATATCCCTAAAGGGCGGTCCACAAGGAGTGGCAGGGCCTGAACAACGCCTAGGCAAGAACCGGTTGCGGTATGGGGCGGAGTGCGCTTTGAGGGATTGGCTATTGGTGCTTATTTTGGCTAACATGCAGCAATAAAAGAGACCGGCATCTAGCGCCGTGAGGGCCAACACGGCCAGTGACAGTAGTGGCACAACCCGATAGGGCCTAAGACGGCTGTGGAGAGGGCATGGGGCGGACTGAGCGCCATGGCGCTGGCTGCGAATGCCTGGTTCGCCGAGAAGGTGGCAATAAAGGTGCTAGCACACAACCCATGACCAATGATAAGGCAGACAGGCAGATTGGCAGACCAGCTGCAAGAGGCAGGTCAAAAGCAGCAGGCGATCGCAGCAATCGCTCGTGGCGTTGGGCCATTCTGCTGCCGTTCGTTGGCGCACACCCTGGCAATTGATGGTCAGGGAATGTGCCAGCACTTGGCCACACAACAATCCCCAAACAGGCTGTCTTTTGCGCGACGCTCGGCAGCACAACAGAGCAGAACTGGCTGCCTTTGCGCGATCTTCTTGCCAATTCCTTGCATGCGTCAAGGCAAATGCTGTCAGGGCTTGCGCCCAAACGCTGCAACCAAAAGCGTGCCGCACGGCCAGCCGTCGCTGGCCGTGTTGGCCGCTCTTTGGGTGCCATAACCTTGCAGCACAACCGCCTCGACAGAAGTTGTCTATTGCACGAACTTCCTGCCTAGTTTCGGCACGCAACTCAGCATGTTCTGCCCCGGTGTGTGCCGCACCACTGCAAAAGACCCTGCTACACACGGCCGCCCGTCGCTAGCCATGTTTGCTGCTCTTTTGGTGCCAGCACTTTGCAACGCTGCCGCCACAAACGAATCGTCATTTGCACGAGCTTCCCTCCAAGCTTGGGCGCCCGCTGTGGCAAATTTTACCATGGTGTGTGCGCACATGCGGTGGGGAAGGCGGGTCAACATGAGCAACGATTGCTGCCAATGTTTGCTATGGTTCTGATGGGCGGTTTACCACGGCTCCTTTCCAAATTCGGCCATTTCAGTATGGGTATAGGAGCCTTTGGCTACTGGATGCACCCATTATGCCCAAAATTCTTTCGCATATACAATCATCATACCAGAACAGTGCATACCCATTAGAGATTAGCCAGACAATCTTCGTATCATCATCAGGCAACGCAGAGCGAGCTGTGTTCATCCGCCCCATTTATACGCAAATGGCAGTGTCACAAACCGTTTGCGAAGCTGCAGCTACCGCAATGGCAAGATGCCAAAAGATTTGGACAGTTGTCGACAAGACACAATCAGTTCCAAAGGGTGTCCAAAATCAGGTGCACTATATTAGTGGATATCTGTACGAGAGGACAGGATGAACCCAAAAAGACAGTTTATTCCACTGACACCTTCACTGGTAACGATGAACGCACGCAGTACAAAGAACCCCCATAAAAGGTGATTTCAGAGGAACACTCATGACTAACAACTGGTGACAACTGGGGAAACAAATTTCAAACACACAGATTACCAAATCACAGGGGGAAGCAGCGCTATCAGAAAACTTGATGTTTGCGATGGCATAAAGTAGGCATGATGGCATCAATTGGTGACGAACAGCATCGCAGTTGGCATTGCCAAAATGTCTTTTTCTGCTGGTGCAGTGCGCATGACACCGCGTTCGACTCAATGCTATCAATTTAGATATCAAGCCTCTGCCACGAAGACTGCAATCTCGCTGCCACATGTGCCCCTCACACTAACGGTGCAACCCACGCCCGCGTCATTCTCCACGAGGAACTCAAAAACGTGCTTGCTGCCAGCTTCAGCGGCAAAGTGAAGTGACGTATACCCATCCCGCACTTGTGGACTTCAAAAGCCTCAGAAATATTGATGGTTAAATGCAAGTATCCGCAAGAAGCATAAATTCTCCAAGGACACTGGGGCATTTGTGATCAGGCGGAACATCAAAGTCGCCTTCCCAAAAATTATCCAAATGCAAGATCATTGAAAGCGCCACATGTACAAAAAGGTTGCACGAATATTGAAACATTCTCACCCGAATTGACATTTCAACACATAGCTCCCCATGGCATTGTGCGCAAACTCAACGAACAGTTAACATTAGTGCACTGGAACAGACTTCTGTTGATTCACTGAGTGTGGATTGCCAGCAAAGCAATATTTATGAAGTGCCACGTTTCACCATTAGTGGAAATACTTCTCACACACACAAACTACTAGATGACAAGGTGCTCGCAATGCACATGCACCTGCACCTGGCTACAAGCTCCTTTCAGCAATCGGGTATCTGGAAATGAGGAAATTGCAGTATCGCCGTAGCCTAGCTTTCATATGCCACTCGCCTTCGTGGTGCAATGGACGTCCGCGCCGTTCTGCAGGAGGAACTCAACAACAGCCTTGTTGCCAGCCACTGATGCACAGTGAAGTGGTGTCTCCCCATTCTGAGCATATGCATCGCGAAACTGTCAGATTCTTGCGAAACTTGTAGCTCTGTATCCGCAGCAAACGTAAACCTAAAAGGAAGGATAAGAGAATCGTTGTGATCATCCACAAGACCGAAGCCCTTCTTGCAAGCGCATATCACAATTTGACACACAATGGAAAGAGCCATCCGCACGAAGTGAAGCACGAATATCAGTCAGGACATTCTCATCGGAATTGGCATTCCATTATTGCTTGCCACCCCTCAGTATCGTGCACACACTCAATGACCAAACATTTCAGTGCACCAAAACTGTGCAGGACTTTTGCACAGCAGTATACGACAGATACGCAATATTGGAGCGTCACTTGAAAGCAATGCTCACACACAAACAGCCAGAATACAGGGTGCCTTAGATGCGAATCCCATTGCTTGCTGCTGTCCAATAGCCAAACAGCTGACTGTGAAGCTGCAGCCTCGCTGCCACATGGCCTTCATACGCCCCTCACCTCTGCGGTGCAGCCCACATCCGCGCCATGCTGTAGGAGGTACTCCACAGAATCCTGGCTGGAAAATCCGGATGCACCATGAAGCGGTGTATATCTTTTCTACACATGTGCATTGCGTCAGCATCAAGACCACACGCAGCAAGTACAAGGAACAAAGTGAAACGTTCCAAAGAAAGACGTGGGATGGACTACGTTGGGGTGCAACACCAAAGCCCTCCTACCACGTGAGTACCAAAACCGGAATCCATAAAATACAAAGCCATCTGTACACCAAGTTCAACACGGCGACGGGAAAATTCCCGTCCGGATATGCATGGCACTACAAGGCAGTTCATAGCACCATGCACACGCCCCAAGAACAGACATTGCAAAACATCATGTCAGTTTGCATCACTAGCATTACATTTTATGAGGTGATGCAGGGGCTGGCGCTAGTGAAAAATTTCCTAATGTTACATTATTAAATGACAGCAATGTGCATCGCAATGCGATTGACTGCCCTTATCCAAACAACTGATGGAGAGCCAAGCTGCAATCTCGCTGCCACATGCCCTGCATACCGCGCTCACCTTCGTGGTGCAACCCACATCCGCGCCATGCAGAAGGAGGACCTCGACAACATCTTTGCTGGCAAATCGCGATGCAAAATAGAGAGGAGTCCATCCATTCTGCAAATGTGCACAGCAAACGGGTGAAATCACTCACATGTCCACTAAAAAGAGAAAGTTTTGCGAAGAGAGGCATGGGGACGACTGTACAGTTGTCCCCATGACCAGCTGTCCCCTGATCACATGTGATCAAAGTGATCAAAGTCCACCTCTCACATGCTTACCAACAACCTGCCATATAATTGAACGAGGAATTCGCACAGGAGACTTGGAAAATATCAACCAAGATTCTCCCGAAATTATGACCCCATTACACAGTAATCTACAGCATGGTGCACATACCCCTGGAAAAGCATTCCAGTGCACCGTAACAGTTTAGGTCTTTGGTACAACATTACAAGACAACACATACAAAGTTTGAGCGCCGCTCGGGAAATACACAAATATGAATTGTTACATGACTAGCCGCCGTCACTGCACATGCCCCTATGCTTGGCTGCATCCTTTCAGCAATTAGGCATCTGGCAATGGGGAAACTCCAGTGCAGATGCCACCGAACTTTCATATGCCACTCGCCTTTGTGGTGCAGTGGATATCTGCACCGTTCTGCAGGAGAAACTCAACAACAAACTTGTTGCCACTTCTCGATGCACTGTGCAGTGGTGTCTGCCCACCCTGTGCATGTGCATTGTGAAAATGTCAGATCGCTTGTAGCTCTGCATCCATAACAAACATGATTCCTAAAAGGAAACACAAAAGAACAACTGTGATCAGCCATGAGACAAGCAAGCGCGTATCACAATCTGACACATAATTGAAAGTACGGAGTCAAGCACGATTATCAAACAAGACATTCTCATCGGAATTGGCATTCCATTACTGTTCGCCACCCCTCAGCATCATGCACATACTCAATGAGTAAACATTTCAGTGCATCACAACTGCACAGGTCTTTCGAACAACAGTATAAGACAGGTACGCAATATTGGAGCGTCATTTGAAAGCAATGCTCACACAATGACAGGTAGATGACAGGGTGCCTTAAATGCGAATCCCATTGCTTGCTTTGTCCAATAGCCAAACAGCTGACTATGATGCTGCAGCCTCGCTGCCACAGGGTCTTCATACGCCCCTCACCTTTGTGGTGCAGTGCACATCTGCGCCATGCTGTAAGAGGCATTCCACAACGTCCTTGTTGGAAAAATATGATGAAACATGAAGCGGTGTAATCCCATTCTGCACATATGCACAGCTAAAGCTTCAAAAGTACTCACAACCAATAATCTGCATGAAATAATAAAAATCTCAAGAGAAAGACAAGGGAACAGCGGTGATCATGTGAAAACCACAGCCGTGGTCTCAAATACATGACAAAACCCACCATGTGTTTGAATGGCGAGTTTGTACTTGAGGCCAGGATAAACAACAGCTCACTGTCATCCGAATTCATATTCCATTACCCAGCAATCCTCAACCTGGCACACACACCCATGCAACAATATTCCAGTGCACCATAACAGTGTAGGTCTGGTAGAACAACATTACAGGTAGGATACATAAGGTTGATCAGTGGTGGGGGAATTCTCAATTGTTGACTGACTGGGTGCTGTCATTTGAGCACATGCCAATATCCTAGGCTGCGATCCATCCTTTCAGCAATTGGGCATCTGGCAACGGGGAAACTCCAGTGTAGATGCCAAGGAGCTTTCATATGCCACTCGCCTTTGTGGGGCAATGAACATCCGCGCCGTTCTGCAGGAGGAACTCAACAACAGCCTTGTTACCACCTTTCAATGCATAGTGAAGTGGTGTCTCCCCATTCTGTGCATGTGCATTGCGAAAATGTCAGATTGCTTGTAGCTTTGTATCTGCAACAAACATGAACCCTAAAAGGATACACAAAAGAATGGCTGTGATCAGCCACGAGACAAGCAGGTGCGTATCACAATCTGATGCATAATTGAAAGCAATGGCAAGAGTAAAGCACGAATATCAATCAAGACATTCTCATCAGAACCGGCATTCCATTCCTGCTCGCCGCCTGTCAGCATCGTGCAGATACCCAAAGAGTAAACATTCCAGTGCAACCGTTCTGGTCTTTTGCACCACAGTATACGACAAATACACAATATTTGAGTATCACTGGAAAGCAATGCTCACACACAAACCGGCAGATGACAGGGTGCCCTAAATGCGAATCCCATTGCTTGCTGTTGTCCAATAGCCAAGCAGCTGACTATGAGACTGCAGCCTCGCTGGCACAGGTCTTCATACGCCCTTCACCTTTGTGGTGCAGCGCACATCTGCGCCATGCTGTAAGAGGCACTCCACAATATCCTTGTTGGAAAAACGTGATGCAGCGTGAAGCGGTGTACTCCCATTCTGCACATGTGCACAGCTAAAGCTCCAAAAGTACTCACAACCAAGTATCCGCATAGAATAGTAAAAATCTCAAGAGAAGGACAAAGGAACAGTGGTGATCAGGTAAACACCACAGCTGCCATCTCAAATGCATATCAAAACCAACCACGTATTTGAATGGCGAGTTGTACACAAGGCCACGATAAGCATCAGCTCATTGTCATCCGAATTCGTATTCCATTACTTGGCAATCCTTAACATGGTGCACACACCCATGCAACAGTGTAGGTCTGGTAGCACAACATTACGGTAGGATACATAAGGGTTGATCAGTGGTGGGAAAATTCTCAATTGTTGACTGACTGGGTGCTGTCATTTGTGCACATGGCAATATCCTAGGCTACAATCCACCCTTTCAGCAATTGGACATCTGGCAAAAGGGAAACTCCAGCGAAGATGTCAAGGAGCTTTCATATGTCACTCGCCTTTTTGGTGCAATGGACATCCGCGCCGTTCTGCAGGAAGAACTCAACAGCAGCCTTGTTATCACCTTTCGATGCATAGTGAAGTGGCGTCTCCCCATTCTGCACATGTGCATTATGAAAGCATCATAATCGCTCACAATCATTTATCTGCAATAAACACAAACTCTCCAAAGGATGCCGGGACAACTGTGATGACACGCAGCTCCAAAGTTGCTGTCCCATGCGTACCAAAATGGACACACTGCTGAGGAGCCACGAACGAAGACAGCATGAATATCCATGTACTTCCACTGAATGGACACTTCGTTTCTTGGCTCTCCATGGTTTTGCACACTCACCCAGAGAACAGACATGTGAATGGACCAGAACAGTGCCCATTAGTCCTCATTCCTTGGCACCACTTAGAACTTTAGCACTGAAGGGTTCTTAAAGCGTTTCACAAAGAGCATGCAGCTGTTAGACACCATTACCATGGCCCTTGTGGATTCCATTAGAAGTTTAGGAGGAGGAGAGATAGAGAGAGCACATGTGCTTGGGTTTGTGTCACAGTTCATGGTGTGAAGGCCCCATCTTGTGCATGCCATGCACTCACAGAATGTGGTGGCAGACCCATACATAACTGATGTTGGGCACCAGGCTGTGAACATGAACACAATGCTTTCACATATATCCATATTTTGCTTGCTGAAAATTTATCATGCTTCTTTTTCGTTTGCTTCCTAATTCAGGATCTCCCTAACTTGTGGATGGACAGACCATCCTCAAAATTGCTGTTGGGGGAATGCTTGATACATTCTTTGCCATTTGCTGATTCATGGGTGAATCGTCTGTCCATTAGCTTGAAGCACCAGATTTGGCCATAAGTGTTTGCCATGGCAAATGTTGCAGGAGCGGGAGGCGCTAGTTGGGCTCCCATTCCCATTGCTTGGTCATGATGAGTTTGGCATTCTACGGCCACACGTTGCAAGGTGTGCCCAATTCGGCACTGCACTCTTTCTGATTGCTCATTAGAATCTGCCACTTGCAAATGCCAATTGAGACACCACACACGCACTAATCTAGAATGCCATGGGTGGCTACAAATGGTGGCCACAAGGCACAAAGCTGGTAGGGGTGGAGGTCCCAATTTTGCTCTTGCTCCTATTGTTTTGTGCAAGGTATCTGCAATTCCCCGTGGCCGCACCTTGGGTGCAATGCACTCTCAAATTGATGACCAGAATTCCCCCTCACACCCATTGATATTTTCCACCCACGGGTGCCAGTCCAGGTTGCCATAGGTCATCACAATCAATGGCCGCAAGGGATGAACGGGGTAGGAGTGGGGGCTGGAGTGGAAATGCAGGTGCTTGCAACCCCCCATTAGATGATCAGTGGAAACATATGGATGTTGGTGCTGTCCGCAACATTCTGGGTAACTATTTGTGTATGTGTGGATGGATGGCTGTCACCAGGCTAGTGCATAGTTCTTGATATAGTGGAGGGATGCCAACAGGTGTATCACATCAAAGGGCAAGGTAAGCTGGCATGGCAAGTGGCCAAGGACTCTCTGGTGCATGACTTCTGCGTCTACAAGCCATGGGTGCACACAATAGGCAGCATGGGTTAGGTAAAGGATCACACATGAGGGGCGCAAAGGCATGGACAACAATTATCTCCAAGGTAGTGGCATTCGTAATAATTGCATAGTGGCAGGAAGGAATTTTGTGCCAATGTGTTGGGTAATGAATGTGTGACCTTCTGAGAGCCCAATCAATGGGGTCTCTGGCATTTTTCCCAGTACAATAGGGGTCCCCACATAGCGCCCCCCGGTGACATGGCCACAAGGGGGGGCGCTATTGGGGGCTGGGGCGCTATTGTGTTAACTTTATTTTAATGCATTTAATTTTAGTTTTAATCAATATGGCCTTATGTAATGACCTGCTGTGGCAATGCCTAGCAATGACGTCAAGTGGCAGTGTGTAGGCGCAACAATGTGGCGGCATGGTAGCGTGGCAGCATGGCGGCATGGCAATGTGGCGGTGCAGCAATATGATAGCGCTGTTGTGATCATCGCGGGCGTGCGATGGCTACACGACTGGTGTGCCCAGTCTGCCAAATCAGTGTTGGGGTCAGTGGCATTCATAGTTGCCTTGGCTGCAGTGTCCCTATGCATGCATGGTGCAGATACTGCTCGTGTGATAAGGATTTGCAAGGGGGAGGCTGTTGTTTGAGACGCTATTGCACAACCCGTCGGCCAGTGCGAGCATCAAAGCGCCCAATGCGGAGATCGGTTGTGATGCCAAAGCAACTGATCAAGAGCTTTTTTGATGACGATGAGGGCGACCATGATGATGGAAGCCCCTGTGACCCGGATTTCATGGAAAACGGAACTTCTAGCAGTGATGAGGATTCCAACAAGGACATGGAGATAGATTTGTATGATGAGGATGAGAGAGAAAGAATGGACACCGCGGCATTGGGCACCCAATCCAATCCACCCAATCCCTACATTCCGCTGGCTGCAAGGAGCATAGGCAGGCAGTGCCCACTTCGTTGTGCATAGATGGAGATCCACCATGGAACGCACACCTCCCTTGGCCTCCCGAGGAGGCCTTGGGCCCGGGCCCCACAGCGGATGCACCAGACGTGCCATCTGCCTGTCTGCCATATGCCAGGTTCGCGGAAATGGACGGCCACCACACCATCCATCCACCGGACACCTCTCTTGGGTGTGTTTGGTTGTGCACAATAGTAGTTTGAGGTCCCACTGCATAGCGAAGGTGCATAAAGTACTACAGAAATGGTGACAAGCCAGAAAAAGTGGCGCTATTGGAGGCCGGGGGCACTATATAGGGGCCCCTGCTGTACACGGTCTGTATGTTGTGGTTGGTAAGTCTCAACATCTGGCAATTGCACGGACCTGATCAACATAGCCTTCTAGCAGTGCTTGTCTGAGAATCTGCGCCTCAGCAGCAGCCACACTGGTATCATCATTGGTGCATCCACGTGATAGCCTTTCCCAGGAAATTTGCCTTGCAGCTGTCTGGGGTTGCAACCTTGAAGACTGTGACAGCAACCCTATCGAAGGTGATGCTGCCACCTGCAAAACCATCAGCGAACAGCACTTTGTGCCAAAGCAAAGTAGCAGACTGAACAGCCATACATGACTTGCACCGAGCCAGCACAACGACATCTGTACACAAAAGTGCCCAGAGCATGAGATTCACAACATCACAACATGGCAACAGATCCATTAGGTCAGCATCTCTCTGATGTTTTTGGCGCCGAGCAGCAAAGAAGCAGCCACACCTCTTCTGCATTGCCATCCATGCCACGCCACTCTGCAGGCAGCTGCAGCAAGTTCCTGCTGACCTCCACCATCGTTGGCCTCATTGCTGGGTCAAGAGCGCAGCAGTGCCTCATTAACTCCAGCATTTGTGGGGGACAATCATTTGGATCCACCTGGCAAGGCTCTTCTCCACGCAGTTTCATTGCCATGATAGCATAAGGATTGGCCCTGTCATATAGGTGTTTCTGGCTGATGACCTCATAGCAAACAGCACCGAAGCTGCAGACATCCGAAGCCTGGGTGATGGGCTTGTTGTTGTAAACCTCAGGGGCAATCCACTGCGGTGTTCCCCCACCCATCCTCACTGTCTTGCTCCTTGACAGCGCAGCTTCAAAACCCATTCCAAAGTCGCTTACTTTCACTTGGTATTCTTCTGGACGGGTTCCAAAAATAAGGAAATTCTCAGACTTTACATCTCCATGTACCCGATTCTGAGCATGTATGTATGCCAGACCTGCAGCGCCTTGCAAGAGCAGCCCTTTCTTCACTCCCCAGGCCAGTACCTCTCCAGAGTGGCAGAGAGCATGTAGGTCAGACCGTGCCAGTTCCATTACAATCCAGCCTGATATGGTGGTAGCCAGGAGCTGAACAATGTGGGGGTGGAATCTGAGGGTGGCATGCAGCATGACCTCCTTGAGCAGCTCAGCCAACTCCTCAATAGGTATGTCATCACCGATTCCGTGGAGCGACGTCTTTACGGCCACCTTGGTGCACTGCCACACTGCTTTGTACACTGCACCCTGGCCGCCTTTACCCAACTTTTTCCCAAGCCTGATGGTGCCTTCATCCACGATGTGCAACAACCTCATGTTTTCCTCATGGCGTTTCTTGCTGCACATCCAACGATGTGCCATTTCGCCTTCAACAATGCACTCGCCATCTTTCAGTACGTACTCAAGGAACCTCCGAAGCAGATCCTCGTCCGCCTCCACGTCCTTCGTAGGCACAGCGTCCTTGATACCTGTAGCAGTCTCCTTGTCCCAACACCCAAGCACCTCTTTCAGGCACCCACAGATCTCCTCCACTGCTGCGCACGCCTCCCTGATCGAGTAATAGTCCCTCACGTCGAAGACGGCGCCGTGCTTGGCAACGAGCCTTTTCCCCTTTTCCACGGCAAGGTTGAAGCTGGCCACATCCTTTTTCGCAGCAGTTGCGGGTGCCTCCACGCCCCGCACTTTCTCCAGCTGAGCTTCCAGGAAAGCCACGATCCGCCTGTTGTACAGTGGCCCTCGATGCCCCGACTGCTCCTGTGCACCAGCAGCGTGCAGTGCATGGCTCAGCACATCGAGAGGCGACTAGTTCCAGAAGGTTCTGCGCCTTGGCCCTGATCCGAACTTGGCGGCCAAGCGAGAGATCTGCAGGAAGGGAGAGTTTCGAGATATCCCCGGTCACCCTCACGCGCTGTAGCTTGCTAAACCGAGTGCGCAGCGCCATCTCCGCTTTCGCGGCACACGGCGCATATTCTCGGCAAAAGAGGCGACCGGCACACAATCACCTTCCGTTGTAATTGCCCCCTGTCATTCAATCCCGACCTAGGCAATTGACGGCGGAGCGAAAATTGGGTGTGAAGGACCAGACCTTGCCCCGCGCTGGGGAGCATGTCCGGGGCGGGGGGTGCTTTTTCGCAAGGGGCATCACCGAGCGCCAAGAAGCCGGGTGGAACATCTCCACCCCGGTCTGCACAAGTCTACAGCATCCCACCCTCGTCCTACCCTGGCTGGAGGCTCCTCCATTTCGGTGGGCAAGTCGACGTCGCCTGGTCCGAGGGGCCGCCAGGCCCGTGAGGAAACGTGGACCCCAGCGGCCACACACACTGCCTCCAGCGATTAGCAAGTCCTATGCACCTAGGGAAACGCCAATCCTGACGGAAATGTACTATCCATTGTGGGTCTCCACTATCCATTGTGGGTCCTACGTTTTGGCACTGCAGCATAATGCTGAAACCATGTGCACCTGTCCACTAAATTAACTATGAGAAGACTACAAACGACTCTCCTCTTGAAAATGCGGGAGCAAAAACTACTGTGCGGTATCAGAGACCAAAGACGTCAAAACTCCTAATGTATGTGGCAAAGCCCCAAAGAGTTATCTGCCCACTCCAGCGTATCTGGCCGCCACTCTCAGGAATCCCTGAGTCTGTATGTCCTGTCTTTGTGTATACAGGGTCTGTACTTATGTATTATTGGGCGCCTTTACCAGCAAAAACGCAAATGCTATTTTTACCCGTAAAACCCCGGGTGCACGCCGTAAATAACAAGACTGGTGGTGAAAAGACACCGGGCCAGGCACCACTGCCAGCAGGCTTGTTCTTTATTTTTACGTTTACGGTTTTACCTGTGAAAACGTAAATTTGCAGATGGGCAATTTTTATGACTGCATGTACGTTTTACACACACCAGGTTACACGACGGAAGTCGTGTACAATGACCAGTCCTCATCCCCATCGAGCACACAGAGCGTCCACCTCGCCATCGGAAAGGGCAAGGTTGACTCCGAACATCAGTTCGTTTTCTTCACACTCCAGTGCGTCTGGCTGCCACTTCCCGGACTCCGTCAGACTGCACGCACTGTCTTTATTACACGGGGCTGTATCCACGCTGTATTTACGCATTCTTACGCCCTTTGATGCGTAGAATCGTAAAAGTATTTTATGCTCAAAAATGCAAATATGATAATAAGTATATACAGCGTAAATGATGAGTCCGAAAGTAGCATTGTTTTTCATTGTAGAATACTTATTGCCACACCATGAACGTGCCGGTGTGCGTACAGCAACGCGTCAATATGGATTTGGAGCTTGTGTCCATCAACCAGAACGTACCCTCGGTGCTTCCTTTGCTGCCCTCACATGGTATTCCTTACTTCCTGCCGAGTTGTCTGCAAGGCGCAATTGCCAAGTGAAACAGACTGCAAAGTCGCTGTAGTGGTAGCAATGCACATTGTGCGTATCATGAGCCCTCCAAAACAACCATGGCCAGTATTTCTGAGCTTGGGCTTCGAGAATTATATAACGTAAAGTATATTTATGTACATACGTTTTGCAAGGCCTTTTAGGCAATCCTTGCTACCGGCTTATCAATTTCACAGAATGCCGAGATGTTGCAAGTTGAGGAACGCCTAGGCGAAACTATGGAATTTGAGATGACCTGCGCAAGGGAACCAACATCCGTACATTGAAGCCATAAGTTAACATTCTTCCTGGCGCTAAATGCTGTTGGCGCATTTTCCGTGATATCAGCTTACAATGTTGAACTGACCCGCGCAAACTGCTGAAGCACGTACAGTACAGATTCAGATCCTGATCCACGGTGATGACATCGAGCTTCTCAAATCTTCACCCAATTGTACGTGCATTTATTCAGGGTCCCGAAAGCCAATTTTCGAAGCCTAAAAGAACCTTGCGGACCCCTGTTGATACTTCATCTGGACAGCGCGTTGTGAATAGACCTAGTCACTCCATTTCTCACAGATTGTGTTTCGAAACTTCACAATTGGTGCAGCTTCCGAACGCCGCAATGACGCATTTCCCATAAAGTTAGGAAACTACCAAATATCTTGCTTGGGTCTTCTTTCAAGCCATTCGCTATCTTTTACGCTCATCATATCTTCCAACTGCACCTCTATTTGCTCGCAACTCGGTCGTCCCTCCGAAGAATCGCTCAGACACTGGCATATCAGCCCCCACAGGGTTTTCGGGCACAACTCCATTGCCTTAGAATTTTCTATAATCAACTTTCCCGAAACGCACTCCAGAACCACCTTTCCGAAACTGTAGATGTCCACCTTTTCAGCAGAAGTGTTGACCCCAGACACCGGCACGCTCACCTGACCATCCTGAATATCTGCTGCAAGGCACTCCGGGGCCATGTACTCCAGCGTGTGGCGATGGGCGCCAGAAACCGCGGCAGCAGCTTTCACCTTAGAACACACGAAATCCGCCAACTTTGCGTTCAAGCCACCGTCCAGCAGAATGTTCGAGGGCTTGATGCCGCAGTGGGCCATGCCGTGCCTGTGCAGGTGGCCCACGCCCCTCGCCACGTCCAGCGCGATCTTCAGAATCTGAAGGTACGTCAGACGCGGGTCGTCGTCGTACAGAGCGTCATTCAGGTTGGAGGCCATCAGCTCCTCTACAATGACTGGGTCCTGCTCCAGCCGGGCACCCACCACCCACACGACGTTTGGATGGTACGGCAGTAAAGATATCCGCTGCAGCTCCTCCCTCATTACCTCTATCCCCGCCCTGTTTATGATCTCCTGAGCCGGCTTCACGGCCACCTTTATCGCGCGGCCTCTTCCGTCGAACCACACCCCTTCCCTCACACTTCCGTGCATTCCCTCAAATTCCCACCCCCCCTCCAGCACGTTGACGTTCTCAATGTCCAGCACCGGCGGCGCCCAATTGCTCTCCGAGCAGCTCCCAGACTCGGTGGGAACCGCCTTTTCCGAGCTGTCCACCACCAGCCTCGCAACAGTCAGAGGCGCGTCCTCCGCCTGGCTGGACCCGTTGGGCTCCCGCCAAATGCCGCTGTCGTCGGTGTCGTGGCGCCACACGCTGCGCGTGGGGGGCGTTGCCGTGACTGCTGTGGACTCGCCTGCGTTGGTGGAATGGACAACGGCGGAAGGGAAAGGTGCCGGTGTCGTGTCTTCTCTTCCGATGGCCACCGCCGGCATCTGAGAATCTCCGTCGAAGGTGCCTCGGGCGGCGCCGGCATGCTCAGTTCGTGCGCTTCTGCAGTCGCGACCACGCAAGTGTGAGGTGGTCGATCCGGCAACAGCATGTTCTATGCTGGCGGAGTCAGTCTCCATATTCTGTGCTTCAGTACTTTGGAAGTTTATCGGCCACAAATTAGCACCAAACGCAGAAACTAGCTGTGGGGTTGATTCTGTTGAATCGTTGGTAGTTGGCATTCTCACTTTGTGCGCAACATCTCTGAATATAGGTAACCGTATTCATGAATATGGTTGATTCTGCACCTCAATATAATTGAAGTCTTTTAGAATTTTTGCCCATACCCTTGTTCTGTTCCTTGTCACATTCCAAATTCAATGATCATAATTCGCTGGCAGGCTTGATGATCAAGCCTTGATCTTTAAGTTTGAGGCACCATTTTTGCAATTAGATTTTATTGGCAAAACTCCGCGAACACAGAAACGTTATATTTGCTTACTATTACGGCGCCTAACACACACAGCTTACATGGTGAAGTCGCAAACAACGGTCAGTATTCCTACTCGTCCCGGGCGAGGGCAAAGATTTCGTCGAAAAATGGTCGTTTCCTGCCCTCTTCAGAGCGTCAGGCTGCCACTCCCCTGACTCCCTGAGTCTGCATGTACTGTCCTTATATACACAGGATCTGTATTTACAACAAAGCACGTATTGTGCGCGTTTCATGGTGAGAGTACTGCTTCTGTCTCAACAGTATTATCCGAACTCGTTTTCACCAAAACGAAGGTCAAAATATGTGAGACAAAAAAATTGACCTAAACATTTCTGACGCGCCTTGCTAAAAGCTATTCATAGCGATCTTGGACGTTAAACGCCCGTTTGAAACTTTCAAACGGTCCAGATATTGGCGAGTTAAATCCCGACGCGCCGAGGCGGGGCTTTGAATGTTGCAAGAAGTTTGGTGCTGCCATGGCAAGCTCGTCCTGCCCGCCGATAGGCGCGGAATTGGCTGAGCTGCCGCTGGGGGAGCGCTATGCTTTGGTCGTCAGGTGCGCGCTTGCAATAGCCGCATCTAGTGATCGCATTGCACAACAAAAGGCGCCGGAGATTGCACCCCAATTCAGAGTTCAACAAAGATCGTGAAGAGGTGGTGGTCTAGAACGATGAAGCAGCTGGATCGGTGCAATAGCATCAATCATGGAGGCGATTCAAGGTCAGGACGGCCTTGCCTCCTAACGCCGACCAAGGATACAAACTTGGTAGAGGCGAACAAGGGGAAGCGCCAGGGGACAGTGAGGCAGATTACTCGCGAAATTGGGAATTCTGGCAATGAAGTAAGCAAATCTTGGGTTTGTAGTTCGCTTAAAGCGATGGGGGCAGGGTACAAACGGAAGTGGATCAAATCACCGTTGAATCCCGAGCATATGTGGGCCAGATTGGTGTATGTAGTGAGCAAGGTCAACGAGATACGGATGGCAATCCATGTGGATGAAACATGGTATTATTTTGTGGTGTACGGCGAGCATGCACGTTATTTCCCTGAGGAAGTAGTGGATCGTGCTGGTACAGTCCAACACAAGAGCCACACACCAAAACCAATGTTCATTGTGGCGAACGCTAGGCTAGATCAGGCCCATCAATTCGATGGGAAGATCGGAATCTGGCGTGTGTCCAAAGAGAAGGTGGCAGAGAAGAGCAGTAAGTACGACTAAAAAGGAGATATATACCAAGTGGACACCACCATTGACTCCGCTTGGTATCACAAGTGGTATGTTGAGAAGCTCTTGCTGGCAATCAAGACAAAGATGCCATGGATGCAAAACAGGCAGATGCTGGTTCAACATGATGGGGCTAGGCCCCACACAGGGAAAGGAAACTTAGAAACCCTCCAGGAAGCTGGGCATATGGAGGTACGGTTGATTGACCTGGTTACGCAGCCAGTGAAATCCTCTGATTTGAACATCAACGGTCTGGGGTTCTTTAGATCGTTGAAAACAAGGGTTCTTGAGAAACAATTCAGCAGTGTGGACGAGATGGCAGGAGTCGTTGAGGGGTCATATGAACAGCATGACACAGAAATCCTGGAGCGGGTGTGGCAGTGCCTATTTTTTGTATACAAAAAAGTGCTTGAGGAGTTTGGAGGAAATGGGTACACGATGGAACATGTAGGGATTAGGCAGACCAAACAGTGTGGGGGACTCAGGGAGTGTGCAACAGTGGACAGGGACGCTTTCCGCAATGCTCTAGATTTCTTGATTCACGGTGCTGATTGCGTGCAATGGGGATCCACATCCATCGGAAATCCACCAAAGAATCTGAATCTGGTGTCAGATTGACCAGTTGAGCTGATCTTGAAAAGCTATGGTAAGAAAACAAATTCGGGCAATATTTTTGAAACGGAGGTAATAGGTATTAGATGCGCACATAGGCATTAATACAACGAGCTGGCGCCGCAACCACCAAGCCTATTCGCTGGGGAAATTGCCCTCAAAATAGTTTTATGTTTCCGGCACAATGTACTTTTGCCAAGTGCTCACTATTTGGAAACATAACTACAGCATATTTTCGACGAAATGATTGCAATCGGAACCAGGTTTAAAAATGAATACAGCACTATAAATTACCACCGTTTGTGTGAATGGAATGCAGACTGCACCAAGCAGTATATGTGGTTGAAGAAAGAGTCAACATCGCCAAGAACCACTCAAAGAAGCAACAAATGCTTTCTGCGTTTATACCGATGAAGTATCGATGCACACTGCATACACAGGAGCTTCCTGGCATATGCCGTCTTCATGAGAAAGGCCGCCTTGCGTAAGCTAATATTGCTTTCTAAATCAGCACCAGTAGCATTGCTCTCAAACCACAAGATCGCATGGAAGCGCCGTAACACAAACTTATGTTCTTCTGAGTGGGAGGTGTTAAATATGTAGTACACATTCTCGCGCCAAAGATGTTGTTGCAGTGGTGCTGTTGCAACAATTAACATGTAGAATATTTTTCATTTTGCGGCCCATTTTCTGGCGCGCCTATGCATTTTTAAGTATATGGGACATTGGTCATGTCAATGCGGCAATTTTAAAACACGGGGGAGCAGGAGGAGTCCTAAGAACCTCAATCAGTACCTGATTACATTCTGTGGTGAGGTTGGTGAGATATAATGTCATTTTAAAACTGTAGACAATAGATGGAAATAATCGCTTGCGATTTTCAGGAGGTCGACGGCGCAAAAGCAACAACTTGGTGATGTTTGATAAAATCCGCAGGTTATTGTTGAGTGCAGGTGTCCGATAATGCGGCACCATTAGAAACTTTTTATATTCCATGCGGCGTGCTAATGCTATTAACGCTTGATCGGCTGTGTTATATTTGCACCACTATCTAATGAATGCTTGTCCAGCCTCGCAATAAAACTGCCCGACAAAACCTATCTGGGCTTGTCTGCTGCATGAAATCAGTCAAAAAATTAACTGTGCACTGACAATTGGCGGTTGGCGTGCCAATTATATGCATTGAATTGATGATTTAATTGAGCCCAATTACAGCAAAGTCTCCACATCTCACCTCAGGATCCATTTGTGCCAGAGAGCCGCCGGCGTGCCCCTCGACTTCAGTCGCACGCAAATCCACGCTAGAGCGCAAATGCCAATGGCGACAGCCACCAGAATTCCCAAAACGAGAGCTGCAACCGTGCCAAACGTCGCACTGCTATGTCCAGCTGACGCGGTTTCCTCTCCCTGACGCACACCTCACAGTCTCAAGTCCTGGGGGGATATATGCAAACGAAAGGAACAGCAGCAACAGGAGAAAACACAAGGCAAATTGCAGCCAAGTCGGCTGTGGATATTTCACAAAAAGGCATGTCGCGTTCACTGAATATCCACCAGTTAGGAAACAATGGAAATTTAGAACATGACTGAGATACTACACCAGTAGAAAACTGCCTGTTTGCGATGCCAATTGCGACGCCATTTGACACAAATTGATGCCATCACAGCCACTTCTGTGCCATCGCAATCACTGTGACGGCATCATTTTGTGTCAAAATAGCATCGCAGTTGGCATCGCAGACATGTTGTTTTCTGCCAGTGCTAGTGAAACCGCCGTGTAGTGCTTTCATCGGTACTGCAATCGAGATCCGAGTTTACATGGCTGTGAACTTGGCAAGAGTAAAGTTACTGCCCTACACATTTTGAGTGGCTGCTGGCATAGAAGCTTGCAATTTGAGAGTGCCGCTGTGCTTAATTTGATTGAAAAAAAATTGAGTGTGGATGGTGTTAAAGACACTTGGAGAATCGAAGCCACATATGCGCAGTGCGCTTTGGGTTGCAGGAACGAGAGAAAAGTCTCAGAGCCGAAAAAGGAAACTTATTTCGCAATAGGAATAAATTCCCTGTATTTATGACATATGTGGATGCAACAGCCATGTCAGATATGCGCTTCAAGCCTCAGCCCACATGCCCACCTGCGTGGAATCAGCAAGGACCACACCTTCAACCTGCGCGATTCATCCAAATCGTCAATTTCTCCCCCGAATCAATAAGAATACAGCGTGGGTGTAAGCCGAATCATGAATATGACATAAAGAATAGAGCCAACTTCTCGGTTTTTTGGGTGATGATTTGCCTCGCATGTGCCAAATAGAAGAGCATGCCGTGTGACATTGGTAATATTTATTAACTGAAGAGCTTTCGCACAGAATATTGCCTATAATAGAAGTATATTCTTGAAAATTCAGTGCAATGTAGGGTATGGCCTTGAATATTGCGCATTTGTGCATTAAATACTTATATTACAGTTACCTCAACATTACATGCACCTTTTCTCCCTGTTGAAAGGATATTGAAAGAAGAATAATCGGTAATCCGTTCAAAATCGGTATTTTGCGCAAGTGTCGCACAGCACAGCATTACGCATTGTGGACTGATGCGATAGTGCAGTAGATGTTTTCTATTATATATATTTTCTTTAATTAGTAATTTTATATATATATATATATATATATATATATATATATATATATATATATCATTTTGCACCGATGTCCTGTAATGGCAAAATTGCTTCCATAAACCTGTCCGGGGAATCACCTGAGCTTGGCACATTTCTTGGTACTCCTTATCGGAACAGCAGTCTCGTTTCTGCGGCGCTTTCCGGCGGCCGTAGTCGCATATGACCTTCCACGAAGTTGCCCCATCCGGATCTCCAGAGACTGGGCATTCATCAAGGCGCGCGCACTCCCCGGATGTCTCCAGTTCCTGGCTTGACGGCACTTTCACGATACCCCCCTGAGTTGCAAAGGCAGCCGAAACGTTGAAGCATGCCATCATCCGCAATTGCAGGTTTTACATGTATTCAGTCGGAGCACAAGTGATTGGGATGATGTGGTATTCCTGAGCAGGACGCTCGGCAGGAAACGCTTTTTGAATGTTTTCAAGGTGCAAGGGCATTGCTTCTCGCTCACTAGTAAAAAATAGGCCAGATGACACAGTCCTGACACAGTCTGCTCAAAATCCAACTGTGTAATTTAGGCAAATGTGGTCCCAAAACTACACAGTTGATACACATATTGACACAATTTTAACCATGCATCCTAGGAAACCGTGTAGTCTACACAGTCGTTTGAGGCTACACAGCTGAAATTGCGTCAATGTGTGTATTAACTGTGTTGTCTTGGGACCATGTTTGCCGAAAGTGCACCGTTGGATTTTGAGCAGACCGTGTCAGGACTGTCATATGGCCTGCTTTTTCCTATTGGTTGAGCATGAACATCATTGATCCTTTTGCCGCTGATACATCGATGGGGGTGGGCCTATGCGATCCTTTGTACATGAAATTGAGTAAAATTCGCTCATTTCAATGCCACAGATGCTGCAGGCGTAGCCTCAGCCAGGTCATGGGAAGAGTAAGAGCAAGCGCCCATATTTGTTGCACTTGAAACGATGTAAGCTCATCTAGCTGTTGAAAGCAATTGTTCTTTCGTATTCATTTCGAAATATGCTTACATAAATTATGTGAATTATATAAACTGTGTTTATGTTTTATATTTTTCGCGGCTTCCCGTCAATGTTGCTGGCCGAAGCTTCCCTTCGAACCGTACGACAGAGTGGCGACTCGCGATCGCAACAGAGGTACCCATAATGGGGCAGAAGGATCTCAGCATCTTTATATCATTTTGTTAGCCTTTGGAGACCGTAACAGCATGGAAAAGCTTGAAATATTCACGGCTGCTCCTAAGGAATTCACAGAACGCGTGATAGAAATATGCATTTTGATATCTGAACTTCTAGGTGCAAAGAAATCAGGAACTAGTGATAGTGACAAAATAATGTTCAAGTTAGATGCATCACAAGTCATATGAATGTCCAATGTTTTACCTTTTTTTATCAACTGCGCTCTTTTTGAATTCTACTTATTCTTTTATGTTCAATTGTATTGATGAGTTCGACTTTGCTTTGATTTGCCTTTCAGTTAAATTTTGAGAACGGCCAAAATGCGCTATCGGTCAAAGTGGTCACAAGATGCAACATTTTGAACTTATTTAAGAATCGAAACTGATACTTGAGCTGCAATGAGTGAAGTCTTAGCGTTTTGCATTCAGAGCTTTGCACTTTGGATTCATAATCCCCCCCCCCCTCTGACCCGCAAGGTGATTTCAATTTTTCGCCCCTGAGATTTGCTTGGAAGTGCCCATGAGCTTACCCCGAGCCAATTTTCCAACACAAGTAGGCCTCATATTGAAAATTAAATATAGTTTCACCAAAAATTTATCAATCAGAAAAAAGCCTCCTCATGTGCATGTTTTCACTGTTATTCATGAAATTCAGTTTCAATATCCAACATGATGATTTCTTCAATCAGCATTGGGTCAGGTTTCCCCACCGCATTATCTCCCCACACTCCGAGCACCTGGCAAGCATTTGAAGCCAAATCCGTCTGGTCGCTGATTTCGCAAATGAAAGCACTCCTATCGTCACAGGCTCTGCTCCCCACATTAGCCCGAATCCCCCGAGGGTCGATGAAGCAGGCGCCGCAAGTGGCGTTCGAGGAAGGCTCACTGAACCACAGTCGCTCTTGGATTGCCTTGGCCACCTGACGCATCCAGAAATTTGGAACATCGTGCATAACGCAGACGCGAAAAAAGGCATGTACCATGGCCAACAATTGAGGCCAATGTCAGTCGATCTGCATATGCATAGGCGCTAGACTCAGTTACAAGTGAAGCTCTTCAATCGTAGGGTCCAACCACTTTCAGGTTAAATTCGATTGCTTTCAGATGTTCAATTGGTCTGTCATGTAGAGGAAATAATATTTGGATGATTCACGGGCATATGGATGTAAGCACATAAACGATCCAAAAAAGAAGGCTCCAAATGCTGACTATGTTCGATAATTCACCAAGACGCCCACTCACCCGCCATCAATATTCATATGTAGCGTACATTTTTATATAAATTCCAACGCTGCAAATGCAGAAATTTGCTGAATGTCGAATACTGATGCAAAATATGCGGCGATGTAGGCTTTCTAGCCCAGAAAAAAATATAGCGCTCAAAACGGCCACCCATTACAGCAAATTCCCAAGACCATCTTGTCAACGACACCCCAAAAGCCACAGCATATTGAGAGGCTTGCATCAATTGCAGTTTCATTGTCTTCATTGCAATTTTTAAATGCGCTGCACAATCTAGCAGAGCAAACTTCCGGCCGCGGCCAGATGCTCACCTCCCGCATTGACCCCGTCCACATCCACCTGCCCCCCACAGGTTGCAGCCCCATCCACGCTCCGTCAGGAGGCGCGATGGAAGCCAGGAAACGTTGCTCCCCACTGACATCTTCAGACTTCAGCTCGACCAGTCGACCACCCAATTCGCCGCAGATTTCGGTCGCCGCGTTGAAGTCTTTTGCTTCTTTTCTCAATACGTAGGTGGTGTTTTTGAAGGCGTAGCATTGCGTAACGTCCTGCGCGCTCTGGAGCCGGCGAGGGCACTGGGACAAAGGCCCTCGAATCGCCTGGGCAAAAGATGCATGCTGCCTCACGTGGATGATGAGGACGGCTGTGCCTGATGGACCAATGTGTATGCATCAAACTTGCCATACGGCAAGGTTGCTTGGAGAGGTCATACGATTTCCGAAGGAAACGCTACAGTCCGGAGTCAGACGTATTTCTGCGGCGCCCAGCGGATTGTCTTGAAGAATTCATGTTCGTGGGTTGCTAAATTTGATTCGAATGTATCGGCCGACGTTGCGCAATCGCCGGCGCAATTCTGATTCCAGTCTGCGACCATAAACTTCCAATCAAATACGGATCTACTATCAATAATGAGGCAATGCAATACAACGTAGTTAACAGCTTCGCAGCTCTCAAATACGCAAAAAACTTCTCCAAGCGCGCAAATTGACCCACCTGAAGCTGGCACCGGTCGCATTTGTAGTCTTCGTTGCACCTCCTGACCATCTTATTGTTGTCATTGACCAGGGCGGTAACCCCTGCTCCGCTGAAGCCCTCTTCCTCTAGCATCCTTGCGGTCACGTCCCTGCCCACCACTCCCAGCAGCCGCGCCCCCCCCGGCGCAGTTTCCACGTCGCCGTTTGGCTCGCATCGGGGCTGTGCGAACACCGGGAAAGTCACGCGGAGGCCGCCCTCCCCCGTGGTCGGATCGGTGGGCGTGGGAGAAAGGATGGGGTCTGAATTCGAATCCTTTGGCCTCATCGATAGGGCGAGGTACTGAAGATACGCCTCCATGCTTTTCAGCGGATCTCCATTCCCTGTTCCAGGATATTTGCAATTCCACCGAAAATTAAGATTGCAGTGAACATTTTGCGTGCATGAAATGAAACAATACATCGAAATTGTTCAGTAGTAACTAATACTGTGGAAACAATTATTGGCGCACGAAATGAAACAGGACATTGAAATTGACGATCCCAACGATCGTGCCAACTGTCTTCAACATGCTCCCTAAAGACGTTATTCCGTTTCAAAACGCTGGCAAAGGATGGCAGGCTTGCATCACATTAGTAATCCGAACGCCGACCACACCTGCCCGCCTTCCATTGAATTCCCGCGTTAGTGCCATTACGAATAGCGCTCACCGTCAATTGCGGACCACGCCCCGCCATTATTGCAGGCCAGCTGGCGCGCCAGCGCATCGTCGCCTCCCGCCACAGTGAAGGTGAAGATCGCGGGGCGGCTGGTTATCAGCTCAAGAGTCCTCTGCATGGACTCCACGGCGTCCAAATGCTTTTCGATGAAGTCTCCGCAGCGGGCGCTCTTATTTCCCTTCGAACCAAGAGAGAATGGCCTCTGCCCATGTGATGGGCGATTGCCGCCATCCCCTATGTAGATAATTACCTGCACATGCAAATCGGAAAATAGGTGAAAGCTCAACGTGTCGTAAATGAAACGGCAAAGCAACTTCAAAGTGCCATTGTGTCAAATATGATCCAATCTGGAGCGTGGATGCCCTGTTTGTCGCTCGAGCAGGTACCGGCATTAAATATACGCATATCGTGCCGCCATGTTGTACCGTCACAGGACAAACGCTTATGGATGCGATGCCTCGAACACCGGTCCTAAAGTTACTCGCTGAATTCTGCAAAGGCTGTGCAAATTCTGAAACTGATATTTCAAAAAGCACCTAGTGCATCAATAAACCATCAGCGACACCACTCGCTCGGAAAGATATATTGCTTGAGATATTGGATCACGATGTAAGCACAACAACTGCGAAAAAGGCGCAACTGAGATACATCAAGCAGCGCAGCATTTGCTTGCTTCATTCGCACTCACATTTTGACAATTTGCGTTGGAACCCAGCCTGTCGAGCGACTCTCTGAACAGGCGAAAAGCCACGTCAAATGCCGCTTCGCTGTCAGATCCCTCATCCAGATCTATGCCGTCCAGTCCAACTCTCAACCTCTCGATGTTTCGGTCCGTGGCCGGGATCAGCGAATCTCCGCCAAGCGCCCAGGAGCCCGAGTTGAAAGCCACGATGTTTGAGACATCGCTGGCCGTGTTCAGCGTACCGAGGACGCTCCTGGCAAATTCTCTGGCCACATCCCAACGCGATTTGTTGTCTGCCGCGCTCTCCGAGAGAACTGGGACTTCCATTGAAGCTGAGAAGAGCACAGGGAGGAACACAAAGTCGCAAAATAGTAGAAATGCATTTTTCAAATATATCCTGAATGTATACTTTGAGGTAGTACACAGCATATATAAGTATCTATTTTCGTTTTCAACGAAATTCCGAAAGAAAACAACCATGTTTCGGAGAGGGATGTTCCGGAAGCACATGGGCCGTTTCCTTAGCTGATTTTGGTTCAACGTTCTCTTTGGAACAACACATACAAGCAAGTACTGTAAGTTAACAAGCCTTTGGCAATTTTTCGCTAGAGAGCTTTTAAGACTCTCCTGAAAAGAATCAATACAATGTTAGCTAATTGCTTCTGTTCAGGACGCAATGAGCCGAACTGAGCAGTCCCATTGTCAGGTGCTGGTTGGGCGAACTTGCCTCTGACGCCTGGTGATGCCAAGCAACAGCAAATGAATCCAAATGGCAATTAACCAAAAACTGCACTTGCGCCATTTCACGCAGAGGGCAAATTAAGGCACCTCAAGTGCGTCCAGAATGCTAATCGCTGCCACTGCACTTACTTGTTGCTTCAATGATTATTATCACATTCTTTGGCTCTGAAGTGGCTGAAATATACCAGTGCTCGTATCTCTGCAGGGGAAAACATTATCAACGGTCACAGATAGCATAAAATCTGAACTATTTTATTTATTGCGTCGATGGCGGATCTGTCATATTCTTTCTGGATGGAAACACTAGACACGCATAAAGATGTACACACATGATCGCTACGAAATATCTTTTGTGAGGAAGAGGCACGCAAGAATCGACACGTAACATTCAGATATTCTACCTTTCTAATATTGTAAACTGACAAGCTGGCAGTGCATGGCTTTGCTCCAGTTGTTAGGCAGCAGCAACATGAACACAAACACAAAGCCTTCGCAGCTGTTCAGCAGGCCACTGGCTGTCAAGCGTCGCACGTGCCCCTGGGAAACTTCAATCGTGGATGCAACGCCGCACAATGCTCAACCCTTTTGCATTGAAAAGGCTTTACCCTTACGCATGTTGCAAAATTTATGCTCCATTTTTTTCTTCTTTCCGGGCGTTATTATTTTTCCGTTGCTCCCCAAACAAGTGCCCAGCGTTCCGTTAGTACGGGGAGTGCGTATACAGAAGTATATAGAAGAATAGCGTACTGCATATAAAATAATAAAGCTCCGCTCGCTTCGCTCGCTCGCAATAAGACACGGTAGCCTTCCTCAGAGACGATGCTCACCGGCTCAACACCCTGGCACCGGCCGTCTCTCCGTGGATGTGCCCTTTGCGGCCACGTCCTGGAAGACCAACACAGAAGCATCGACGTAATGCCTGTGCATAAGCCAAGCCTCAACAGAGGAATACTGTTACGAGCGAGTGACTGACGATCCACAAATTTTTGTAATAGGACATGGAAGCCATGACCCAAGCGCCAGATTTCCAATGGCGGTCTCGGTTTCCGCGACTATACAGTGTGAATTGATCGAAGGAGTAGGAGCGCGGATCGAACAACTCACGCATTGCAAACCGCGACTGAGATGGTAAACGCCACTAGAATTTTGGGTCTGCCGAGCCTCATACTGACGCACACAAAAAAATTCCAACCACTGCCTTGACAGCAGCATTGGAAAGTGTGCAGTGAGCCACAGCTGAAGTTCTCATGGGCTGATGATGAACGCGCTCCGTGGCTTCCAATGCGTGCGCTGTCAATGACCATTGGTCTCCCACCCCAAATCAGAGTGTGCCCGGGCAAACTGTCACTAACTGTTGATGCTGAATTTTAATCGAGTTCTATTTTTAATACAATTTTGAATTTGAACAGCACTTGTTTGTTATTTCGCAAACGGTGCGCTGCTCGCGCTCCCCTTCGAATTCCTGTTCGTGCGTGTGCCCTGGTGGACGCGGCGATGGCCATCTATGCATTTACATTTAAAACTGCGAATTGTCGGTCGAGCGTAAACAACTAAATTAGTGTTATATGATATGAACGCACATTTGCAAACGGGCAGAAAGGGGTCTCACCTGATGACGCCTGACAGCGCGGATGCAAAATAGGTAGGGGAATAGTAATTGCCACTGTAATTGTTGGCATGCATGAAAACTTTCTCCATCCCCTGCCACCACACGCCATTGAAGGCAAATTCAAACGAAGATTTTTCTGCAACAGAAATTGCGGTTGGACAACCAGCTGCACGAGCTATATTTCCAAGAAAATCCATAAATACCATGCATGAAATGAAGAATTTTTTACGGACTTCCCTTTTGCTGCATGACAACCTTACAAATCAGCGGTAAGCAACTCGCGACAAGCTCCAAAGCCTCTCTGAGGCGTTCAACATTCAAGGGAGTCCGCATAATGCAGCATTCTTAAAGCATTTGGAGCTGCTCGTCTGACCTGCCGTGTTTTTTGGTATACCATTTCCAAGCCACTACAATTGCCGCAAAATCGGCTTGCTTTTTCCGAAAATCTTGGAATGGCAATTTTCTGTTAGGCAACGTTGTTAAGTAATCCTGGCGTAAACAGAAGGATTGGCACTAAGGAAAGGGTGGGGTGGGTTGGTCTGAGTTTACCGTCAGATTGACGCTGAGGTTACTAAAATCGACATAGTGGCGTAAACATAAGGATTGCCACTGAGGAAGGGGTGGGGTGGGAGTGAGTTGGGTTGGTCTGAGTTTACCGTCAGACTGACGCTAAGCTTAGGTTTGCCAAAATCGACATAGTACCTTGCCTTTGTGCATTGCGCTTTCTTCCTTTCCATCATCTTTTTAGGCAAAGCATGTGAATGCGCAAACTGCAAATGGACAAATTAATGACAAACTGTTTTATTTTCAGTCTAATAAAACTACTGCAGCAACGTTCATACGTGCAATCCAGCATATATTGTTGGCTTAACTCTGTATGGGGGTATCCTTCGGATTGTGTCTGTACTAGTTGCAATACGTAACAAAGTGTAATCAGACTCTGGTGACGTCAGTGCGACCAGAATTTCAACAAATTACAGATGAGAATATGGCCTTTTCGAGCAAGTTAAGTATTGAAAACATCTATTAAATTGATTGATGAATTTACGCTGAACAAATTTTCACAGATTTCTTTTCGAAACCACCCTGCGGTGGCTGCTTGTGTGAATTCAATTGCGTCCAACGCCTTGTCGAAAACGCGAGGTCCACTACCTGCATTTGCACCACCACATATATCACCGCATTTACACGCAATTGTGCTGACATACTCCTTAAAACTTAATCTTGCGCGCTTGTTTGATAGTATGTGCGTTGGTTTAATGCACACATGCTGCGCATTGCCTTGGGCAATCTGCCTGCTTGCTGCCTCTTGAAGCACTTTCAGCGGCGCGGCTACCTCGTCCACCTCCAAACGGCCCTTCTCCCCTCACTCTAGTGCACCTTGCGGCTACGCTCCAGGCTCCTTCATACGCTTGTCCGATGGCGCATGATGACAACTATTCACGCGCAATTTGTGGGAAAGCTGTTTTTATAAGGAAAACCATGTACATTTCAAATCCCATGTTGACGGGTAATTAAGAGCAGGCATGACTAAGCTGCGTGGAATAACGGACCTGGAATTCACCATCGCTCATTCGACCCGATTCGAAAAACAGGCACTCAAAGGCGTTACGGGTATATTAGCCCACCTGCGTCATGCATATGTCCCTCACAGCATCAGGGGTGAGATTCAGATTATCGGCGTCGCCCGGCGTCGAGATTGTTGATGATTCCGTGTTCACCTATGAATCCAAAAATATCCTGTTTTCAAGCCACCCGCAGAAATAGGAATTGGCTTAAGTAATTGATACTTCGTATTTAAAGTACTTTAAACAAAATGCGCTGAGCAAATCAAAAGTAGTTAAGTAGTTTTGGCTACTGGTGAGTGTATCGTGCAATGATGTATGCAAAATTTCTTCATTGAAAACAGTTTAGTTGATTAATGAAGCACTGAAGCCATTGTGGAAGGTGTCTCAACCGCAGCTGGTGACAACAAGCTTACACGATAATCACATGACAATAACCACCTGACAGCAACAATGTCCGTATTTGGATGTTGCCCAATTAATACAGTGCGCCTTACAATCCTTGAGAGCTAACGGAACTCGCTTGATATCGGACTAACAATGGCAAGCAATTCGCTTTTATTTATGCATATAATTGTACTACATTTATTGCCCTTATCTTTTTACGACCTTATTTTCATAATATGTGTATATTTATTATAATTAATTAATTAATCAATTAATTAGGTAAATAATTAATTGGTTTACTTGTTCGTTTGTTCCTTTTTTTCGCTGACTAGCTTGTTTTTTTATGAACAGGTGTATTTGATCCATCACTTTGTCATGGAAATTGAGCCCCGCCGATCCAATCACCCCTTCCTGATGGTCCCTCTACCCGAAATTCACCGAACCCTTGGACGCGGCTCCCCATTTCAGCACACAGCCCCAAGTACTGCGCAGTACTTTACGGACGCACCCACAACCATTAGTGCCCCCGGCCCCCACCACCCCTTCACGTGGCCGCGGCGCACGGCACGGCACAATGGCCCAAACGCCGGTAACGCCCCCCAAAGGATGCCGTCACCCCCCCGTCAACTCGTCACACCCGGCAACGGCCTGGAGCGTAACGTCTTTCAGGGTAACGCACACCCCAGAGCGGTGGGATGCTCACCCGGAATTGTAAACGCTTCCTGCAGCATTACGCAGCCGTGCCACCCGCGGCTCGCGCCCTGGCCCCGCGGGGCCGCCGAGCGTCGCTCGAGGACTCGCCAAGCGTCGCCAGCGGGCCGAAAGGTGAAGGACCGAGCTGTGATGCGTGAGTCCAACGATCGGCAAGCGGTCAACGGGAACCCATGGTAGTCAACGCAAGCAGAAAGTCCCGGCATCTCTGCGCCTGGGGGGTGTCCGGATCCGTCCCAGGCTGCCCGCCTACCGAGGGATGTTGGGGGCGATCGCCGGGAGAGGCGCGATTGTTGGCGCACCCTGCCGATTGT